AGCATTGAAGAGTTAAAATCTATGCGAAAACGCGTACTGTTTTCTGCATCGCTAGGATCCCTGCGAAAAAACTTGCGTTAATACGCTTAACTGGACAGTTAACGCGCATTGAAGCATCAAAGACTTAGAATCTAAGCGAAAATATACAATTAGAGAGGTCGAAATAAGCTGTACGTTGCGGAGCTGTGAATTAAGGAGAGCTATATGCTAATCACCTGCACAAACAGTAACTCTAAACTTATTTAAAAGCTAAATATAAGGATAAAGCCATTTTATAAAGCTAAATCCGACACCGCTATCATTGCAAAAGCTTTTTCTTGCTTAATCTCTTCTTACTTGGTCAATTTGTTGGAAAATTCTCATGCAAAGCAACAATTTGGCATAAAATTTCTTTAGAACCTTGAATCTGCTCAAACTTCAGCGAGCTAATAAGTCCTATAACGGTTAACTTCTTCCTTCTTCAGGCTATGCCATGAAACTTGCTACACCGCTAAACCCGGGCTACTAAAATTACTACAATAGTTTCTCTCCACATGAAGTTCATTTTAAAGCTCAGAGCCCCAACTGATACCGTATCTAATATCAATTGCTTCCTATTATATCAATGAACTCGATGTTCTCAATGAAACAACTGATATTGTAAACAGACGGCTTTGATATCAATATGAAAACTCAATCAATATTTCTATATCTATATATAAATATGGCTGTTCATCACACACAACATCCCGAGTTGCACAGGTCAAATGGCTCTCCATTTCTCATGGCCTCTAGAGCAGACACTAGTCATCCGGTTTTGGTTTCTAATATAGCTCGATATATTTTTGTCGTTTATACAGCGAGTTCTCTATAGCTCATTTCTACTGATTTAGTTTGACCGCTGGCTGCCATATCCTATCCCTCATTATGGCTATAGCGGTTCCAAGAGTCAATCTTTTAGAGCATAAATGCCCAGCCTGTGACCAGCAAAATGCCCAGTCTGTGACCAGCAAAATGCCCAGCCTGTGACCAGCAAAATGCCCAGCCTGTGACCAGCAAAAGGGTTCACTGCTTCCTTAGCCCAGAAATGCCGAGCGCAATTCCTTGCACAGGAGTAGCTGTATTGTATGGAAATCATGCCGCAGTAACGGCTTTGCAATACACTTGCACTCAAGTAAACCGGTTGAACGCGTGACCAACATGGAAGTGTGTGTTTAATTTCAACGCAGATTCGTTGCACGGCAAGTACATAAACATGATTTAGTGCGTCTGGAAACCCGATAGGGAGTCACATCTACATTGAAAGAATATGCCATTCAAACAAGGTTGAGAATGATATCAATGCACGCTAAAATAGGCGTGCTATCTTAGCTTCAAATCATCATTAATACACACTCATCAATTATAATATAGGATGCGAGCATAAAATTCTTGTCATATTAGAGGCATACAAACGCAATGCGGTGAAATCATCACAAAAAGCTCTTCGTCATACAGCAATCAGAACCTTATCAGATAACGCTGTTGGGCCGCTATATGGGCTTGGTTGCTCAGAGCATCGTACATCAGCTGGTGGCCCAAATGAGAGCGAATGAGCGATAATCAGGGGCCATACTTTCAAAACTCGCTAAGTGAACGTAATTACTTACGCTCTATTTTCTTGTCTATGATTGGTGGATTTTGCTTGAAAGGCCGTCAATGATTGGCTGATGAACTTACAATCTCTTAACTTTTTTTGAAAGTATAGGCCCATAGGCGGCGATCCATCGTGGCCTGGGACTGCTACGTCCCAAACAAATACTAAGGAAACTAAGAGCGAACGATTCAAATAGGAATTCGACCTCAGTGGTCACAAAGAACGTACCCCAAGTGTACTGAAACTAAGAGCGAACGATTCAAATAAGAATTCAACCTCAGTGGCCACGAAGAACGTACCTCAAGTGCACTGCAACTAAGAGCGAACGATTCAAATAGGAATTCAATCTCAGTGGTCACAAAGAACGTACCCCAAGTGTACTGAAACTAAGAGCGAACGATTCAAATAGGAATTCAACCTCAGTGGTCACAAAGAACGTACCCCAAGTGTACTGAAACTAAGAGCGAACGATTCAAATAGGAATTCAACCTCAGTGGTCACAAAGAACGTACCCCAAGTGTACTGAAACTAAGAGCGAACGATTCAAATAGGAATTCAACCTCAGTGGTCACAAAGAACGTACCCCAAGTGTACTGAAACTAAGAGCGAACGATTCAAATAGGAATTCGACCTCAGTGGTCACACAGAACGTACCCCAAGTGTACTGAAACTAAGAGCGAACGATTCAAATAGGAATTCGACCTCAGTGGCCACAAAGAACGTACCCCAAGTGTACTGAAACGAAGAGCGAACGATTCAAATAAGAATTCGACCTCAGTGGCCACAAAGAACGTATCCCAAGTGTACTGCAGTGAGCACAGTGCGTCATACGTATCAAGTGTGCAAGTATCAGGACACTTGTACGGCACAAATGCAAGTGCTATTCTTTATTCATTCTATGAGAAATTGCATACAGCTCGGACATGCAGGTGTTTATACGACCTCTGGAAAATTGCTCATTTACATTCTCATTTCTTTCTAGTTTTCGAAATAATTATTTATTGGATTTATTCGAAATAATTTTATGATTCATTTGTATGCCTTACCGTGGCAGATCATGTATATGTCTCTAGTTAAGATTTATTCGAAATAATTTTATGCTTCATTTGTATGCTTTACAGATCATGTATATGTCGAGCAGGGATGTGAGCTTTGTCCTGGAATATAACGAGTCTAAAGACAACGAGATGATGATACGAATACATATTTAAATTTCGAATGTGAATGGAGAAATATGATAAGACGTGATAGTATTTGATGTGTAATAATTTTAATCAAATGCCATGCTGGGACCACATACAAGTCCACACAATACGACACACAAGTCCCACCTAAAGGACCACAAACAAGTCCACACTACACACCACGCAAGTCCTTTTAAAGGACCACAAGCAAGTCCACACGGCACACCACGCAAGTCCCTTTAAAGGACCACAAACAAGTCCACACTACACACCACGCAAATCCATAGGTATTCTTACCGAAAATCGAGCGTGCATCAATTGTTCTATGCAAAATTGAAGACGAACATTCACGGTCATTTTTATTTTATTACTGTTGATGTTTTATTAATGCTAATTAATTTTATTAATCTTTTATCTTTATTAATGTTAGTTTCGTCGTCAATAATCTAGCGATATTGATTTCCACTGAGAAAACTGTTAATTAATAGCACCAAGACTTTTTACAGCGAAAAGGTGTCCACTGAGAAGACTGTTAATTAAAATTGAAAGCATTAAAAATTTTTACAACGAAAAGACATGAGATTACCCGTCAAATATACGCGGCTGAATACCAAACACTAGCTTCCGTATGCAATTTTAGGCGCATTTTTCGCGTTAAGGAACGGCGCTTTTTGTAGGGGTAAATATGAATAAGAATTTTTACAACGAAAAGACATGAGATTACCCGTCAAATATACGGGGCTGAATACCAAAATACCAAACAATCGCTTCCGTATGCAATTTTAGGCGCATTTTTCGCGTTAATGAACGGCGTTTTTTGTAAGGGTAAATATGAATAAGAATTTTTACAACGAAAAGACATGAGATTACCCGTCAAATATACGCGGCTGAATACCAAAATACCCAACACTAGCTTCCGTATGCAATTTTAGGCGCATTTTTCGCGTTAATGAACGGCGTTTTTTGTAAGGGTAAATATGAATAAGAATTTTTACAACGAAAAGGCATGAGATTTTGCGTTAAATATACGCGGCTGAATACCGAACACTAGCTTCCGTACGCAATTTTAGGCGCGCATTTTTCGCGTTAATGAACGGCGCTTTTTGTAGGGGTAAATATGAATAAGAATTTTAAGATGAATAAAGTGGGATAAGATGAATAAAGTGGGATACGATGAATAAAGTGGGATAAGATGAATAAAGTGGGATAAGATGAATAAAGTGGGATAAAATTAGGTATACGTAGAAGAAGATGAAGTCGAAATCGAAAAATAACCTTCAGCATCATCGAAAAAAATAGTCTTAAATTCCCGGAAATTTTTGACAAGCCTTACGTACGTTCTATTCAGAAAGCAGGTTACTGCGATAATCACCGGTTTTATAATAAGAATAAAATCGTAACTAAAATCATTTGACAGAGTGAAGTTGAAGCACACATTATAAAAATGAATAACGGAATTCAACCTATAGACACGCACAATTATACAAGGAGATCCAATATTGGAGTTATTTGGTGTAGAATTCACAGTTCATCAAAACACCGCATAGTATTGGTCAACACTAAATTAGCCTATTAGGTTCGTTGCATTTATTTACCGGTGACGAGTCAATGTAAATGACGACTCAAATGTCATTGAGGCTTGAAGGCTGGTAGAACTTAGGTAGTACTTGAACGACTGTGGATTACTGTAGTGTAGAGGATCAAGGCTCTTTAAAAAGCTTTTAAAAGAGTAAATAAAGAGTTAAAAAGCTCTTTAAAAAGCTTTTGAAGGAGTTTAAAAAGAGTTGAAAAAAGCTCTTTATTACTTTTTAAGGAGTTTAAAAAGCTCTTTAAAAAGCTTTCTAAAAAGCTTTTTAAGGAGTTTAAATAGAGTTAAAAACAAGCTCTTCATTACTTTTTAAGGAGTTTAAAAAGAGTTTAAAAACTATAAAAAAAAAAGTTTTAAAAGCTTCTATATAGTCACTGCGATTCAAATGATATATGACGGGATTTATGAAGGAGCTCATTAAAAAGAGCTACAGAACTCCTCTCGTTCGCAGTTACGTCTTGCATATACCTACCTAATCTTACGTCTCGGAGTCAGCGGCTAAAGCTTGCCGCTTGGAAGTCAATGGCGAGAAAACCTGCCGCATGCGCACTAGCAGCGACACTCAACAGCTGGGCACTGAACACAATGGCAGACAGTTTTCAGAAAACCTTACCTTATCAACGAGGTCAAAATTCTGTTCTAAGGCCACGGCACGAGCTTCTTCGTCGCCTCCTTCGATTTTTACTGCCCATTCATGAGTGAAATCTCCAACTTCTGCCAGTGTGTGTCTAACATGAAGTAGCATCAACACAAAGCACACTGTCAAGTGTAAGATGTGTCTTAAAGGCAACATGTCTGCCAGTGAAGATTATGATCACAAAACTAAGAATAACACTATGACTATTAAATTGAGCTATGAGATTAATTTGTTAAGCGTCAAATAGAGGCATAGTGCGGTGCCACGTTTCACTTCACCACTCCCTCACCGCTGTTCCTAGTACACTGAGCTCAAGTCAGCCATTTAAGCTCAGAGGCACAGCCACCAGCCAGCCAGATGGCTCAGCCAGTAGGTCCTGCCACGCAGCCTCCTGCAAATTATTAATAAATCAGCTGAGTTGGTACATGGAAATGACTAACTAAATGACTGAGTTGGTACATGGAAATGACTGACTCGACCGGATCTTTTCCAAACGGACGATAGTTTGAAATAGCTTCTAGACTTCCACCGGGTTCGATATGGTGCTAGGCATTTCAAGTCTGAACATATATATCTCCATAACTTTAACTAGTCTGTTCTTGAACGCGTTTGTTCTCGGAGCGTCAACGATGTCATCGGGGAGGCTGTTCCACGTGTCGGTGATTCGAAGCGAGAAGAAATATTGGCGCGTGGATAAGTTGGAACGCATTTTTTTAGTTTATGGCCGTGGCCCCTGGTGTTTGTTCTTGTTTTAATTCTAGTAATCCTTCTGGGACCTTGTATAAGCCATGAGTATACTTGTATACTTCAATGAGGTCACCACGCAGACGTCGATAACAGAGGCTTTGAAGCTTCATAATCTTTAACCTTTCTTCATAAGATTTGCCCCTCAAGCCTGGAATTATCCTTGTTGCACGTCTTTGAACACTCTCTACTAAATTTTTTTCCTTTTCAAGTTTCGGTTCTTCCTCAAAGGCAGAAAGTCAGTTACGTTCACGGCAAAAGTACGTGTGTGGATTGCGACCTCTACGTAGAGCAACCGATAAATTTGTGATTCCAAGTCTCTTAGTTTCTTGTAAGTAATTAATAATAATAATAATAGCGGTTTCAGCGTTATTAGGCCGTAGGCCTGTCGCCGATTCTTAACATCGCAGAACATTCACAACATTTCGCGGTCTCGAACTCGCAACTCACTGCTACAATTCTGCTGTGCTTAACCGCCCGACCTCCTCGCCGATTCTGACCAGAAACTGGCGCACAGAGCTGGGATCGAACCCGCGCCTCTCTGCTCCAGTCTTGGTACTCTGATCTGTAACCACTGGGCCACCCACCTTGAGTATTTCCTCAATAACCTGACAGGCTTTCTCCCTCAGCAGTGCGCGTTGTTCATTTTTTTGTTACATTTTGATGTTTTCTTCAATTTTTTCTTTTTTGTATGTAATTTATTTTATTGGGTTATTTTAATTTTTCACGTTTGTTTAATCAAATTAATTTGTCTGATAACACTAAAAAGCGCGTCCATTTCTAGTGCAGCCTCGATGGCGGTAGAGTGTCTTGGTGAGGCAGCTCAATTTGATGGTTAGGTTAATTTGACCTGCCTGTATATGAATAAGATCAAGGAATAAGACTAACAGGCTAACATGTGGCCTGCTAAGCCTCCTGTAGCAGTTTGGCCCAGTATGACAGCTTCATTTGGTGTTACGAGTTACACATGATACTGATGGAATAGAATAGAATAGAAATGTCGGCACTGAAGAAATAGGCCCATAGCATGTTGCCAATTCTTGTACTTTTAATGACTTGATTCCGCAAGGGATTCGGCCTTATGAACCCTATCTTTTAATAACTGACGAATTGGTTGAGATACCTGCTGGACTTGTTGCGAGGCCCGTAAGGTGCTAGGCATTTTAAGACTGAACATATGCTCCTGCATAGTAGTCCAGTCTGTTCTTGAAGATATTCATACTCGGAGCTTCGACGATGCTATCACGGAGGCGGTTCCACATGTCGGTGACTCGAAGCGAGAAGGAATGTTGTCGCATGGATGTGTTACAACGCAGTTTTTTAGTTATAGCCATGGCCTATGGTGTTAGTTCTTGTTTCAAATTCCAGCAATCCTTCTGGAACCTTGTATAAACCGTGGGTATACTTGTATACTTCAATGAGGTCACAACGCAGAGGTAGATATAACAAAGGCTTGGAAGCTTCATAATCTCTAATCTTTCTTCATAAGGCTTGCCTCCTAATCCCGGAATTATACATGTTGCATGTCTTTGAACATTCTCGACTAAATTTTTGTCCTTTTCAAGTTTCGGTGACCATACGACGTTTCCAAACTCTAGGTTCGGACGCACGACAGCGTCAAACAACTGCTTCATCGCTTCTGCATCTAAGTACTCGTAAGAGCGTCTGATCAGTCCAAGTCGTTGATTGGCTTTATTAATTTGAGCTTCAATATGCTTAGAAAATTTCAACTCATTGTCGACCATCCAAACTCACCATCATCTAAACTCCAAAATCTTTTTCCATTGTCAGAGCTGGGCAGCGCTACTTGGAAATGTAGCGGCGCTACCGCTACATGCTCTAAATGTAGCGGGCGCTACCGCTACCGCTACACCCACTAGATGGTAACGGGCGCTACCGCTACCGCTACAGTAAAATGTAGCGCGCTACATTAGCCGCTATACAATGGCCAAAATTATTGGAAATCTCTAAATATTTATTGTTCTGCTATTGGGATTTACTCATTAACATTTAATGCTAATAAAACATTTTTTAAACATATCAATGCAACTTTATTGCAATTAACCTAACCGAACTAGTATGGGTTACCCCAGGGTTAGATACAGTAAATAGAAGTTTCAGTTATTTTTATGTTTTACCTTCCCTACATGGATGTTAACTTTAATCTACCAATCTAAGAAATTATCCACATATACATATAAAAATCAGTTTTTTTGTATATATATGTGTATTATTTTTGAGATTGGTAGATTGAAGTAGACCTCCATGTAGGGAAGGTGAAACATAAAAATAACTGTGTAAAAATAACTGTAAGCAAACTGAAAGATGAAAAAACATAAACGCCATCTTAAAAAAATTATAACTCCAACAGTTTTCAAGCTACGGCAATGAGAGACATACCATTCGATTTGTAAAAACAATACCTTGCGACTCTAGAAGTATTTTTTTAATATGTGCATGGTCTGACTTATATATGGGAGGGGGAGGAAGGTAGGGGGAGGGGGAAATGTGAAAAAAATGGGTAGAACGCGAAAAAAACGATGAGGAAAATCAAAAATCGGGGCTCTACAGTCGCTAGATATTGTTGTTACAAATCGAATGATATGTGTCTCGACATTGTAGCATGTGATTTGCAAAAGTTATAAACTTTTTTAGAGTACCCCTTATTTGCCGTTTTCTATTGATTCCACGTTTTCTTTCATTTTTTTAATTTACATGAAAAAAGTCTTAGATTTCTGTTTTACATATGCGTACCAAGTTTCAAAACGATCCGTCTGTAAACAAAAAAGTTTTGTTGGAGGGTAGCCGGTCCCCTTAAGTAAAATCTAAAGGCTTTATCTATAAATGTAGCGGTAGCGCTGTAGCGGCAAAATCTCGTATCGTTACTTAAATATGTAGCGGGCGCTACCGCTACCGCTACATTGCCTTAAATGTAGAGCCGCTACCGCTACCGCTACTGAAAATGTAGCGGCCGCTACATGTAGCGGTAGCGCGCTACTGCCCACCTCTGTCCATTGTCGACTTCGACATCATCACTCTGTCGTTGCAACCAAGTCTTATTATACTGTAATCTTGCTGTTCATTATTCTTGCCAAGGTGGATTTCTTTACATTTGTTAGCATTAAAACGTAGCTCCCACGTATCAGCCCAGTCAACCAAACTGTCAAGATCACCATAACATAACATAACATAGTGATCTCGGCGCTGCAGCGTAGGCCTGATGTGGCCTGTCGCCGATTCTTTTTCCTATTCGTGCCTTGTTCACAGAAGATCTAAAATCGTATCATTTGACCGGATCTTTTCACGACTGACGAAAGTTTGAAATAGCTACTCGACTTCCACCGGGTTTGATATGGTGCTAGGCATTTCAAATCTGAGCATATATTTTTCCATGGCTTTATCAAGTCTGTTCTTGAACGCGTTCATACTTGGAGCGCCAATGATGTCATCGGGGAGGCTGTTCCACATGTCGGTGATTCGAAGCGAGAAGAAATTTTGTCGCGTGGAGAAGTTGCAGGGCAGTTTTTTAGTTTATAGCTGTGGCCCCTGGTGTTGGTTCTTGTTTCAAATTCTAGTAATCCTTCGAGGACCTTGTATAAACCATGAGCATACTTGTATACTTCAATGAGGTCTCCACGCAGACGTCGATAACTGAGGCTTGGAAGCTTCATAATCTTTAATCTTTCTTCATAGGACTTGCCCTTCAAGCCTGGAATTATCTTTGTTGCACGTCTTTGAACATTCTCTATTAAATTTTTGTCCTTTTCAAATCTCGGTGACCACACAACATTTCCAAACTCTAGATTCGGGCGCACGACAGCAACAAACAACTGCTTCATCGCTTCTGCATCTAGGAACTCGTATGAGCGTCTGAGTAATCCAAGAAGTTTGTTGGATGTGTTAAATTGCGTTTCAACTTGCTTAGAAAATTTTAGCTCCTTGTCGACATAAACTCCGAGATCTTTTTCCACACTAGACTTTTAAATCATTACTCTCTCGTTGCAACCATGTCTTCTCATACTGTAATCTTGCTGTTCATTGTTCTTCCCGAGGTGAAGTACTTTACACTCGTCAGCATTAAACCGCAGCTGCCACGTATCAGCCCAGTTAACTAAGCTGTCAAGATCATCTTGCAATTGCGCTTTATTTGACGCATTCTTCACTGAATTATGAACTTTTGTGTCGTCGGCATACATGGAGCACACGCTGCGACACTGCTTCTGGCAGATCATTTATAAAAGCAACGAACAAAATAGGCCCCAGGACGCTTCCTTGTGGCACGCCATTGCGCACTAATGCCCTGTCTGACACGGTTCCGTTCAAACTGACACGTTGTCGTCTACCTACTAGAAAATCTCTGATCCATTGGAGTACGTTTCCCTCAATTCCCAAAGACTTCACTTTACGTAACAGCCGCTCATGCGGAACACTGTCAAATGCCTTGGCAAAATCGAGGTACAATGCATCCACCGGTTCCCTTTCGTCCAGCAGGCGAGTCCACTCGTTCAACGTAGATAATAAGTTAGTGGCGCAGGATCTACCGGCAATAAAACCATGTTGACAATCTGATATGAGATGGTGAGCAGTCAAGTGATCGATAATCCTATCCCTCACAACAGATTCCATTAGCTTACAAACAACACTTGTCAGACAGACAAGGCGATAGTTGCCGGGGCTGCTTTTGTCACCTTTTTTGAACAATGGTGTTACTAGAGCTTCTTTCCAGTCGGACGGCAAAGTTCCTTCGTTCAAGGTTTTTTTGAAAGAATACTGTCAATGGGCCGGCCAGAACGGTTGCTAATTCTTTGAGCAATCTGGGATGGAAGCCGTCTGGTCCACATGACTTGTTGGGATTTTGAGCTACGAGGCGCTTGAGAACCTCTTCTTCGTGTATTTCAAAACCTGTTAACTTCGAGCTGACTGGGCGCTCCTCAATATCTGGAATACTGTTCAAGTCCTCATCTGTGAATACACTGCTGAAGAACTGATTAAGAACGTTTCCCTTGTCCTCATCGCAGGAAATCTTTCGTTTGTCTACTTTCAAATCAGATATACCGTCCTTTGACTTACACTTCGAACTAGCGTACAAAAAAAGGGCTTTCGGATTATTTTTTGCATTTTTAGCAATATTTTTTTTCGAAGTTCACAGCAGTGCGACAAACTTTTTAGCTTGATTTCGAGCTCTTGCATACAGGTTATAATCAGAATCGCTGCGAGTTCGTAAATATCGCTTGTAGGCTTCTTTCTTGGTCTTTAGCTGAGCCTTAACTGCACTGTTCATCCACTGGGACTTTTTGACTCCTCCAAGCGTGATCTTAGGTACACAGGTATCAACTGCTGACACAACCGTGTCTTTGAGAAACGACCATGAATCAGCCACATTCATGTCCTTAATACAGTCCGAAATATTTGCCGCATTCACCGCTTCACGGAGTTTATCATAGTCGCCTTTCGCAAAGTTCAAACGTTCACGCTTCCGAAGCGTCTTTTCTGCACAACACTTAATATTGAAAAAACAATGATTGGTGGTGGCTTTTGCCCAACGGAACCTCGTGGCGAAGCTCATCTATCATTGATTCTTTACTAGTAAACGCAAGATCTAGAATATTTGGGGTCTGTTTACCCCTAAAATAGGTTGGCTTGTTGATGTTCTGGATTAAAAATGAGTCTCGCACGGACTCCAAGAACAAGGATGCTGGGTGATTCCCATTTCTTGGAGAAGATTCATCTGCCCAGTCTATTTCTGGATGGTTAAAGTCACCAACGATCAACGTATGCGACCTGCTGGATGACATGCTCGGCAAAAGGCTATTTAGTACTTTATTGTTATCAGAGGAGCTGTTATAGGTGATCTGTACTTTTTGAACTGTACCATGCAACTGTACTTTTTGCGACGTATTCCTCACTGTATTATAAACTTTTGTGTCGTCAGCATACATCGAGCACACGCTAGACACAGCCTCTATCAGATCGTTTATAAACGCAACGAATAAAATAGGCCCGATAACGCTTCCTTGTGGCACGCCGCAGCGCGCTGAAGCCCTGGGGCCATACTTTCAAAACTCGCTAAGTGATTGTAAGTACTTACGCTTTATTTTCTTGTCTATGATTGGTGGATTTTGCTTGAAAGGCCGTCAATGATTTGCTGATGAACTTACGATCTCTTAACTTTTTTTTAAAGTATGGCCACAGTCTGATACGGTCCCATTAATACTAACACCTAACACGTTGTCGTCTCCCTACTAGAAAATCTCTTATCCATTTGAGTACATTACTCTCAATTCCCAAAGACTTCAATTTACGCAACAGCCGATCGATCGTATGGGAGACTGTCAAATGCCTTGGCAAAATCGAGGTACACTGCATCTTTTCGTCCAGCAGGCGGGTCCATTCTAGTTTACAAGAGGTTAGTGGTGCAGGATCTACCGGCAATAAAGCTATGTTGACAGTCTGTAAGGAGATTATTAACAGTCTAACGATCGATCAATCGATCACTCACAACATATTTTATTACCTTGCAAACGACACTTGTCAAACTGACAGGGCGATAGTTGCCCGGGCAGCTTTTGCCACCTTTTTTGAACAATGGTGTCACTTGAGCTTCTTTTCAGTCAGCCGGCAAGATCCCTTCGTTTAAAGTTTTTCGAAAAAACGACGCCAAGGGCCAGCTAGGACGGTTGCTAACTATTTGGGTAATCTGGGGTGGAAGCCATCCGGTCCACATGACTTGTTGGGATTTAGAGTGATAAGGCGCTTGAAAACTTCTTCTTCTTGTATTTAAAAACTTGTTAATTTAGAGCCGACTGGGCGCTCCTCAATAGCTGAAATACTGTTCAAGTCTTCTTCAGTGAATACGCTACTAAAAAACTGATAAAGAATGTTAGCCTTGCCCTGATCAGAGGATATCGTTCGTCGATATATTTTCAAATCAGAAATACCTACCGTTGTCTTGCACTTTGAGCTAGCGTACAAAATAAGGCTTTCGTCTTTTTTACATTTTTGCATTTCTTTGCGATATTTTCTCGAAGATTTTTACTGCGGTGCGACTGCTTTCTTTTGCTTGATGTCGAGCTCAGGCGTATAGGTAGTAATCAGCATCGCTACGAGTCTGTAAATTACGAGTCTGTAAATATCGCTTGTAGGCTTTTTTCTTGGTTTTAGCTTAGCTAGAACTATACTATTCATCCACTGAGTTATTTTGTCTCCACCGAGCTTAATTTTAGATTCACGCGCATTTACTGCAGACATAACCGTCCCCTTGAGAAATGACCATGACTCAGCCACATTCACGTCTTTAATACAGTTCGAAATATTCACTGCATACACTGTTTTACGGAGTTTTTCACAGTCGCCTTACGCAAAATACAAACGCTCACGCTTCCGAGGCATCTTTTCTGTACAGCACTTAAGACTGAAAAACAATGGTTGGTGATGGCTTTTGCCCAATGGAGCCTCGTGACGAAGCTCATCTCACATTGATTCATCGCTAGCAAACACCAGGTCTAGAATATTGGGAGTCTGTTTACTTCTATAATGGTTTGGCTTGGTAACGTGCTGGACTATGAAGGAGTCTCTCACAGACTCTATGAACAAGGATGCTGGGTGATTCCCATCTCTTTGAAATGATCCATCTGTTCTGTCTAGCTCCGGATGGTTAAAATCACCAACGATCAACATAACATAGCGATGACGGCGTTGAAGTGTAGGCCTGATGTGGCCTGTCGCCGTATAATAAAAGCGGGTTCAGCGTTTATTAGGCCGTAGGCCTGTCGCCAATTCTTAACATCGCAGAACATTCACAGCATTTTGCGGCCTGGAACTCGCAACTCACTGCTCTTATTCTGTCATGCTTCACCGCCCGGCCTCCTTGCCGATTCTGACCAGAAACTGGCGCACAGAGCTGGGATCGAACCCGCGCCTCTCTGCGCCAATCTCGAGGCCACCCTGCCACATAACATAGTGATGTCGGCTCTGAAGTGTAGGCCTGATGTGGCCTTTATATGTGGCCACATGCGTGACCTACGGAAATTATTTATTATAATTAGATTTAAAGGCTTCGAGTGCTTATGCACTGCCCAGCCTGATCTCTTGTCATTATACCTACGGAAAGTCATGTTCGGTAAAAGGCTGTTATGTATGTTATCGTTTTCGGAGGAACTGTTTGGTGATCTATACAAGACTCTTATGAGGAGGCTATCTTTGCCTTTGCGAGAGAGTTTGCACCACACTGATTCTCTAGCTGATTGATTCTCTGCAGGAGATATCTTCACTTGCTGTACCCCAGAAGAGGTTCTAACCAACAAAGCTACACCTCTACGGCACTGCTCTTCATTCAAGTTATGAAAACAGTCAAAACCTGGAAACAGAAATTCAACAGGTACAATTTTCCACCCGTGATTTTTGGAGAGTGTATCTGTAATACCAATAATGTCTATGCACTTTTTGTGCACTGATAATATCCTACCTCTTGATAATGGCCATGAGAATCTTATACTAGTTTATTGAATGTTATGAGTTTTTTAGCTTGTGAACTTTCGATTGTTGTTTACAAGTTCTCATGGTCCTTTGCTTTTGTAGAAGTCGTGGAGACCGGAGAAGTAAAGTTGTAAACTTTCATTCCGGTTTGAGCTGCGTTGTGTGGTGGACGTGTGTGAACAATCTGCTGGAAGTACGTACTACGTAGTGAGTATTTGATACAGAAGTTTGATCATTAGTGGGTTGGACAATTGGATAGAATTTAAGTAGGATTCCATGATTTCCATCTGTTAGCGTTTCTTCAATTTAAGTACATTTTATAGTTTTTTGTGGCTCTCTCCAAAAAAGAACCGGCAGTCCGGCCACCGGCTCTGATTCAATGATTGGTCAATAGGCCTAGCCCCTATATTTATAACTTCAAGAAACGTTGAGCATTAAAATCACAATTACCTCTTACTCGTTTAGGTGCTGGTCCTATAAATTTTGAAACTATTTCAAATAATGTTTCATTGTGTTCATTAATCATTACTGATAATTAATTTTTGCATTTCTATTTATTTTTAAAATTGATTAGGCTAACTCTTAATTTTTTCTGTATCAAAATCAGATTATGAGTTCTGAGTAAATTATAGGGCTATAAGAGTTTTTAGAATTTAAATTTTGAAAGTGTTATCATTGCATTTTCACCATTAATGGCATTATTACATTTTAAACACCTAATGGTACAATATGTGGACTGTGGTTGTGGTACAATGTACATGCCTATGCTAAGCACTGAGAGTCTGAATTCCTAATTTGTTTTGTTTGAATATTCTACTTTCAATCCTGACTGGAAAAAAATGGGATAGTCAAAAGAACTAGTATGTCTTTTAACAAACTCCACAGCTAGTCTGGAAAAGTCCTATTTTTGTCTGAAATATCGCGGCTCTAATATCATATAATTTCAGTAGGTATGAAATCTCGCGGCTCGAATGTCATAAATTTTTGTTTGATTAAAAAATCGCGGTTTGCACTTCGCAAACATGTCATTTCACAAAATTTTCAACTTCCGCAATCCGCATTGCTTTACCGTTTCCGCCAAAAATATCTTGCAGAAAACACGTGCATAAACTTTGTAAATAAATTTGCATTCGCACCTCGTAAATGACTTTTCATGGCCGAGATATGGAATTCACGGCTCGGTGAAATAGAATCACGGCTTGTAGAAATGGAATCACGGCTGGCAAATCCATAAAATGATAAAACCACTGCTCGAAAAATTCAGTCGCGGCTCGCCAAGTAGATATATTCCATACTAGCTCCACAGTCCACACTCCACAGCCCACAGGATGCTTAGGCTGCAAAAAATTGCCACTAATTCTGCAAGATGTGTAAAATACTAATTTTATTCTAACTGAACTCTCTGCTGTTAGTGCTGCAATCTGGAAAATGAAATCTGCAAATAGTTCTGAGCAGGAAGCAAGGAGTAACAAGGGTCAGCTGAGTGTTCAATGGCCAATGCACAAATTGCTGCAGCAACTATACTTTGACAGACTAGCTGTGTTCCTTCTTATGGTATAAAAGAAAACTTGGCAACTTCATACTTGAACTTCTAACCCTTGACTCTTGTGTGTGTACTGTGTAGTTGCCTTTATTTACTAGTGTTTGTTTGGCTGCGTGATATAACTGGTATATTCACTTATTCAGACAATTGATGCAACACTCTAATTTTTTCAAAGACTTGTATAAGAAATGGTAATTTGATCACTTTTGTCTTACTAAATAAATTGATTATGTTTGCTCTGCCATGCCTTTTCTGACATCTTTTCTATTCAACACATGTTAAGCCTGTATATAAAGTATAAACATGCAGGCATATTTCATGATTTTTGTCTTGGCAGTGTGATTTTTCTGGTGCATCTTTGATTTTAATAAGAAACCTTGATATTTTTTCCCAACATTTGATCAACTGTAACTAATAGGTAATAAGTAGCAATATGTAAGTAATTATGCTACTCAAACTTGCTATCTTTTATTAAATATTGATGATGATAGTCATAGGTGGAGCATGGAGCTCTCTGATGGATGAAATATCAGTTTGCTGTCTGAGAAATTCCCTTTAATTATACCTATCTTCATAGTGACAAAGCAGAGAGTTTTTTAGACTCTCCCTCAAGTTCATTTTTGAGTCCTATAAGTAGACCAGTAAAGTATCATGGATACCAGCATTATCATACTTTTATTTATTTATTGAAGAAAAGTGGTTACCCTGATGGCTTGAGGAAAAGCTCCACATTGAATTAAAAATAATTATATATACGATCAAAAGTCGATCATACATGCATATTCATATTTAAACACGAGTGGTTAATGGCCAGAGAAACAATTGATTTAAATTTTCAGGATCAAACAATATTCTTCAGCTAGTGGACATTGGTTGATAAAAATTCAGGTTCAAGGAAGTAATTTAATTTATTAACAACGTTTCGAATGTGACATCATTCATTTTCAAGTTATAGGAAGCATTGAATACGGAAATTTTGGTGGAAATAAGTACATTATACACGTAAATATGATACAACACGAAAATTTTTGTGTTGTATCATATTTACGTGTATCATGTACTTATTTCCGCCAAAATTTCAGTATTCAATGCTTCCTATAACTTGAAAATGAATGATGTCACATTCGAAACGTCATTAATAAATTAAATTACTTCCTTGAACCTGAATTTTTATCAACCAACGTCCACTTGCTGAAGAATATTGTTCGATCCTGAAAATTTAAATCAATGGTTTCTCTCATCATTAACCACTTATGTTTAAATAAGCTTATTCTGCTATCTTATACTTAGTAATTTCTGCAAGCATATTCATATATATACATACACACACACATACATTGGCACATATATGAGATAAGGCATTCGAGTCATAAGAACAGAGTAAAAGAAATTACTTAACTTAAGAAATTTGTTTAAATCTTGAGTTAGGCCTTATTGAGGAAATTAAAAATGAACTGATTCCAAAAAAGCTCTGGTTTGCCACTATGCCTATCTTCATACCAACAGATAATTCATGATATTGGTTTTAAATTCTAGAGTAGTAGAGTGTTCTGCTATCATAAATTTTGGTTGCCTTACTCCAAAGAAACATAAATGATAGTTGAAGTTTTCTGCTACAAACAGTTATCCTTATGTTGCTTATTTCCATCATAATGGCTCAGTTGGCTTTATAGTCTTGGTGTATTACTGCTCTTTGATATGGAACTTGGAAGTATGACTCCTTAGTCCTCATTAATAGCAGTGTGTACTAAATTTACCAAAATGTACTAAATTACACAATATTAACATAACTTGTTGGTCATTAAATCTGCTTCTTAGTGGAATTAGTTTGAAAAATAGTCTCAACATTTCTATCACATAAATTATTTGTGATGATAAAGTTGATCATCTAAAACCATTCTGCTATCATCATTATCCGATGATGTTCTTTACTTAGTTCTTTCCTGCAAAAACGACTTTAAAATAATATTGGCTTTTCTGATGATAACTATTTAACTTTTCATTGATAATAGTTTGGTATGAACGAGCAATTATAGTTTGGTATGAACGAGTGATACCAGTGATACTGACAGTGAGATGGGGGATGACTTTACATTATCAAGAAACAAATCAACAACAACAATTTCTCATGGTAAAAATAGATGGGCAATGGTGCAAGTTGAGTCAGTCATTGCAAACATTTTGTACCAAAAATCAATCAAATCAAAGGAGAAATTTAAACAAAACAAATTTAGAAACTGTATTTAATGTAAAGCATTGCAAGATTGTTTCATATCAAAGTATAAAACCATTATATTGAGAAAGAAATATATTTTTATGAATGTGTCTGAATGTGAGGAAGGCAAAAAATTTATTTTGCCACCACGGACTATCTCACTTGTTGAGTGTCAAGGTTGCAGCTTGGTAGACAATTGGGAATTATTAGAATTAAAATTGGGAATATGTAATGATTAGAATTAATATTGGGAATAGGTGTTGGAATTTTCCTACTATTATGTGTTTCCTTCCCTTGCTTCTTGGATGATTTTAAAAATTTGCTTGGGAAAATAAGTGATTTTTCTCATTTTTGCTGAAGAACTTTGGAAAAGGCCATAGCCCATAGGAATGAGTGAAATTGGCCAGATTCAATTCACCCAGGTTGAATTTTGATATGCTAGTTGTTAGTTGGTAGGTTTTCCAGTCATCAGTTGATAACTCTGGAAGCAATGGTCATTACGTCATTACTATGAAATTCTTGAAAAGTTATTTTCATAGTCAAATGGATTATTGATACAATATAAAAGTGATGAAAAGTTGTTGGATTAGTCATGTAATACAATAAATCTTCAGTCTACTATTGTCTTTTGACTTATGTTTACATCTGTGCTCACAAGCCACCACATTCTCTGCACTGGGCACATGTATCACACTAGCTGGACAACTGCCCTTAATTTCTGAAACCTGGATGACATCACTTTTACATAACAGATTGGACATAAGTCTAAGATATAAAGATAAATTAGGTGTACAATATTATTAGGCATTTTATTTATCCTCTCATGATTCATTCAAATTTGCAGGGTAATATAAAATAAAACCAAGAGAGCATATAGTTTGAGTTCATATATATTAAAATTGATATTTTATGCATTCTGCAAAAATAGTGGCATTACTTTTACTTAAGGGGAGCATCTGGGTCAAAATTGAAAATTTTGACTTTTGGTTTTTATACTCATCTTAAAACTTACATTCTGACGCATCTAATGGTACCAATACCATCTCTGTATGTTGATTTATGCGTTCATGACAGATCATGAAAGGGTAAGGGGTGGTGGAGTTCTTTAACATTTAAGAATGGCCGAAATTATTGGTAGCACACTTACATAGCTAGTCTGAACACGCTGTGCTTCAGTTACCTATCTGCCTGCAGTCATATGGGATGGTTCTCATTCCGTCGTTCGCACCATCCTCTACAGAAATTGAGGTCCAATATTGTCTATCTTGCAACCTGCACCCTTGAATGTTTTTTTCGAGGCATGAGCGACTTTGTTGGACCCTACAGAAAAGTTAACTTTTTGTCACTGCAAACTGATCTCCTCCTAGAGTTTTGAAGCTACAACAATGAGACATATATCATTCAATTTGCAAATAAAAAGATCTACAAAACGTTGCATACACTTTTCTAATTTCATTATAGTTTGGATTTTATAATGCAAAAAAAGGGGGGTTGGTGGGGGTAAAATAGAAAAATTTAGAAAATTTTACACAAATGCTTCCACACCCACAAAGATGAAAATTTCAAAAAATGTATGCGACATTTTATAGATCTGGTCTTTACGCATTGAATGATATGTGGTTTGATGTTGTAGCTTGAAAACCCTAGGAGGAGATAGAATTCTAACGTATCACCTTTTTAGTCCGTTTTCTAAGAATTTCACGTTTTCTTTAATTTATTCACAAAATTTACATCACAAAAAATTTCTCTTTTGGTTTTACACATGTGTACCAAGTTTCAAACTGATCCGTCTGTAAATCGCTAAGATAAAATTTTGCCCAGACACTCCACTTAAGAAGCATGTAATGGAGTAACACCCATATTAAAACATCTAATATCCTGTTTCTTCCAGTTGGAGAAAAGCCATATGAATGGGCAAAATTGACCCAATTTACTGATATTTATATTCAATTCAGAAATCATGGGTGGCTTCTGTCTAATTTTCCAATTAGGCTCTGTACCAATCAAAACTAACAGCAGGTACCGTTTTACAGATGTTAATCTATTGACAAAGCTTTTGTAAACATTAGTAGAGCTCGTGTGTTTCAGTGAAAGTTAATGAATGGCAATAGCAAACTGTTGAAATAAATCTGTTTGCATTTCTGCATAAGATTTTTGAGAATAGCTTTCATACCTCTTGTTGTAAAGTCATATCTTGTCATTCATCATTTAACCTTAGTTCTGTGAACAAGTGAAAGGCAGAGAACAGATTTTTTAATGAATAGTAACCTCACTTTGTTCAATATTAGAAAAGTTCTCTTTTTCCATAGATGCTTAGATAACAGAGCTCCAAAAATCAGATTTGTAATTCCGATTGGTATGAAATTTCATGGCTCCAAAGTCATGAAATTTTGTTGGGTTGGAAAAATTCCAGCTCACTAATATGCTATACCATAAAATTTTTTAAAATTTTGCAGTTCAGTAACATGATAATGAGAAAATATGTGGCATGGTGACTGCAACATAAAAATGTTTATTAATCCTCAAAAAAATGACTTTGCATGGCTTGGTGCAGAAATAAAGTTATCATATTTTTCAACAAAATATCCCCAAGCTAAGCAATTTCTGACTGAACAAAAATAACTTTGGAGCTCAAATTTATCAGTTTTATGTAATTGAAATCTTCGAACTGTGTACCTACCTTATTTATAACTCAGAAACTTTGGTAGCAATTTTTGAGAATCTGTGCAGGATTTCTATCTCTAATTGCTTGAGGCCAAGTACCGTACCTTAATTAAGATAGATTAGTTAGAAAATTTTATTAGTTTTATAATGATCCTTAATCTCCTGATAGGTCTTTATTTATAGTGAATGGGACTAATTTATATTTTCCTAGTAAACTGGCCTCAGGTCCTAAGTTCATTTCACTAAGTAAATGCAAGAGTAATGAAAAACTATAATATCAACTATTTTGATCATCCTGTACCTCTTTTCTAAGGATAAATCAAGTAGGTATTTAGATCTTAAGATCTTGATTTATTGATCATGCTTCAGTCCAGGGTGAAAACTTGAGCATATTTTAACTTCTCTTCTACAGTTTCGGCTGAGGTGATTAGCATTGCTGAGAAGGATCATCAGAAAATGTTTCGCATTCACTATGATGACGGTAAGCTCTCAAAGATCTACTTTCAAATTTTTAAAGAGATATGTACAGGAGTAGTACTTCAGTTACTATGATATTGAAACCAGACTTCGAAATGTAATGATGTATGTTTATTATTCATTCCATACAATGCTCGTCATTAATTCTGTTCATGTTGCATTCTTATAATGCATTGACAATTTTTCAGTCGGTTGTCATTTTGATCAGTAATAACTCTTTTATTTATGTGCTTTCACATGTTATAAAAAAGGGTTATGCTCTTTTTTAAAGTAATTTGCCTTGGTCATTTATGATCAGATCGCAGCGCTGACCGCAACACAAGAAATGACAGGGGGCCAGCTCGCAAGCGATTCAAGAAGGACAAGACATGTTCAGATCGCAGTGCTGACTGTGATATAAGAGATGATAGGAGGCCAGCTCGCAAGCAATTCAAGAAGGACAAGACATGTTCAGATCGCAGCACTGAACGCAACACGAGAAATTATAGGAGGCCAGCGCCCAAGCGATCCAGACCTGACGAGTCCGCCAAGAATGACAAGATAGCTGCTCCAGTCATAAAAAAACCAGTAGCTGACCCCTTGCAGACCCAAACATGCGGTGCCTATATTCCTCCAGCCAAGTTGAGCTTGATGAAGGGCGCACCATGCTCATCGTCCGCATTCCAAAGGCTGGCATGGGAAGCTCTAAAAAAGTCCATCAATGGTCTTGTCAATAAAGTAAACGTTTCTAACATTGGAGTCATCGTGCGTCAGTTGCACATGGAAAACATGGTGCGTGGACGTGGTATTTTGTGTCGGTCTCTCATGCAAGCTCAATCGATTTCTTTAACTTTCACGCATGTCTACGCTGCCCTCGTCGCAGTCCTCAACAGCAAGTTCCCACAAATAGGCTTGCTGCTGCTCAACAGGCTGATCATTCAGTTCCGTCGGGGCATCAGACGCAATGACAAGAGCATCTGCCTCTCTTCCAGCCGTTTCATCGCCCATTTAGTGAACCAGCAGGTGGCGCATGAACTCATTGCTCTTGAAATATTTTATTTTCTGCGTGGAAAAGTTGAGGACTTGACTGATGACTCAGAAGTCGGCGATAAATCCCGGAACAGCTGCGCTGAGCTAGCCGCGGCTTTTCTTAGAGAGTGCGGACAGAAGCTTCAGAAATTATGTCCGCGAACCATGGTTCAGATATTTAATAGTTTGAAAAACATTATCAAGAAAGGAAAACTTGAAGAGAGAGTCAAGTATATGTTTGAAGCTATCTTGATTGAAGGAAAGAATGGTTTTAAGGACAATCCTGCCGTTCTAGTAGAGCTTGATTTGGTGGAAAAGTATGATCAGATCACACACGTAGCCGAGTTGGTTGGTAAGTTAGATAGCGAAAACATTCTCAATGTATTCAAGCACGACCCCGAATTTAAGGTTAACGTAGGGAGATACATGGAAATGCGAGCTAGTATTTTGGGTGAGTCCAGCGCCGGGGAAGACGGTGAAAATGGCAGTGAGTCTTCTGGGGCGGATAGCAACGATGAAGAAGAAAGTGAAGACAAAGAAAATGTTGGTCAAGATATTTTGGACCAAACCGAGAGCAATATGCTGGCCTTCAGACGCACTATCTACCTCACTCTACGGTCATCTCTGACAGTCGACGAAGCTACGCACAAAATTCTCAAAGGTAATATCAAACTTGGATGGGAGATGGAGCTTGGTAACATGATTCTGGATTGCTGTGCTCAAGAGCGCACGTTTATGAAGTTTTTTGCTCTCATCGCCCAGCGTTTCTGTGGCATCAACCGCGTGTATCGGGACTGTTTTCAGGAGATATTCAAGACCGCCTACAAGACTTGCCACAGACTTGACACCGACAAGATGCGCAATGTTGTGCGGTTGTTCGCCCATCTCTTTGTGACGGACGCCATCTCATGGGAAGTTTTCAGCGTAGTTCTGCTCAACAAAGACAACACCACCATCTCGTCCAGTGTCTTCCTCAAAATCCTCTTTCAAGTACGTCTCTCGGTTCTTAGCCGCCCAATCGAATACGAATTGTCTGTATCAGATGCGTGTAGTAAATTCATCATGTATTCGAAATAGATTCTTGAACTTTTCTAAGTTTATTTTTGTTAGGTTTGGCTGCATATCTGGCCCAATACTTTGAACAATTGTTTTCACGCTTGCTGTCGCTTAACTAAGAAATGAATCATGAGTACAACGTAGTCATATGCTTTCTATGTGTTTTCTAAGCATTTAGCTCTTCCTTTTTCTCTTTCTCGTAATAATACATGAAATATTTCGTACAGGAAATGGTTGAATTTCTCGGTCTGAGCAAATTGAACGACCGACTCCGTGACCCGACGATGAGCTGCGCGTTCGAGGGCATCCTGCCGCGCAACAATCCCCATAACACGCGCTTCGCAATCAACTTCTTCACCTCCATTGGCCTCGGTGGCCTCACCAACGGCCTTCAGGAGCTCCTACGCAAGCAGGTAAGACTGAACATCACAAGTTATGCGCTGAGCCTGATCATGCATTTTAGATGCAGTAAATCCTCCGTCATTTGTGTCAATAACTTGAATGCATAAATTCTAGAGTACTGTGGCGGTGGGTCTGACTCCCATGAGTAGTAATGGTTTGTGAACAATTGAGAAATGCATGAAAAGTATAGCGTCTAATTTCTTACTGAAAACTTGCGAGTATTAGAATGGTCGATTATTGGTGACTTATTGCTTTCAGCCGAAACCAACCGCCATCGTCGCACCCGTCATCCAAAAGGTGGATGGTGAAGACAGCTCGAGCAGCAGCAGTGAAAGAAGCAGTTATAACAATGAGAGCAGTATTAGTAGCAGCGGTGACAGCAGTTCTTCTGACGATGATTCGTCAAGTGGTGCATCAGGTAAATTCTGTTCTGTTTGATTACTTTAAACATGAAAAACGCGCTTTGTGATGTATAATTGTGACTTGCTCAACTTCTGCTGAAAGATACTGAAACTTACCGTTTACATTTCTATTCATCTGTTCTGTGGAGATAGTTTACTGTCGCATCATAAATGGTAGCTGGACAACCTATTTAGATAATTAATTACTAACATTGGTGTGCGTTAATCAACCGAAAGTAATAATAGAAGCTAACGCGTATCAGCATTGTGCGCGTGAAGCGGTCTCTTATAGACAGAGAATTCTCACAAACCCTCGTGTTGTGACTTCATTTATTTTCAAATTTTCCAGTATAAATAGCTCAAATATCAACGTGAAATTTGTATAATTCTTTCAACGACTAATAATTGATGCTTTCTTCCTAAACATTATACATTTTTTCGTATCTAAAGGTTCTTTGAGCAAATCAAAGACTTTAAAAGCAAAGAAGACAGTCAGAAAATTAATCATTTCTTACGCGAGAAAATGTTTCGGAGTCCAGCTCCACCGTCAGTTCAAAAATCTCTAAGACAAAAGTACCAACAATTAGCAAACTAAAATTCACATTGAAGATATTAAAACATAAATTGTCAAATGAAAACAAATAAGAATGAAGTAAACATGAGCAGACAAATCTATCTATTTGCAATTTCGAGGGTATATGAACTGTAGGTTGCATTTAAACCGTTTAAAAATATACAGGAACTCCAAAATTCGCAGGTAAAAAGAACCGGTTTGGAGGCTAAAACTCTTAAATCACTATCGGACACCGGGACGCTGGACTACTCGGCATGAACGCGCACTGCTGAATGAGGGGGATGCGCAAGCAGGTTTCCTGTTCTGAAACTCCTTCCTTTATAAATATATTAATATACTAGGGACGATCGCATATGAACAGGGAGTGTATCTCTGTACCTGAAGAAAGAACTGATTTTAAAATTATTCAGAAGTAAAGTAACCTATGAAGATTTAAATTTCTGAGGTATTTAGAAAACAATACTTTCAACTTCTTCGCCATAGTCTCTGAAGCGTGACCGAAGTAAGGAAACAAACAATAAACATCATTCATATTGTCATGTTCGGGAACAACCTCAGAATATTGTTTAGACAAAAAGTTTTGAATTTGAGTATATACCAATTGCGACGAAGCTTGGATGATTGTAATAATTGGAAGTCTTGTCTTTGTTTCTCGTGAAATAAACTGATTAAAATAAACTAAAATTTACCACCATATTTTCTTGCAGCCTCGGCCCCAGCGCTGCCAGATCGTCAGGGCAGCAATGCCAGGCGACGACGCGACCCTTCTCAACGAACCCTTCGTTATTCACCGCTTCGGGGTCGTTCCCTTCGTTATTCACCGCTTCGGGTTCGTTATTCAGCGATTCGCCGCGCCGTTCTCAACGATTCGTTATTCACCGCTTCGCCGCTCCGTTCTCAACGATAAGTGAGCGTGAACCGACGAGGCAGCGTACGAGACCAGTCTCGACGACAGGAGTCTGCTTCTAAGCGAGTCTCTGACATCGAGACTCACCGAGACCGCAGGCATCGCAGCAGAGACGGCAGCAGGGCGAGACGCAGGCATCGCAGCAGAGACGGCAGCAGGGCGAGACGCAGGCATTGAAGCGTCTGTGCTTCAATGCCGTTTTTTCATCCCTCTCAGATGAAAATTATCTATCATTAAATTCTTGATTTCTGCAATCAACTTCTTATTTTGTTAGGACTGCATTGTTCAGTCGATTGCAATTTTTCAGTAAAATTTCCCCGTGTTGGTGTATTGTAATAACAGTTAATTTACCCTCTGATTGCGCTAACAAATATAGGAAACGGTGATCACAGCTACGATTTAAATTTTTGTCATCGGTCATTGGCACGTCGTGGAAATCTGTTCTTTGATTGAGAGGAGATCACGGCTACTCTGCTTGTCAGGGTGTACTCTGAAGCTGCCATTTTTGCTTGTGTCTCACCATCATTCTATTAAAAATTGTATATCAATGTTGTTTATTTATGCGTTTGGCATTGAAATTTAACGTGACATCTCCGAGAAATGAATTGTGGAACTATTTGTTTCTATTACGTAGTAATGGTAGTATCCATCATGAGCCAGGTCTTGTGGAACATACTTTTACCCATTGACATTGTCAACTTGGATCCTTGAAATTCTCCTCGGTGAAAGCAGTAAGTGTGTACAGGGTCCGCCATATTTATGGCAACGGATGTTTGCTATATAAAAATAGATTGGTTTCTAGGAGGCTTTTCTTTCATAATAAAGCCTAATTTCATCTATTTATTCATCTATTTTATATTGCAGAAGTCTAAGGTGTCTAAATTTACTAATAATTTATGGCAGTTGATAGAAATGCAACTGCAACCCTTCATGAAAAGGTCAAGAGTAATTCAGTCATTGCAAACAAGCTTCAAATTCGTCGTGAAACCGCGTGAAAAAAATTCAAGGAAACTGGTGAAACATACAATCGATCTGGCCAAGGAAGGAAACGAAGTGTCCGAACACAACAATTGGTCAAAAACACGAGGGAAAAGTTGAAGAGAAACCCTCTTCGCTCAGCTGCAGCATTGGCTGCAGAAGCAGGAGTCAGTCAGACATCAATGCATCGAGTCCTCAAAGATGACCTCAAAACCTCCCCTTACAAGATGCAAACAAGGCATGAACTAACAGACCGTCATGAACGAATGAGGCTCGAAAGATGCCAGCACATTCTGGATCTCATTGAGGATGGCACGCTGCCCAACTTGGTGTTCAGTGACGAGAAAAAAATTGACATTGAACAAAGCGTTTACCGTCAAAATGAAGAGTTTGGAGTCAGGATGGATCTGTGGCAACCAGAACAGCAACACGACGTCAAAATCCCATGTCCGTGATGGTTTGGGCCGCGGTAACCGCCACTGGGAGGTCCCTACTCGTTTTTGTCCCCTCAGGAGTGAAACTGAAGCGATACATTTCGGACATTTTGGAAGCTGTGTTGTTACCTTGGGCCCGTAAACACTTCAACGGCTCACCATGGAGTTTTCAGCAAGGCTCTGCCCCATCACATGGCTCAAATGTGACCCAAAACTAGATTCAGGGTCACATTCCAGCATTCATTAGCAAAAATGAATGGCCCGCAAGAAGCCCTGATTTGAATTCTCTCGACTTTTCTGTGTCTGCTTTCTTAGAGAATTGGGTCTGCAGAACACCTCATGATTCTTTGGATAGTTTGAAGTCTAAATTGACATGAGAAAGGGACTTGATCCCTCAAGAAGTGCTGCGTGTCTCCTGTGAAGCTTTCCCGCGTAGATTGGAGGCCGTCATTAAAAATAAGGGTGGTCATACTGAATAAATATGTCTGAGAATTGTTTAGGTAATTCTTGGCTACTAGCTCATCCAATAAAAAAACAATGCACCTGTTTGTTTCATTGAGAAACGACAAAAAACATGCGTTGCCATCAATATGGTGGACCCTGTAGAGGTTAGTTTGAAATTGTGTGTGGCATAAAGTATGACAATTAAGTATTGAAAATAGCGAGTGCATTCTTTGCCAGTGTTGCATTCCATGTGAAAATGTGGTATCCCATGCAAATCTTGCAGTTTATCTGCAAATTTTATACATTGTGAGTGATGATTAATAAAAAATAGAAATTTCAAAGATTCCGAAAGCGATTCTTTCTACATGTTCTATATATTGTATTGTAATGAAGTGAAAGAAACTTGCTTTCATTTGATTGTTTCCATGCAGTGAACGATAGTTTTGCTATCTTTAAACTTGAACTTTTCCATCAATCGACATCTCTTTAGAAATTGTTTTTCTGCATGGAACGTATTTTTTGTCAGAAATTTTATCGCCGGAAATATGTTCTGAAAGACCGTCAATAATGCTGTTCTGGCAAAAATCAACGATGTGGCCGGGCGAGTTCGTGAACAGCAAGATTGGAGCACTGAGTATCGTGTTCTACCCTCCACACACCTGCACGTCTCCGACCATTTTACGGCCGGATTCGCGGCCGGTTTATTGAAAGTACATTTTATCCACCAAGTACAATAGAAAATAACATTCGGAGACTTAAAGTCTCTCTATGAGAAATATTAAAAAAATATTTACGAAAGTATCGCGCAAAAATGACAGCATAAGAATGCAGATATAGTACAGTTACAATGTGATCTTGACAGGCTGCTTGACTGATAAGTGGCAGCTGCGTTTTAACGCTGACAAATGTAAAGTAATCCACCTTGCAAGAATAATGAACAGCAAGATTACAGTATGAGAAGACACGATTGCAACGACAGAGTTATGATGTCGAAGTTGACAATGGAAAAAGATTTAGGAGTTAATATCGATAATGAGTTGAAATTTTCTAAGCATATTGAAGGTCAAGTTAATAAAGCCAATAAACGACTTGGACTGATCAGACGCTCTTTCGAGTTCCTAGATGCAGAAGCGATGAAGCAGTTTGTTGCTGTCGTGCGCCCGAACCCAGAATTTGGAAACGTCGTGTTGTCACCGAAACTTGAAAAGGACAAAAATTTAATAGAGGGTGTTCAAAGACGTGCGACAAGAATAATTCCGGGATTGAAAGGCACGTCCTGTGAGGAAAGATTAAAAATTAAAAAATTATGAAGCTTCCAAGCCACAGTTATCGACGTCTGCGTGGAGAATTCATTGAAGCATACAAGTATACTCATGATTTATACAAGGTCTCCGAAGGATTACTAGAATTTGAAAGAAGAACCAACACCAGGGGCCACGACTATAAACTAGAAAAACTGCGCTGCAACTTATCCACGCGACAACATTTCTTCTCGCTTCGAATCACCGACATGGGGAACAGCCTCCCGGTTACGTCGTTAGCGCTCCCAGTATGAACGTGTTCAAGAACAGACTAGATATAGCTATGGAAAAATATATGTTCAGATTTTAAATGCCTAGCACCATATCGAACCCGGTTGAAGTCTAGTAGATGTTTCAAACTATCTTCAGTCCTGAAAAGATCCGGTCAAATGACACGATTTTAGATTTTCTGTGAACAAGTCACGATAAGTAAGAATTGGCGACAGGCCCCATCAGGCCTACTCTTTAGCACCGACATCGCTATGTTATGTAATGTTAAAAGTAACGAACAAAATATGCCCAAGAACGCTTCTGTGTGGCACGCCACTGCGCACTAATACCCAGTCTGACAAGGTTCCGTTTAAACTGACACGTTGTCGTCTACCTACTAGAAAATCTCTGAACCATTTTTTTGGGTACATTACCCTCTATTCCCAAAGACTTCAATTTACGCAACAACCGCTCAAGCTCATGTGGGACAGTGTCAAACGCCTGCAAAAATAGTACACTGCATCTACTGGCTTCCTTTCGTCCAGCAGGCGGGTACATTTATTCAGAGTAGACAAGAGGTTAGTGTTGCAGGTTGCAAAGTACTAAATTTCTTAGAATAATTTTTAAGAAATAGACATCTTATTGTGTTTATTCTAAATAAGATGAAACTTCACATAGAACATGGGAGTTTATAATATATGTGCCATTATATCAGGGTTGAGACGACTCAAGATGAGTCAAGCAAAACATCAAATTCTATAATTATAAAAATTCTTTACAGATGAACAGTTTTAACTTGAAAACACTATGAAATAAAAATCGTTCCATTTTTGTCAAATGTTTTATCCAACAACATTTCCTTCCTCAAAAGAGACACTGAGTGTGATAGACTGTCATGCATGGGGGCAAAGATAATTTGTTTTAGTCATTCCTTCACAACAGGAAAAAATTTAGCATTCTCCTTTTTGTTGGTCTTAGTTTAATCAAAATTTATTTTGAAATAACTGAGGGTTCTGTCACTTATTTACAGTAAAAACGCTTGATCAATATCAAATACAGTTGTCTGGTAAATTTTGTATAGCGTTAACAAAATTACGACAAACGAGAGATCAAACACAAAAATCTAATTCTGAAAAAATATTCAAAACAATCTAATTCTAAATAAAAGATGCCATGGTTTGCTTGTCAATAGGTTTTCATTGTTAGTTATTTCAGTGATCGCAAATTTTACCATAACCGCAATCAAGTGTCTAAATCAGAATTTAAGTGTTGCTGTACTAAACTTCCGATTACGCTTTTGTTTACAATTTCTCATAGTCATTTGCTTCTGTCGAAGTCGACAAGTCGTGATAAAGTGTACTTGCATTCCGGTTTGAACTGCGGTGTGCGACGGAGTAGTGACCTACGTATTTGAACAATCTGCTAGAACTACGTGGTGACTGGTGAGTATTTTGATTTGGTCATTAGTAGGTTGGATAATTAGATAGATTTCAAGTAGGAGTGTAAGAGTAGGATACTAGGATTCAATCTGCTGGCGTTCCTTCATTTCAATTTCATTTTATAGGTTTTTTTTGTTGCCCTTTAAGCCTAAGCGGCTAAGCCCAACCCCAATCCCCCATTGGCCTCAGCCGGGCAGCCCACCAGCATAGATTGGTCAATATAACCTCAACAAACGTTGTCGTATATCGTTGAGCATTAAAATCAGGATTAGCCTACCTCTTGCTTTAAGTTGCTTAGTTGTTTTACTCGTTTAGGACTTTAGGAAATTAGGTGCTGGACTGCTGGGCTGGTCCTATTAATTGTGAAATCATTATTAAATAATAATCATTATAATTGATTAAATAGGAAAAAATAAAAGAAAGAGAGACATTTAGTTTCTTCTCGTCTCATATATTTTAAAGTTGGAGACTCAGAGTGATTACTCCACCAATTTTACGTTACGTTCAGGTTCAGGTTCAAGATACTGGTATTCATTACTTATTGTTTTGTCAGGTGGTTTGCTGAGTGACACTTGATAATTGGCGCGTGAATAAGGTTCTCTTTTTGGACAGGTTCCGGCAAAATATAGTACAAAGAGAGGGTTTTAATGAAAACACTGATACATTTCATATTAAATTGAGAAATTTAAGTTCACATCCTGTGTTAACAAAAAATCTCTAGTACATGAAAAAGGTGAGCTGAACATAATCAAAGTCGGGTATTATTGCAGATTAACTACATCCAAAAAAAAGGGTGTTTTTTTTTTTAATTATATGTTTTTTGGGGTGTAGATTACGAATCTGAAATCCATTTTTGGCGGTCGGCATCGGAAAACCGATTTTTTGCAATAATACCGATCACAAAAAAATCGGTTTTCCGATGCCGACCGCCAAAAATGGATTTCAGATTCGTAATCTACACCCCAAAAAACATATAATTAAAAAAAAACACCCTTTTTTTTTGGATGTAGTTAATCTGCAATAATACCCAAAGTCGAAATCTAACAGTTAAATCATCATCATGTAAAATCACCTAATTTGCCGGAAAAAGCGTGTGATCCGTTGCAGTTCCGTTGAGCCGTATGACTGTTATAAACGACCATAACTTGCGCACATATTTATGGCTGTACTTTCCGCAACCGTACCGCGGCTGTCACTGCGCATCGCAGCCGTATTTCAAGTGGCCGTACTGTAGCTGTACCGCAAGCGTCTCTCTTCACAGTTGCTCTTTCTTCATAGCTGTCGTATCTCGTTGATATAGATGCCACACAGCCAGTCTGGCCGTAGGTTGTTTTACAACGACAGTACTTCAGAATAGTGGCGTAGTCTTCATCGTCGATGATGTTACTTTGGCTCAATGCGGTGCTTCGGCGGTTGAAGATGAATACAATCATACTGCTTCTTCTTGATGGAATTCGTGACCGTATCATACTGATGATTCTTGGTGTAGAGCTCGAAACTTGGATCTTCTGATGACGTGCGTTATTATCGTTGTACATCTCGTGGCTGCTCGCATTGTCTCACGGCTGAGTCGCAGCCGTAGTGATGATGTTGACCGTATAATATATTATATATGTATATATAATATGTTGAAGTCGTAACTGCCTTGCCACCGCTGCCTCGGTGAGTCTAAGTTTCTCGCAAGTCGCGACCGTCAATGTTCGAAAACGGTAACACCGCGGCCTCACAGCCGCAGCTGCAGACCGCACCTGCGTGACGGTCTCCGCCGTAGAACAAACAACCCTTGGCGCGAAATCTGAGGTCCTTATATACGCTAGAGTCGCGCACACTTAAGCCTAACCCTCGAACTGACGCTACATTCCTTCGAATGGAATTTCCCTCGCGCTGAGCGCCAAGGTTCAATGTAAACTAACCTTTCCCACGGTCTCGAAACAACGGCGCCGCATTCTTAGCATTCTTAACATCTATTCATAATACATGTTCAATATTACCTATGTTCAATATTACCTACTTTATTCATAATAATGTTTCTATTGTTCATAATTGATCAATAATTTTTGCATCCTATTTTTCTAGCTTTAAAATTATTTATCTATCTGTTTTGTTTATATGTCAATTTACGAATTCTAAATGTTTATATAAGAATTTTTGAGATTGAAATTGTCAACATTGAACATTATTACATTAAACATTTTAATACACCACATGGCACATGCCTATTGCCTAAGCACTTTTTGATTTATTAAAATAACATAATTCCTGCTCAGATATAAAAAACATTTTCTAAAATACATGAGACATCCAAAAACACAATGAAATATGAAAGATACATTTATCACAACTCTTTATAAATTGATATCTCACATTTACATTTTATTGTATTATACTTTGATATGAAACAATCTTACAATGCTTTATGTTTATGTTAAGTACGGTACAGTTTCCTAGTTTGTTTTGTTTTTGAGGTTCTACTTACAATTCCAACTGAAAAAAATGGGATATTAGAAGAACTACTGTCAATGGAACTCAAGTTGCCACCTCATCAAAGTTGTCAGTTGTCACACTACAGGGAAAAGGAAATGGGTATTTCTTAAAATGAACTCAATACAAACATATCATTATCATAGGAAAATACTAGAATAGATATAAATATTGCTTTAAGATAGTATAATGCATTTCTGACAATTTGTAAACAGTTCTGAGATTCTAAATCAACATGACAAAAATTCTGCAAGTAAAACAAATTTTTTCCTTCTCCTGTCTGAACTGCGTTTGGGCAATGCTCTATTACCGGGAAAATGTTTTAATGTACCAGCCCGGGGTCATTCCTGGCTGAAATGCAGTAAAAAGAGGTTAGAAATTTTACAGACATTGTACTATACCGGTAGTCATTAATTTATTTTAAGTATAACTGGCAACCTAAGTGCATACAAATTTGGGATAAATGGTGAGATTTGTGTAGGATGTTTGTTTCATGAGGCAGGACTTGAAGGATAATTTTCATTGCTAATTTATACTAACAAGTAACAATGCAATAATTGTGTCTAAGTGTTGCCTAAAATAATTTAAGAATCATTCCCTATTCTTGTTCTTTCCCACATAATTAGCAATTTGTTTTAAAAACGTTTTAAAATGACTTCAGAAGTCTTACACAACACTCGTGCATCAATTGGAGTTACGCATACAAAGTGTGGCACTGCATAGATGTTTCTGAGCTTGTATGAATAAGCCTGACACAAGTTTTCTTTCTTATAAATAATCTTAATATGGCAACCTACCTTGTTGAATCCCTTAAAATGAACAGATAAATACAAATAAAAACAATTTCAGGCACATAAACAAACTTGAAAGGATAAAACCTACATCAGATAATAAATATTTATATACATTATTTTGTGTGATCAATGTGGGACATGCATTTTATATACAAATTTTATACAAAATATAATTATTTTGGCAAGTTGATGAAGTAAATGGAATGAATACATTGTCTTTCTTTTCAGCTCTTGCAAGTCTGCGACATAGTTTTGTGAGTGTAGATACTTGCCTTTAACACGTTGACTGCGACTCGCAAAATAGCCTGTTTTCCAGTGGTGCGACTCATTCAAACTTGAATAACTAAAGTTACAGACAAGGCAGCAAGATCAGGGCTAGTGCGCTGCTCTTGTCTGAGCGAGTTCTACAAGCTTCTGACATAAAAACCGTGAGCCTCTATTGGTGCAGGTCGCCTGGGATGGAAACTTTCATCTTTATAGGCAATGTGCGCCATATGAGGTACACTGCATTTATTATTCAACTACAATAAAAAATTTGCAACACACAGGTACTAACGCTTGAAAAAAACATTTCTGTTCAAATGAAATCGGATTGTGACTGCAATAATCAAACTACAAATCATTCTGGGGTAAAATGCTGCTAAATGGGAAGTTTATAATTCATCTAGATGATTTCTTACAAAACTGCTCTAAGCAAAGCATGAAGTGGTACCAACAACTGTTCAAGTTATTGGCAAAAACTGTAGCAAATGCCTGGGTGCTTGGTGATCAGCTCTATAGTCAGCAAAAATCGATGTGAATTGCTGAATTCGTTGTAGATTACTGAATGTATTTTCACTAGTTATAGGTCAGACACATGAAGAAATGTTTATAACCAAATCACAATGATTTTAGATGTTGACATTCCAGCTCTAAAGTATTTGAAGCTGAGGATCTGAACTTCATGCCATGACGAGCTACCGTATGCTTTAACATAATTGCAAAAAAAGGAAGTTAGTTGGTGCTAAAGTGAGACGAAAAGCTAGAAAAGTAACTATCAATTGCTAGCCCAGTACTCGGAATCTGTATCACTGTTCATCTTGATTTTTGCAGTGCCATTCTGTTTCTGTGTGAGCTTAGTCAACTTTTGAATGACTAATACTTATTTTTCAACTGCTATAATCCATACCAATACCGAAAAAATGATTTTCAACATATTGGAACAGGATAACCCCCTTTATTTAATACTTTTTCTTTTTTGTACCCACTCATTATTTCAGGCTACATTCACACTACTAAGTTTCTTATGATTTGATTGCACGACGTTCATATAGGTTTTTGAAAACATTATTTTCAATTATCCATCATATTTTTCACAAGTTTATGATCTGGCTGATATTTTAAAGAGCTTTTTTTAAAAAATTGAAATTTTTAAGCGTACGCCATATATGGTGCACATCGCAGTTTGGGACATGCATGCGTGTACCATATACGGCGCACGTCGCAGTCAAAGTGTTAATATTACAGTGTCTGGCAGCAGACTCAACAGAAGCATTTCAGCTTTCAAGATCTCATATTTGTTGGCAATACGCTCTTTCCTTTGGCCATAATATTAGCCCCTGAGCTATAAAATGGGTTGGGAATCACATTTTTGAGGTTAAAAAAAATTGTTCATTCTGCTTACAAAGAAATTTGCACTCAAAGTGAATTCTGTTTGAATTGCTGACTAGTGCGCTACACTAGATACATTGTTACCGCATGTCTCTAGCGGGTGAGACAAACTTGTCTGCTTATGAATTTAGAGGTAACTATTAAAGTGAATATGTAATGAAACAATTTTTCAATGGAATTAATTAAGGGATCTTGTACAAAATTAATCAAAACAAGTGACTGAAGTAAGCAAAAAAAAAAAAAAACTATGGGTAATAATGACTAATAAAAGTGATGTGTGGATTGTGAGTGGTTATGCTAATAATGAACTAGAAATTAGAGCATGGGCAGGTGGAGATGGTTCATGTGCCAGTTAACTGAAAAGCATAACTAAAATTAATTGACAGAAATTAAATCGGCAACCCTCATGACAAGACTTTGGTATATGAGAAATATTTTAATGTAATTTAACCACTCATGGCCATAATGCCAATTAAGACAATAAACATGCTTGAAGCATCAATTAGTGGAACAGAACACAGAATCATATTCAAGGTACAACGAACAAATTAAAATTTCAAGCTTTAAACTCTGAACTTAATGACTGTAGATAATTAACCAAACAAATAATATAACTTGACTAAAAATGTTAATGAATCATATTGGCACTTTAGAAGAGCATCACTAAGCATGGATTCGAATGGCTGGCATACTAAATAAACACATAAAACCAGCACATAACAAAATGCACATTCAGAAAAACCTTGCAATGACCGCAGTTAAATTAAGAACCAAAAGCCTCTGTTGAAAATTGTGAAAATGAAGTTTAAGTAAGATTTGAAATGCCTAGCACCATATCAAACCCGGTGGAAGTCTAGTAGCTACTTGAAACTATTGGCAGTCATGAAAGATCCGGTCAAATGAAACGATATTAGATCTTCTGTGAACAAGGCACGAAAAGGAAAAGAATTGGCAACAGGCGACATCAGGCCTACACTTCAGTGCCGAGATCAATATGTTATGTTAAAACAGTAACTCTCAGACAACATCATCTTACCATTAGCCTGAAGGGACAACATCAGCAGTCAACTCACCTAGGCAATAGTCCTAACTAGTAATAATAGCCTTCTGAATTCCCAATTGATCAGACAAATTACCATAGCTTCACATCAAGGCAATGACACTGGCAATGAAAAATAAATTGATGCTGGAATGAACTAAGAGAGAAAATGGCAATGTTAAAAACGATTTATTGGTTAAAATCAGGTAAATGGGTGAAGGCAGTAAGGGATGTGCTAAAACCTAGCTTAATTATGCTCCTTGTGAGAACATGGTTGGTAACAGACTAAGTTTTCATATGGAATGCTTATTCATGAAGTGCATTTTTTTATAAAATGGAATCATATGAAAGGAATGAACACCAAACAGCCCTCCCAAAATTGCTGCAGTGAAAAGTATAGCTTCTACCAATCACAAAATTCAATCTTAGTGCAAACCCACTAAAATATGGTAGCTAGAAGAAAGATATATTTCTTGGGGTTCCATTTATTTGGAACAGAAGCAATATTTAAATTTTTTCATTAATTTGTTGAAGAAAGAGCAAAGTTTTAGAATTGGTTCCACATGAATTTGAGGCTTCCTATACTGTACCTCACGTAGGTGCTACTCACGCAAAGGCTTCAATAACCTCACCAGGCTATGGCAGCTTTATTGAACCCTTTGTCAATATTGTTGGCAACTAAAAAGTAGGTACTATACCTATACCTCACCACTCCTGATGAGTTTCAATAACTTCCAGATTATTATATGGTCAAGCAATAAAAAAATGGAGTGACTTTTTTCTCAAAATTAAACATAAGTCAACACTGCTCAAGTGTTACATTTAATTTTTAGCTTCTTGGTGTTTTGAAATTTATTATATTCCAGCAGGGTTTTTGGAAGTGGTGACTTATGTGGCAGTGACTGTTAACAAACAGGTAGTATGTCTGTTAACAAACTCTGCACTCTCACTTACTAGTTGCCTGTTGGGCTTGCAGCTTGGCAGACTGGAGTTAAAATCTGGAATATGTGGTAGAATATTCTTAAAATTATGGGTTAAAATCAGCACTTCTTGGATGATTTTTTAAAAATTGTATGGAAAATAGGTGATTTTCCTCATTTTTTTGCTAACGGAAAAGGGAAAGGGCCATTGCCCATAGGAATGAGTGTAATTGGCCACATTCACATCACCCAGGTTTCATAGTGTGGCATAAAAGTCCTAATCCCCATCACTGGTTGTTAAGTTGTTAAGACTGGTTGGTTAAGTTGAAGACTGGTTGTCCCCATCACTGGTTGTTAAGATATGCTAGTTGGTAGGTTTTCCCATTGATAACTTTTGAAGCAATGGTCCTTAGGTCATTACTATGAAATTTTTAAAAAAGTTATTTTCATAGTTGAATGGATTATAGATACGATGTAAAAGTGATTAAACGTTGTTGGATTAGTCAAATAATACAATAAATCTACAGTCTACTATTGCCTTATAACTTATGTTTACATCTATGCTACCTCACAAGCCACAACATTCTCTGAGCTGGGCACATGTATCACATTTGGGCAACTGCCTTTAATTTCTGAAACCTGGATGACAACCCTTTTACATATATAACAGATTGGACATCAGTCCATGATATAATGAAAAATTAGGTCTACATTATTAGGCATTTCATTTACCATCTCATGATTCATTCAGATTTGCAGGGCAATATAAAATAATACCAAGTTAAGGCATATAGTTGGAGTGCATATTCAAAATGATATTTTAGGCATTCTGCAAAAATAGTGGCAATATTTTTGCTTAAAAAGCATGTAACGTAGTAACACCTGTATTAATACATCTAATATCCTGTTTTTCCAGTTGGAAGAAGGCCATAGGAATGGGTGAAATTGGCCAAATTTACTGGCATTTTTATCCAATTCAGAATTCATGGGTGGCTTCTGTCTAATTTTCCAGTTAGGCTCAGTACCAATCAAAACTAACAGCAGGTACCATTTTACAGATGTTAACCTATTAACAAGGCTTTTGTAAACATTAGTAGAGCTCCTGTGTTTCAGTGAAAGTTCATGAATGGCAATAGTAAACTGTTGAAATATATTTGTTTGCATTTTTGCAAAAGATTATAGAAAACAACTTTCATATCTCTTTTCCTTAAAATGTTGTTCATTATTTAACCTTAGCACTATGAATAAGTGCAAAGAAGAGTGCATGCTCAAAAATTGCATTGCATGGCTTTGTGCAGAACTAAAGTTATCAAATTTTTTCAACAAAATATCCCCAAGCTAAGCTATTTCTGATTGAACAAAAATAACTTTGGAGCTGAAGTATTTTTACTTTGATGTAATTGAAATTTAGGAACTGTGTACCTTATTTAGAACTCAGGAACTTTGGTAGCAATTTTTGAGAATCTGTGCCAATCTCTATCTCTAATTGCTCAATCTCTATCTCTAATCCTTAATTAAAATAGATTAGTTCAAAAATGTTATTAATTTTATAAAGATCCTTAATCTTTCCTGATAGATCTTTATTTATAGTGAATGGGACTAATTTCTATTTTCATAGTAAACTGGCCTCAGATCCTAAGTTCATTTCACTAAGTAAATGATGCAAGAGTAATGAAAAATGAAAGTAAAATTGTTGAGTGATGTGTTGAATAATATCAACTGTTTTGATCCTGAACCTCTTTTCTAAGGATAAATCAAGCATTTAAATCTTGATTCCTGATTTATCTTCATTTAAATCTTGATCTTGATTTATTGATCATATTTCAGTCCAGGGTGAAGACTTACATTTATTTTAACTTCTCTTCTACAGTTTTAGCTGAGGTGATTAGCATTGCTGAGAAGGATCATCAGAAAATGTTATACAATCACTATAATGACGGTAAGCTGATTTGTACCTTCTCATTTCTAGATCTAATTTCAAAATTTTTGATGAGATATGTATATACAGGATTACTTCAGTTTCTGTGATAATGAAACCAGAATTTGAATTGTAATGATGTGTTTATTATTCATTTCATACAATGCTCATCATTAGTTCTGTTCATGTTGCATTTGTTATAATGCATTGACAATTAATCAGTCAGTTGTCATTTTGATCAGTAATAACTTTTATTCATGTGCTTTCACATATTATAAAAAAGATTAAGCTCTTTTTAGCGCATTTGCTCATTTATAGAAAAAATGCCTTATTGTGCTCGTCATGTCTGTCCGTGACTTCACATTTTCGTCAATGAAAAAATGCCCTATGTCACTCACTGCAGTGAGTACTTGGTTATATTTTTAAAACTAATTTGCCTGGGTCATTCATGTTCAGATCGCAGCACTGACCGCAACACAAGAGATGACAGAGGGCCGGCTTGCAAGCAATTCAAGATGGACTATACATCAGATAGCGGTGCTAACCGCAACACAAGAGATCATAGGAGGCCAGCTCGCAAGCAATTCAAGACGGACAAGACTTGTTCAGATCGCAGCACTGAACGCAACACGAGAGATGACAGGGGGCCAGCTCCCAAGCGGTCCAGACCTGATGAGTCTGCCAAGAATGACAAGATAGCTGCGCCAGCCATCAAAAAGCCAGTAGTTGACCCCTTGCAGACCCGAACTGGCGGTGCTTATATTCCTCCAGCCAAGTTACGCATGATGCAGGCAGAAATTTCTGACAAGTCGTCGGCTGCATTCCAAAGGCTGGCGTGGGAAGCTCTCAAAAAGTCCATCAATGGCCTTGTCAATAAAGTGAACGTTTCTAACATTGGAGTCATCGTGCGTGAGTTGCTCAAGGAAAATGTGGTGCGTGGACGCGGTATTTTGTGTCAGTCTCTCATGCAAGCTCAATCATTTTCTTTAACGTTCACGCACGTCTACGCTGCCCTTGTCGCAGTCCTCAACAGCAAGTTCCCGCAAATAGGCTTGCTGCTGCTCAATAGGCTGATCATTCAGTTCCGTCGGGGCATCAGACGCAATGACAAAAGCATCTGCCTCTCTTCCAGCCGTTTCATTGCCCATCTAATGAACCAGCAGGTGGCACATGAAGTTGTTGCTCTTGAAATATTGACTTTTCTGCTTGAAAAAGTTCAGGACGCAACTGATGACTCAGAACTCGGAGATAAATCCCGGAACAGCTGCGCTGAGCTAGCCGCGGCGTTTCTTAGAGAGTGCGGGCAGAAGCTTCAGGAACTTAGTCCACGATGCATGGTTCGGATATTTGAAAGTTTGAAAAACATCATCAATGAAGGCAAACTTGAAGAGAGAGTCAAGTATATGTTTGAAGCTATCTGGACTGAAGGAAGGAATGGTTTTAAGGACAATCCTGCCATTCTGGAAGAGCTTGATTTGGTGGAAGAGGATGATCAAGTCACACACGTAGCCGAGTTGGATGGCAAGTTGGATAGCGAAGACATTCTCAATGTATTCAAGCACGATCCCGAATTTGAGGTTAACGAAGAGAAGTACAAGGAAATTCGAGCTAGCCTTTTGGGCGAGTCCAGCGACGGGGAAGACGGTGAGGATGGCAGTGAGTCATCTGGGTCGGATAGCGACGATGAAGAAGATGAAGACAAAGAAAATGCTGGTCAAGATATTTTGGACCAAACTGAGAGCAATATGCTGGCCTTCAGACGCACTATCTACCTCACTCTAAGGTCATCTCTGACAGTCGACGAAGCTACGCACAAAATTCTCAAAGGGAATATCAAACCTGGATGGGAGATGGAGCTTGGTAACATGATTCTGGATTGCTGTGCTCAAGAGCGCACGTTTATGAAGTTTTTTGCTCTCATAGCCCAGCGTTTCTGTGGCATCAACCGCATGTATCGGGACTGTTTTCAGGAGATATTCAAGACCGCCTACGAGACTTGCCACAGACTTGACACCGACAAGATGCGCAATGTTGTGCGGTTGTTCGCCCATCTCTTTGTGACGGACGCCATCTCATGGGAGGTTTTCAGCATTGTTCTGCTCAACGAAGACAACACCACAAGCTCATCCAGAGTCTTCCTCAAAATCCTCTTTCAAGTAAGTCTCTCGGTTCTTAGCCTTCCATTCAAATACGAATGTGAATTTTCTGTATCAGATGCTTGTAGAAAATTCATCATGTACCGTTATTCAAAATTGGTTCTTCAACTTTTTCAAGTTGATTTTTGTTAGGTTTGGCTGCAATTCTGGCCCAATACTTTTAGCAATTATTTTCATGGTTGCTGTCGCTTAACTAAGAAACGAATCAGAGTATAAATGTAGTCATGTGCTTGATATTTGTGCAGGAAATGGTTGAATTTCTCGGTCTGAGCAAATTGAACGACCGACTTGGTGACCCGACGATGAGCTGCGCGTTCGAGGGCCTCCTGCCGCGCGACAATCCCCGTAACACGCGCTTCGCAATCAACTACTTCACCTCCATTGGCCTCGGTGGCCTCACCGACGGCCTTCGGGAGTTCCTACGCACACAAGTAAGACTGAACATCACCTCAAGTTATGCGGTGAGCCTGATCTTGCTTTTTTAGATACAGTAAAATCCCTCGTCATTTCTGGTCAATAACTTGAATGTAGAAATTCCAGACCAGTGTGCCTGTGGGTCTGACTTCCATGAGTCGTAATGGTTTGTGGAAAATAGTTGTGCATGGAAAATATAACGTCTTATTATTTACTGAAAACTTGCGAGGAATAGAATGATTAATTACTGGTGATTTATTGCTTTCAGCCAAAACCAAACGCCATCGTCGCACGCGTCATCCAAACGGGGGATGGTGAAGACAGCTCGAGCAGCAGCAGCAGCAGCAGCAGCAGTAGCAGCAGCAGCAGTAGCAGCAGCAGTAGCAGCAGCAGTGACAGCAGTTCTTCTGACGATGATTCGTCAAGTGGTGCGTCAGGTAAATTCTGTTCTGTTTGATTACTTATACTATGGAAAAAACGCGCTTTGTGTTGTATGATTGTGACTCGCTCAGCCTCTGCTGAAAGATACTGAAACCTACCGTTTGTATTTCTATTCATCTGTCGGTGGAGATAGTTTACTATCGCATCATAAATGGTAGCAGGACAATGCATTTAGATAATTGATTACTAACATTGGTGTGCTTAGATCAGCCGAAAATAATAATAGAAGTTAACGCGTATTAGCATTGTGTGCGTGGAACATTCTCTTATAGACAGAGAATTCTCACGAACCCTCGTGTTGTGACTTTATTTATTTTCAAATCTTTCCAAATTTTTCAGGTTAAACAGCTCAAACATAAACGTAAAATTGGTATAATTCTTTCAGCGGCTAATAATTGATGCTCACTCCCAAAACATTATACATTTTTTGTATATAAAGGTTCTTTGAGTAAATAAAAGATACTGAAGACTTTGAAAGCAAAGAAAAAAGTCAGAAAATTCATAATTTCTTACGCGAGAAAACCTTTCGGAGTCCAGCTCCATCGTCAGTTCAAAAACCTAAAACACATGTACAAACAATTAGCAAACTAAAATTCACATTTCACATATTAAAACATGAATTGTCAAATGAAAACAAATAATAATGAGGCAGATTAATTTATCTGTTTGCAATTTCGAGGGTATATGAACTGTAGGTTGCATTTAGACTGTTTAAAAATATACAGGAACTCCAAAATTTGCAGGTCAAAAAAATTGGTTTGGAGGCTAAAACTCTAAAATCACTATCGGACACCAGGACGCTGCACTACTCGGCATGATCGCGCACTGCTGAATGAGGGGGATGCGCAAGCAGGTTTCCTATTTTAAAACTCCTTCCTTTATGCTCCGCCAGCCTAGTATTAAAATTACGTGATGTCATACCGACATGCAGATGCGTACTACTGCGCATAAATATATTTATAAACTAAGGACGACCACATAAGAACAGGAGGTGTATCTTTGAAAAAAGAACTGATTTTAAACGAAAGTCTCGTCTTTGTACCTCGTGAAATAATAAACTAAAATTTACCACCATATTTTCTTGTAGACGCAGCCCAATACCGTCTGGGCGGTAATGCCAGGCGACGACGGGACACGTCGACGCGCCGTTCTCGAGACGTGAGCGTGGACCGACGAGGCAGCGCACGAGACCAGCCTCGAAGACAAGACTCTGCATCTAAGCGAGTCCCTGACATCGAGACACACCGAGACCGCAGGCATCGAAGCAGAGACGGTAGCAGGGCGAGTCGCAGGCATCGCAGCAGAGACGGCAGCAGGGCGAGTCGCAGGCATCGCAGCAGAGACGGCAGCAGGGCGAGTCGCAGGCACCACAGCAGAGACGGCAGCAGGGCGAGTCGCAGGCATCGCAGCAGAGACGGCAGCAGGGCGAGACGCAGGCATTGAAGCGCCTGCGCTTGAATGCCGTTTTTTCATCCCTCCCAGATGAAAATTATCTATCATTAAATTCTTGACTCATGCAATCAACTTCTTATTTTGTTAGGACTGCATCGTTTCGTCGATTGCAATTTTTTAGTAAAACTTTTTTTTAGAGTCATTGTATATGTAATTTCATCTGAAATAGGTTAATTAATCAGACAAGTTGTGAGGTACGGTAGTTCTCATTTTTTGCAGACGTAATTTTCAGGAATGTGCGCAGAACAAAATTGTATGATAAACATTTCTATGTGCATTGCGCTCCTCAACGTTAATCTTGATCCGTATCCTATTTTTCATCCTTATATAGGTAATTTATCTTTCTGCTGATGCTGGATAAAGTCAATGTTTGAAATGGCTTGTGAGCTCTTTTCCAAGTTCAGTTTCTAGAAATTAATAATATATATTGAGGGTTGAATGCATTGGTAGTCGAAACTTACCATTCTCGGTCATATTGTATTGCAAATAATGACAAGTTATTCTCCAAATGTCATCCCAACTTAGCACTACGCAATATATGACTGTCACTGTCAATGCTGCACTACCACGGTAGGATGAATTCGTAATATTTTCAATGCCATGTCCTATGTTCTCATGACTGCCTATAAATCGAATAAAATTTTGCCGAGTTGGTGTATTGTAGCAACAATTGATTTACCTCCTGATTTCCCTAACAAACTTAGTAAAATCAGAGCTTCAGAGGAACAATTTAATTTTTTATCTTCTGGCATCGGCACTTCGTGGAAGTCTGTTCATTGGTTGTGAGGAGATTAAGGCTACTCTGCTTGTCAGGGTGTACTGTGAAGCTGCCATTTTTGCTCGAGTCTCACCATCATTCTATAGACAATTGCATATCATTGTTGTTTCTGCTATATCAGTTTCTGCTGGTCTTTATCTGCCATTAACCAACCTGGGTACTGGGTGGCTGCTGAATGCAGCGCACACCATATTGGGGGTATTACATACCACCATTATTTGCTATTTAAAAGGCCATGCAGATCGCCACCACTGATTTATCTCTGCCGGATAAGCCAGTTCTGATCTTGAACGACTCACGAGCAGCACTGCAAATTCTTTCTTCCTCGTCTTGTTGCTCCTATCACTCGATCATCGTTCAAATTCATAAACTGATGCAAATCAAGGGGCTTGATAGAATGATGATTTATTGGGTTTGTGGCCATAGCAACATTCCTTGCATAATGCACACACGAATGATCGCTCTGCAAGATCCAGTTTGTGTTTTCATGAATGGCTCTGTTTGTTGAAGACCAAATGCTTGAAAAATTGGTCATTCTGGTGGTCAGGACAGGGGGCAGTGCAGTTTTTAGGGAGGGGAACCCTCATGCTGGGATTGAGAGCAACATTAAATAATTTAGACCATGGATCGCTACCTCACTCAATTGAATGGGCTGTCGCTCGTCTGTGACTTAGTCATGCTGTTGCGAATGTCCACTTGGCCCGTTTCAAGTTGGCTAATTACAGCAGCTGCTCTACACGCAACACAGAAAACAAAATTGGTCACTTTAATTTTGCACTGTTCGCTAGCTCTTCATCAACTAGGTAGAGGAGAGAGTTTCGCTGAAATCTGGAGAACCTTTCACTCCCTTGGAGTTGGAACCTCATTACAGCTCTCGGAGGGAGTGATATCCCTCAAAAAAGAATAACTGGTCATGCTACTTTGTCTGCCCTATTAGGCTATTGGACAGGGCGGCCCAGTGGTTACAGCTCACTGAGTACTAGGATTGGAGCAGAGAGGCACAGGTTCGATCCCAGCTCTGTGCGCCAGCTTCAGCTGGTCAGAATCTGCAAAGAGGTCGGGCGATTAAGCACAACAGAATGGTAGCAGTGAGCTGCGAGGTCGAGACCGCAACAAGAAGCTGTGGATGTTCTGCGATGTTAATAATCTGTGACAGGCCTACGGCCTAATACACTGTAACCTCTGTATTTTGTTATAGAACTGCAGTTATTCGTCACCTGGGATAATACCTGCTGAGATGCAGCTTGCTGAACATCCTATGAAAAATATCAGAGCCTAATTTTTTCGTTTCTTCTTCCACACAACAACCACTTCTGTGAGATTGTGACAGAAATGAAAATTTAAGCAAAAGTGGCAAGGTAAAACAAAGTTCCAACAAAAATCCAGTTGGGCTCAGAGTCTGCTAAGTTGGCAATGCTCCAGGCTTTGCATTGATTCATATAAGATTTTCAATTATGTATTTTTTCCATATGTAAAGTTTACTTCCTAATTCTCACTGAACTCGCATAAATCGAGAGTCGAGATTAGCAGCCGTGCAGCCCTAGTAGCTTAGGTATATAGCGCTACGAGATAAGAAACAATCTGAAACTTATACCGGTACGAGTTTAGTTCGAAACGAAAGTCAAAAGTGATAAAACTTTGGAGTTACCTTTTTATATGTGCTACAAATACATTTCTTTAGTTATTGTTATACTTGTATTGCACGAAATAACTATACTAAACTAAAGGCTTCGTGTAGTGAATCACTTGATAAGCTGATTATTTTTTACGGTAGGCTAGTTGGGACTTTGGTCTGAGTACCGATATGAGTTTCGGTACCGATCGAATCGGTAGTTTCGGTTCATTTCTTGCAAGCTGCAGATTTTTAATGCCTCCCGTCTTTTCAGTTTTGGCAGAACTGCCGTAATTTCGAAGATGATTTTCTTAGATATTGTTTGCATATTATTGGTTTCATCATGGTATCTATTATTTAGCCTGCAGTCAGCATTCCTGCTCACTATCATTATTGGCATATTGAGGTGAGAATTGTTTTAACACACAGACGACACAGTGACAGTTTTTCAAATGATTCAATTACCATTGCTGATCCTAATACCATAAATTTGCTAAATTATTTATTTAGCTACCCAGGGCCAGGGCCAGGAGTGAGTGAGGGCCAGGATTAGGAGGCCCAGGAGTCCAGGGTGGAATTCAAGGAAATTGAGGTAATGAGGTTCATTTATTTAATCTCTCTGTAGATTATGGTGTGTTCAGTGTTCATTGCTCAATTGTTTAATGAAGATAATATATTGGATAAAATTTAAATCCAATGTTTCCTTGCTGCTATTAAGTACATATTATTATTTTGTAAGCCTAGGCTATCGCTATATAAGCCTAGGCTATCGCTATATTATATGGAACTTTGAGCTGAGACTTGGTTCAGTTGTTCTAGTGACAAAAACTGTCTTAATATGTATCCTACTTTGAGAAATGGAGAGAAAATTAATAGCCTTTAAAGCCATATTAAATTATTTGAAAAAAATACTGATTCAAGGCTCAATCTGCCTCCTGTAAAATGAGAATGAATTTGTGTATCTTTTTCCTTTTACTACATATATAAAATTGGTAATATCATGAATCTGCAACTATGATCCTAGTTGACATTTTTAAACAAGATATTTGCGCTAAAAAATCTTTGCTAATTTTACTTGACACTAGTAGTAGTAGAATTGTAAAAGGGTTTGTAATATATTGTAAATGTTTTTTTATGCTTCTAACCCTAGTGCTAAGCCTAACTTAACAAGGTTCATGTTAATTAGAATTGACAGAGCTGGGCAGCGCTACTGTGAAATGTAGCGGCCGTTACCGTTACTGCGCTACCACTACATGCTCTTAAATGTAGCGGGTGCTACCGCTACTGAAAATGTAGCGGCCACTACATGTAGCGCGCTACTGCCCACCTCTGGTAACAACTACATGTTGACACTAGTAACAGGCTGACCCTGGCTGAGGTTGACGATATTGCACCAAACTCTTTCATAAAGTTTTATTCCATAATTTATACGGTATTATGTATTATCATGCTGGTTTTTAAATAATATTTAATACTATTAAGTAAAATCCAAAGGCTTCATCTATAAATGTAGTGGTAGCGCTGTAGCCGCAAAACCTCGTATCGCTACTTGAATATGTAGCGGGCACTACCGCTACTGCTACAGTGGCTTACATGTAGCGCTGCTACTGTTACTGCTACTAAAAATGTAGTAGCCGCTATGTGTAGCACGCTACTTCCTACCTCTGAGAATTGAGTTCTGCAGAATTGAGTTCTTGTATAATTAGCATTTACTAATCATATGTAAATTCCACCATTACATTACCAGGGTATGGTACATTCCAAGACCATAATTGTGCAACATTTGGTCACATAATATCATAAATATGCCAATAATGGTGCACTATTGTGAAAAGTGTGACTAACTTTTCAAGCAAACCATTCCAGAACATGCTTTCCTGAGAATTTGATAACATGTCATGCTATTACCCAAGTTATGTGAGTAGCTCTATCTATGTATATATATATATTATATACATAAGTCAGTCAATAGTGCAATGTTTTTTATGAAATTCCGCAATTCAAGGTAATTGTGCAACAAAATTTCATCACACTATATTTTTGGCGATTAGTTTATATTCAGTTGTGCCACAGGGAAAAGATGAACACAATTGTGCAACATGCTTTTAAACACCAACCTTTTCAGGATAGGGTTAGGGTAGTAAAAAGGGTTAGTTTGCTAAGAATATATTATATATGTCCTCAAAAAATTTTCTCCAGGGTTGCTGCCTCTGCTGATGCAGATTTCGTTCTGTTTTTGTTGAACTGGTTCCTCCCTGACTCAAGTGAGAATATATATGGTTTTTTGATAATTAACCCTTTGGCAACCAGCTGTAAATATGTTGCCTTTCATTAAGGCAATTTTTGTTTATATTTGAAGTCTATTCATCCAATTGGACAAATATATTTGCCTTAATTTCAGGCTGCACTATGCGCATCTGCAGGTTTTTTCCACCTGTCAGGTTTTTTTTAGTGCATAAATTTCATCAATGCGGTAGTATTGATGTGATGTAGTATTTTGCACTTGCATGTTAGCTGGTCACTTCAGGGTTAAAGAACATGCATCTATGTACATGATTAACTGTTTTTTTACATGATATTGTCAACTGGTGTGACTTTGGCCAATGTTTATTATTTTGCTTTGCTGCCATTTGTTTCAGTTGTGGTGTGGCCAAAGTCACCCCTGGTGGCCAGTCACCCCAGTTGACAGTATTTAGTTTTTTTAATAAGTCAACTAAATTGACTTCAATCTGATACTGCAGAAATATTATCAAAATTTTAGGATGTCTTTGAACCAATCATTGTTCATGTAGGTATTGAAATCTTCCATCACTTTATGCTAAGCACATTTTTATTGTAAATACCGTAAAATGGGGTAACTTAGACCACTTTTTTTTATAAATGATGCAATTTTTTTACTAGCTAAATTAAACTTGAATTGAAATATGCAAAATACAGGTCTATACTCTAGCTTTACTCACCATAAATAAATAAAAAAATTGGAGGGGGTACTCTGACAGGCTTTAAATAATAGCTTTTTTTTTGTGGGTCACATTTTTAATTTTTTAACCTATTAGATATGCAAACTTTTTAAATCTTTCTATTGTGTTATGTAGCCTCAGTATTAGGCCTTTACTGCCCATTGACAAAGTTTTTCTATGTCAAATAGTTTTTGAGTTTTGGGGGTTTTTGTTAAAAAAAACGAAAGTGGTCTAAGTTACCCCGCCGGTCTAAGTTACCCCATTTTGCGGTAGGTGATTTATTTCTAGATAAATTGTGAGCATGTAGTAGGTCCTCTTCTAGGCATTGAATAGGACAACCTGAAATTAGTTTAATTTTATCTTCTTGCCTATTCTGACGAAAGGAATGGGTACACAAATATAGCAAATTACAATTTTGTCCAACAAATAATGCTTGTTTTACACAGAGAAGCAATGGCAAAGATAATGAAGTGGGCAGTTTCATTTTCTGCTTGTGACAAAATAAATTCCTTGTAATTTCTTCAAACAGCTGGCCAAGATAAAAATAGGCTGAATTCTTTTGGCTCTTCTCATCCCATGCTCACACAGCTGTGTAACATGGCACAAGTTTAGCCTGGATTAACACTTTTATTCTGGATTTTTCCTGGTGTGCTTACATACATGTGTGAAGATTTGATTATAAAATTTAATTCAGGATCTAAATTCATGGCAGGCATACCAGATGCATGTATTTTGAAATCCTCTACTCACATAAACCAGAATTTAAATGATTTTCAGGTAATGGTTTATAGCAAGCAACAACTAAAATTTTCTACTTAATACAGGCAACAAGCTGCAAGGCCAGGTAATATGGATCACTGGAGCCTCTCGTGGAATTGGTGAAGCATATGCCATTGTGCTGGCCAAGTCTGGTGCTAAACTAGCGCTCTCTGCACGGGATGAGCAGCGGCTGCAACAAGTCAAGCAAAAATGTCTTGGTATGTTGATAGAAATAGTTTCTTAATAGTTTTTTCATTCATAGAGTATTTCATTCAGGATACTGCTTCATGAAATCCTACTCAGAAATGTAAACATATGTGTTTTGGAATTACTATAGTGCAAATACATTTAATCATTTCAAATTTGTTCCTGAGATACAATATCAATGATGAATAGCATTCTTTGTGCACAAGTTTGCAATTATATTTTCCTTCATTTTACAATTCTCTTCTAAAGTAAATAATAATTCTTACACAACATCAAGTATAAGAAGAAAGTTACTAAAATTGAGTTTTTTTTTCTGCTAATTAAATTCTGTTTGTTTCTCTGACAGCTTATAATATTATACAAAAGTTACTCAATTTGCTCCTCACAGATGCCGGTGCACGGGAAGAAGATATCTTGTTGGTGCCTCTTGACATGGTCAAGTATGAAGACCATGAGCAGGCATTCAACAAAGTCTTGCAATATTTTGGCAAGGTAACCATGGCAAAATGAATTAATTAATGCATTCTGTCTTCTTATTCCTCCAGAATTCATTTTTATAATCAAATGTGATGTTGAATATTTAACATGATATTCTCTAAAGAAAAATGAATTTATCAAGGAAATGATGAATTTTAAAAATGGGTTTGCAATAATCAATGCACAAGTATAATAATTGTTCACAGACTTGGTTAATTTTTTGCATATTTCTGGGTAGATTGTGCTTAATTTGTTAAGTTTGGAATGCAAAAACAATCATAAATGAAACTGTGCTTGATGAGTCATCTCCATAAAAGTGAATTTTATGCTGTAAAGCACATAATCTTCAATGCAATTGACAGAACTCTGCTAATGGCTTATTAAGAAATGAGATATTTGATATCTAAGCTGCTCAGAGTGTCAGATTCAGGCTTACTGACACATATAATTCCCGTAAGAGACATTTCCCCTTTCTAAAAGTGACATGAATGTGTTTGAGCTGCAGGTTTTTCTGGCTGTTGTCATTTAAACTTACCTACATGGCTTCAAAACAATTTACCTACTTGACTTTTAAACAAAATAGAGCTCCTTCTCTCGACTTTATTGCACGTTAAGACCATATTTAATTACATTCTGATTGATGGATTCACCAATAACTGTGAACATAGAAACAGTATTAGTTATAAATGTTTCAACCAGAAACTAAGTAATGCTGTTTGCTCTGTTTTTTGGTTGCCATTGACATGACAACGATAATGAAGATATTCCTATTTTGTGCTCTTTTCAGCCACTTTCACCACAAATGTTTCATCATGTATGGTACTTGAAGTAACTTCTCCCAATGTTTCACCTCTGGAGTAATTAATCTGTTATCGTTTTTTTTTGTTACATTATTGGTACCATATCCAAGAATTTCAAACCATTTTCATTTGATAGAAAGTAACTTCTCCCAATGTTTCACCTTTAAAGTAATTAATGTGTTATCGTTTCTTTTTGTTACAATATTGGTATGCAAGAATTTCAAACCTTTTAAATTTTATAGAAAGTACCTATATTAATATTGTTTTTATGGCAGGTATCGGTGCTCCTGAACAATGCAGGCAGGTCCCAGAGAGCTCGTTGGGACGATATTGAGCTCAGCGTCGACAAAGAGCTCTTTGAGCTCAACGTCTTCTCCCTGGTGGCTCTGGCTCGCCGAGTTAACAAGTATTTCAGGACGGTGAGTTACTTATTTCAGGATGGTTAGTTACTTATTTATACCAAGGTGTTTTTTCAGTGCTATTCCTGTTTTACAATATTCCTCGAGGTAAATGAGATATTAGATGCCTCTTGCAAACTGCTTCCTGATTAACTGAAAGTGCTGCTTGTGACAATAATTTTTTTCTTATGTTCATAAATTCATTGATTCATTTAAAATGATCTTATGCTTGCCTGAATAGATTCAGTGTCTAACGGTCACATAAAATAGAAAAATAGCGCTACCAATCCACTTGTCTTGTCTGTTAATACAAATCTGGAGGAATGAATTTCTAAAGCAATTTCTTTTAAGCAATTAATATGAATGATAAATAATTGAAGCAATTGCATGCAGGTTGGCGGTGGTCATCACGTGGTAACGTCGTCCACACTCGGCAAGTTTGGAGGTCCAAACTCTGCTTCCTACACCGCTTCTAAGCACGCGCTCCACGTCTGTGTTGTGTGCTGTTATAGAGGATAGAATTGAAAAAATATATATAACTCAGTACTCTTTACTGAGTAATATCATTAATGACAAACCTATCGCATATATTTGTTAGCGTGGCTCTCATGACAGCTGGTAACTAATTCTGAAAAAAATATAACTCAGTACTCACTGCAGTGAGTGACAGAGAGCGCATTTTCTCGTCGACGAAAACTTGAGGTCACGGACGGACGGACAGACAGGCAGACGGACATGGCGAGCACAATAGTGCATTTTTTCCATAAATGAGAAAATGCGCTAAAAATCATTTCAAAATTATTTGACCAGATTCACAAAAGCTATTCTGATTTCTGTTCGTTCATAGAGTAAGTGGCTTTATCCCACATAGTAATGTCAATATCTGGATTCTAGATAATATTATGCCAGTTGAGTTCTGTTTAATTTTAACCTTTGTTCTGATTTAAAATTATAATTAATTAGTTAGCTTGCTTTTTGCACCGCTCATAACACGCTCCCCACATCTATCTTTCTGTTTCATGTGCTTTTATAGTGAATATCATTTCAATTTACCAGCTTGGCTTTAAAACAAAATATTTAGTTTAAATTCTAGAATCTTGTTTGTCTTAGCTTTTGATTAAAATGACATTTCTATGTAGTATCTGGGGTGCATTGAATGTACATTTGTACGCCCCCTGTCACTTGAGAACCCCGGGCTGCGGTGTTGGGCTAAATAATGTCTTGTGGTGTGTGGTTTAATTACGGACTTTTGTATTACAGGGATATTTTGAGAGCTTGCGAGTGGAGGGATTAAAGGACAACATCAGCGTGACGATGCTGTGCCCTGGTCCTGTTGAGAGCGAACTTCTTCAACATGCTTTCACTGAAAAGCTTGGACAGGTGCTACTTGTCATAAGTTATCTATGTATCAGTTCATCACTAACCTTTCATTAACAAATCATGAATGGTATCTGAAACTGGCACCCAAAATAGGTTATGATGCTTCATTATCATACAACTGCCTTTCTTATAAAACCAATCATTCCTCGATACGCTCTAGAATTAAAAATGAGCATTTAAAAATAATCAGTGGCCCAGACTAAAAATTATGCAGATCTCCACTCGTTCATCCAGTGTCTTTATCTCGTAAGTGTCTTTAAGTAATGTCAATATCTAGATAATATTTCTGATATTAAATTTCTGTCAAATTTTACGTTTTTTTCAGTCAAATTTGAAGTTCATACTAGCTAGTTGGTGTGAGCTAGCTTGTTTGTTCTCACAAAAATCATATATACCTGTTATTATTGACAATATGCTATAATCAGTTATTTGTGCAAATATTAGTTACATTGGAATTACACGTATAATTTAATTACATGATTATTATTTCACCAGATTATTCCTGGCATAATACATCATTATTATGTCACCAGATTATACCTGACATAACACATGATTATTATGTCTTCAGATTATACCTGATATCAGACATGATTATTATGTCACCAGATTATACCTGACATAACACATGATTATTATGTCGCCAGATTATTCCTAGCATAACACATGATTATTAATTATGTCACCAGATTATTCCTGACATCAGACATGATTATTATGTCACCAGATTATACCTGACATCAGACATGATTATTATTCCTGTCATAATACATGATTATAATATCAGGGCGTGTCAGGAGAGCGCTCAGGACGCCGCATGAGCGCCATGCGTTGCGCTCACCTCAGCGCCACGGCCATCGCGTACAAGTTGCCTGAAGCGTGGGTGGTGGAACAGCCTGTACTTCTGCTGCAGTACACGGTGTACTACCTGCCTTATGTTGCCTTCAGGTAAACTGTACTTCTGCTGCAGTACACGGTGTACTATCTGCCTTATGTTGCCTTCAGGTAAACTGTACTTCTGCTGCAGTACACGGTGTACTATCTGTCTCTTATACACATCTANATCATACTACTAGGATCCTAACTAGTGGGATCCAGTAGTAGGATCCTACTAGTTCTACTAGGATTCTAATTGGACGTTCTGGATCCTACTACTAGGATCCTAACTAGTGGGATCCAGTAGTAGGATCCTACTAGTTCTACTAGGATCCTAATTTCAAGTACTTGGGTCCCGTCCTTCCACGCCCACCCATGTTCAAGATGAGATGAGCAAGGATAAAATCAAAATAAATTGTTACAAGTAGAGTAATTTTTACAAGTTTGAGATATCAATGTGCCTGATATTAACTGTTAATAGCTGAAAATAAATTGTATCATATTATTATATGCCTGAATTATTGTTTCCCAATTTTGGTTATCTAGGAAAACGATTGCGTCTTCTTTCTTCAAATATGCATACGTCGCCACCACTTTCTCGTCACGCAGTTCTTAGTCTTGCATCTTGATATTTACAAAGGTACCACTAATTGTACCTGAGATAAATCAATTTTATACAGAAAATATGATGGTGTTAGGTAAATGATACCTTGCTACCCAACTGTTATACATAATCGTTTCTTGTTCAATATAGGTACTCATTTTTGTTTAAGAGTCCCGAAAATGAAACTGAACGTTTTAAAGGAATTTCGATATGAACTGATACACTGAATAATGGAAAGATTTGATTGGTACTGTGAATAAATTATTAAACCCTCTACCGTCTCAAGAGTAACCGAAGCAATATTATCACAAGCCTACTTCCCAAAAAAGATACGTTGCTAGTGAGCGCAAAATGATTTGCACTGATGGTTGCCGCCACGTACGACTTTAAAATGTTCTCTGTTGCGTACAAACGTCCTCAGGTTGCTACACTCAATAGTTTACGTATAATTGTATGTTCAAGAGAGTGACACAGGGCGGTAGAGGGTTAAATACAAAAATTCAGTTCTACTTTTATGTTAGTCACTGTGAGATATGAGAAGGCTGATGTTATAAGTTTAAATGGTCTTCTTGACGACCTCGCCGAGGTCGTATTTGCCACGCATGCAGCGGATCTTGACTCCAGGCGTGTCTCTGAGCCTGCCGGGATGCACGAGTACGACGTTGTGCTCCTGCAACGTGTGCCCTTCGCCTGGCACGAACGCTGTCATCTCCTTGCCGTTGGACAGCCGCAACAAAACGCACCTGCAGAAAAAAAAGCTGTTACACAGCTGCAACAAAATACACATGCAGAAAAAAAGCCGTTACACAGCTGCAGCAAAATACACATGCAGCAAAAGAAAAACGTTACACAGCTGCAAGAAAACGCACCTGCAGAAAAAAAGTTACACAGCTGCACCAAAATACACATGCAGAAAAAAGCCGTTACACAGCTGCACCAAAACGCACATGCAGCAAAAAAAGCCGTTACACAGATGCACCAAACGCACCTGCAGCAAAAAAAAAAGTTACACAGCCGCAACAAAACACACCTGCAGTAAAAAAGCCGTTACACAGCTGCAGCAAAATACACATGCAGCAAAAGAAAAACGTTACACAGCTGCAAGAAAACGCACCTGCAGCAAAAAAAGGAGTTACACAGCTGCAACAATGGGAGATCGTGACAGCTGCATGTAAAAAACACGCGCAACTATCAGTCTAAATTCATGAAGCTCATCTCACAATAAGAAGAACTTCACTGATATCAACAGTTTCCTATTGATTATCTTAAAAGATTTCTCATTTGAACTAGGTACCTGGACTATTGATTATCTCAAAATAATTCTCATTTGTACTAGGTACCTGGACTATTGATTATCTCAAAATAATTCTCATTTGAACTAGGTACCTGGACTATTGATTATCTCAAAATAATTCTCATTTGAACTAGGTACCTGGACTATTGATTATCTCAAAATAATTCTCATTTCAACTAGGTAACTGGACTATTGATTATCTTTAAAGATTTCTCATTTGATTGACCTGAATAGCTCCAAATCGGCAAAAAAAGGTTACAAGATTCTTAGCATTGGACATAACTGGGACTTTGGCAAATTATCCTTGTCGTATGAGTTAGAGTACATAGTTCGCCAACATTTTGCTGTCTTGATCTAGCCAGGCAAAAAATTTCAAGCATATTGATATGAATAACATTTTTCAATTGAAATAGTTGAAAGGCTAGAATCTAGATGAAGTCCAAGGTCATGAATAGTCGAAGACAAATATTTCTGCATATATATAGATCCTACTTGCAAATACCTAGTGATGCTTCAGTGTTATCAAACTCATTAAAAATTAAAGAACGGAGACTATTATTGAAATTATCTTGAACAAGTAATCTGAAAATGGTTGAAAAAAACTCATTAGATAAGAAAAATTTAACGATAATTAAGTTATTTTTTTTTCAAAAAGTTTTTGGGCTTTATACAAGTAAAGTAGGCTCACTTTCTGTTGGCAGAGTTAGGCTTCCTGGGCTTCTTGATGACTGTTTTGAGCACCACCCCCTTCCTGAATGGAACGCCATACCCCAGCGGGTTCTTCTTCCTTGGAGGCTGCAACATGGATTAAGAATTAAAATAAGCTAAAATTTAATACAAAGAATTCAGAGGCAAAGAAAATTTTCCATGTATTAATAGGCTAAAATATTATGCAAAGGCAAAGAAAATTTGCCATGTATTAATATAGGTAAAGCTTGTCAGGGATTAGCTTTGTCATCAGTTAAAGGTATAAAGAATATATATATAATGATGGAAGCTTTGACAAAGCTGGTCTCCAACCATTTTGAATGAAATTAGTATGGTGAATTTTCTTGGCATTTTTCGATTTTCAAATCTTGGCAATCAAATGACTTTTGAAGAATATCATATTATCTTATCATATATTAGAAAGCGAGACAGTAGTTTTGGATGCCAATATTGCCAAATTAGTCAAAAAACTAAGTTTGATTAAAGTGTCTGCTTTGGGATATGAAACTCGTTGATAAAAATATACTCTGTTTTAATTGATACTGGTATTTAATTTTAATTGTATTTCTCAAAATATGAATTCAATGAGATTATCTATACTTACTTACAAATATATTTTTACAAGGGAAAGTGGCAATTAGAAAATGTAAGTTCTAAATTACTTTGAATTGGCACTCCTTGCATTTTTGGACTACTACTGGTAAACTTGTAAATGAATCATAACTAGGAGAGTAATGACATAAATTTATACCAAGACCATGAAAAATACCATACCTTGATAATTGGACCCATGATGTGAATTCTTAGAAAAGAATTCACAGCAAAAGAGGAAGATGTGTGCAGTGTTCTCCTGCTTAATTCAGCACATAAACTTGTGAGTTTGAGGTCATTTGTAGGAATATGAGAGTTGCATAGCCTGCCACCTAGTGGCTGTGCTAAGTTCAAGCAGGTGGCTGGGAGGAGAGCAGCATTTGACCCATCTGTTCTTGGACCTTTGCCAAGCAAGTGTAGACCAGAAAATCCTGAAAATTAGTTAAAGGTCAAATTAATTTGAAATTCCAAGAACACAATTCACATAAAGCTATTCCAATATCTCGCACTCATTGTGAGTTAACAATGATAACATTCAGTCAACATTACCTCATCAAACATAACTGGCATGAATGCTACGTACTATACTCTGTTTTACAATTATTTATAGGTTTGAAGTAGGTTCTGGTTAAATTCTTAGCTTACCAGTAATCTATTTCTGTACAAGTCAAACAGTAACAACCTGAATCTTCTTACAATCAGTTGCTTTCAGCATTAGCAGTCAAAGTGGTTAAGCAATGATCACAGAATGAAGTTCATTAATAAAATTTTTCAAACTGACATTTTACAAACAGACATTGTTATTTATTCATCTAGTAGGAACCCATAATATCATTCACACAGGTGAATAAAAATGGTTTGAAAAAAGATTTTAACAAAACAGTCATTGCAAGTTTCTGATTCCCTTGAAATAGCAAAAAAGTGTACTTTGTTCAGCATTACCAACGTTTTATGATTGAGATGGATGGGAACAACTTCAGAAGTTGCTAAAATTACACTCTTGGTCCATTAATAAAAATATACCCACATGAAATTATTAAATGAAAAAGAAAACTGATAATAGTGCATGATCTCCATCCTTCACAAGCAAACATCATACAAACAACAATGAGACACAATCTTCTTATTAAGAACACTTTCAGAACGTGTTCAGTCAAAACCTGCAAAAATAGAAGTTAATGCATGGTAAATAATGCAATTTATTATTTCTATATAATCGATACACAAATGAATTTAGCCTAAAAATGTAGGTAACCATCAATTTCACACCATGAATGCACAGAAAATTAATTTTGAACATAATAGTAGCAGAAAATATAAGAAGATTATGGAAATTTGATATGGACAAAATTTCAACTAAGACAAATATGACAAGATGTCAACTTACCTCTGAGTGTAGATGTACTAAGATTTAAGTTAGATTTAAAACTAAGTTGACCAAGTCCTGCAGTGACTGAAGACAATAATTGAGAGAATTTCAGCATAACTACTATAATTTTACAATAAAAGAGATGAAATTGAAAATTTTCCTCAGCCAAGGTCAAATCCTGTTGGTAAAACGGCAACTTTAGTTGTAAAACTAAGAAGGACAGAAGTAATGCACCATTTATGAGTGGCAGGGCAGTCATTGGCACTTCTAACAAGGAATTATATGCACATGTGCAAATAGGTATTATGGTCTAATAATTAATATTTTGAGACTTAGATGCACTGACACAGTAGAGCAAGGAGAAACCATATCAAATCAGCATGTGCCTGGGGATAGTATGAGAAAGAAAAATTCAGCAGCAGGTTTGAAAAATTGTTTTGATAGCTTGCTTAGCAATTCCAGTTCCCCTGGGGCCCTGAATAGAGTCAGCTCAGCCATAGAGCTGTGGTGGTGCAGTGGTGAGAGACTCTGTCCCTCGCACCCAGCGCCCGGGTTCAAGTCCCACTGATGACAAGTTCTACCGGGAAGCTCAGCTCATGGCTAACTCAGCCATTCATCCAACTCTGGTTGATAAACGAGTACCCCGGCTTGTCCAGGGTGTTGTGTAATGCAATAAAATGGTTCTGGCAAGTCAGCAAGCCAGTTATGGTCGTAGAACTACCAGTAGCACCAAGTGCCCAGAAAAACTGACCTATCACCCCCCCTCCCTGAGTCCCTAGTCACCCACTGTGCAGAGTGGATGAATATTGCAAGATCTTTGGCGACGCTTCAGTAGCCAAATTTTCACCTTCAGAAAATCTTGCCGACACATTTAGATTGAAATTCTTGCATTTAATATATTTCTCAGTCTTCTCGTCTCCAACTATTTAGAAAAAAAGTAAGGTTCCCGGTACGTTGGATGGATTACGTTGCAGCGAAGCTTGTCCGGAAATCAGTTGCAATGAGTTCCCGCAAAAAAATGTAAACAAAGTTTTTTCGATTGCATAGTTTTGGTCACATTAGAGCGGTCAGACTGCTTTATTACATGTTCAGTTGATACTTGCTGTACAATCGGACTGTTTTTAGGGTAAAATTAGTTATTTGGGGTAACATGTGCATGCAACCTTGTAAATAAGTTCGTGGCTTGTAAATAGTTTGTCATTACTCAGCATAAATGGCTTTTCATTAAAAATTACCCGGCGATGCATCTTAAAAATGGTCGGCGACGCTTTGAGCTTAAAAACCCATATATTGGCGACGCTGCTTCCATCTTCTGCGCCCTGGCTAGTCGCCACTACCAGTACCAGGATGGGCGATTACAACAACAACACTAACAACAACAGCTCAGCCATAGAGCTGGCAGCCTTCAGAGAGATCATGTCAATCATTACATGCACTGGCAAACAGTAGTGCTGCCACAGGCCACTTGCATTACTTTGGGATCCACTGCTTGTGCACAGTAAGCCACGGTTATTTTAATATTTTCAAATAACTTTAGAGTTTTTTGGCTTGACAATACACATTTATTAAAAATCAGTTTAGAATAATACATCCAATGAAAATAATGCAACAGGCAACTTGCAGTTACAGGCTTGTAGCAAAATGCAGCATGGTTCCGAATTTCCGATAATGGTAAGAAAGCTGTGGCTATGTTAGAAAAAATACAACTCAGTACTCACTGCAGTGAGTGACAGCGCGCATTTTCTCGTCGACGAAAACGTTAAGTCACGGACAGACAGACAGACGGACGGATCCACGGATGGACAAGGCAAGCACAATAGCGCCTTTTTTTCCATAAATGAGAAAATGCAAAAAAAAGACTCTTTGCTAAATCCCCTTGGACCCTTATTAAGCCTTATAAGTACTAGACAAATAATCTAAGTGCCCTGTGCCAAGTGCAGTGGCAATTGGCATTTAGTAAAGCAGAGACTTTTTTGGACTTCATTTTTTGAGTCCAACTGTCTAGTGTCTAATGAGTACTGTCAATAAGTCAATGCCACAGTTGCCAGTTGCCACTAAAGACTAATCACTAATGTTGTTAGAGCACTTATGATAGTAAGATGATACCAGCTTTCAATAGAACCTACCTAATTTTCAAACACACAAGATACAACTTTCTAGCATGATCAAAAAAGCTTAGTAGCTAGTTATTATGTCATTGATGTGGTTTTCAAACTCTACAGAAAATACAGTCTACAAATTGTAATTCTGGATACTAGTGGATACTGGATAGTATTATATATAGTATAGACTATAGACGTGCAGCAAGTTAAGTTCAGACTGTTCAGTAGACAGTAGCTGCTGAGTTTCAAATTCAACCTAGGCTACCTATGAGGCTATGTGTCATAACTGTCATTGATGGTAGACCACGTCCCACCGCCCTCCCACGACCACGAGTCGGCCACGACCAGTGAAGTGTGAAGTATAATGGTTGAAGTAGGCCTATTATCATTATGACAGGACAAGCAGGTTGAAGTAGGTATGTGCACAAAGTACGCTCGAATGTAAACAATGCTGGCAAAATGGCGGACAGCCACTTTCCGCATCGGCGCGCGTAAGGTATTTAATTTTGAAAGTCCCGCCAAAATGTTAGCTTAATTTGATTGATTTTTGTTTGGAAACGAACTAAAAAAACTTGAACTATGATGACATCATTTTTTTTTTTTTTTTGAGAAATGTCTATCAAGTACCTGCTTAGCTGGGATGTGCAAGAGGTAACATTTGGGCGGGAAATAAACATGGATATCGTATTTTGAAATTAATAAAAGATAATTTGAAATCAAGATTATAGTTTTTAAAGCATGCTCTCGAAATTTCAGATCTTTGCAGCCATTCGGACAGTTTTTCTACCATGTCCTGTCACGCTGTTTACGTTCAGTTCAGTCATGAGCCAGTGAGGTACGCTGGTCCTGAACTACTGCCGAGACTAAGACATGAGATGAGACATGAGACAAGACATGAGAGGGGACATGAGATGATGCATGAGACAAGCTACGAGACGAGACATGAGACGAGATGTGAGATGAGACGTGAGACGAGATGTGAGATGAAACGCAAGACAAGATGCGAGATGAGACGCGAGACGAGATGTGAGATGAGATGCGAGACGAGACATGAGATTGGACATGAGATGAGATGAGACATGAGACGAGATGTGAGATTGGACATGATACAAGGCATGAGACAAGGAGATAAGCATGAGATGAGACGTGAGACAAGAAATGAGATTGAACATGAGATGAGACACGAGACAAGGCATGAGACAAAACACAAGACAAGACACGAGACGAAACACGAGACGAGACGAGACACGAGACGAGACGAGATACGAGACGAGACGAGGCACGAGACAAGGCATGAGACGAGGCATGAGACGAGGCACAAGACGAGGCATGAGACGAGACACGAGATGAGATGAGACGAGGCACAAGACGAGATGAGACAAGGCACGAGACGAGATGAGACGAGGCATAAGACGAGATGAGACAAGGCATGAGACGAGATGAGACGAGGCACGAGACGAGATGAGACAAGGCCCAAGATGAGATGAGACGAGGCACAAGATGAGATGAGACGAGGCACAAGATGAGATGAGACGAGGCACAAGACAAGATGAGACAAGGCACGAGATGAGATGAGACGAGGCATGAGAAGAGATGAGACGAGGCATGGGACGAGATGAGACAAGGCACGAGACGAGGCATGAGACAAGATGAGACGAGGCATGAGACGAGATGAGACAAGATGAGACGAGGCATGAGACGAGATGAGATGTGACATGACGATGATGATCATATTTAATATTATTAAATATCAATATTCATTAATATTTATTATAATTAGTTAAGAATTAATATTAACAAAAATAATTAATATTATTATTACTAGTAAATTTTATTTGCGTATTCTATTTAATTTCATATTTTTAAGCTCAATTATGGTGCCAAGGCCATGAAGCTGAAATTTATTCCATCCAATTCTGCCTTTAAGTTAAGTTATAGCATTCATATCTAGCAGTTGCACCCATTTCCCCCACCCACCTGCAGTCAAAGTCTCAACCAAAATGTTTTATTAACACGTTTTTCTTAGCTTAGCTTCGCGTTTGTTTGTTTGTTTGTTTGTTGTTAAAATTGACAATGAAAATTAGCCCACTTCTGATTGCTCTAGAGATCTGAAATTCGGCATGCAGGCTATTTTCGCCTAACAATTTCAGATAAAATCATAAAAACTAGCAATTAGAGACCTAAATTAGCTTAATTGAGTAAAGTATATATAAATAGTATATATATAGTATGACGTGCGGGCGCTGACGTTATAGACCAGCAGGCGCTTACGCTGCGTATCATCGATACATACGTCAGGCGGTCAGGGCAAGTAAATTGGCTCGCAACAACGTTTTTCATGTGTTGTGTGCTTTTCGCTTTAATCATAAATCTGCCCGACACACGTTTTTTGGGGCGAGCCACAATTTATTTTCTACTTTTTAGTCCACAAGAAAAACGTGGTTTTTTAAAAAGTTTTTTTTTAAGTATTTTATTCTAGTTAGAATAGATAGCCTACAACATGAGCTTTCCAATGGTACTAAAAACTTTGAAATTGGCTCATAGGAAACCTACAAATGATAGTTTTTCCAAAAAAAGTGACAGAAGTTGGTCCATTTTTGGGGTGAAATAGGAAATACGAAAAAATTCATATCTTTTTCATTTTTCGACCTACTTCACTCATACTTATATGATATTTTTCTAAAAATTTTTCTCTTTTCAGTGGTGTAATTTTCATTACGATAAAAGGAAAAAAAATTTTTTGTGCACATACCTAGTTGAAGCAGCCAAGCAGGAAGCAGGTGATACTGGATTCCGGGCTCAGCCAACAATGGCGCAACATATTCAAGATTAGCTTAGAGTCCCATTGCTATTGATGTATTTCAAAGATTTCCTACTAACAAACCGAAGTAGAGTTCACGACGAATTGCAAGTAATCAGATTCGAACGTGAGATGTAGAGTCCCTTAGTGACACTTACCAACGCCCGTCTTCAACTGCCAATAAGTTACCGAAACTCTAGCCGGACATCTACATTTAGTGTCACTAATACGGTGTTGCAGAACGCATACAAGTTCCGAAACAGCGTAAAGCCATAGCGCCGTATGTCCGCAGCCACCGCTCAGGACATACGGAGCCAACAAAGTCTTCATGGGGTCAACACTATATCAAAGTCTTCATGGAGTCAACACTATATCATGGACTTTCCCACGCAACTACCTTGTCTCTCCACCTTTCTGCAGCCAATAATCGGCTCCAGCACCCCTTACTGGGAACGCTTCTCCACCTTGCCAAAGCCAATGAGGGTAGGCTGGATCCGGAAGGGTTTATAACTTTATTAGGGTGGAGAGTCGGATTAACTGTGGAGGTAATCTAATGCTTTGATGTAATGTAACATCCATGAAAACTTTGCTGACCTGAGCTGCGGCTGACTTGAGCTAAAGAGCATATGTTCATTCATGAAATGCCAAGCACCTTACGAGCCTTGCAATAAGTCCAGCAGCTATCTCAATCAATCAATTCGTCAGTTATGGAAAGATCGGGTTCATAAGGCCGGATCCCTTGTGCAATCAAGCCACGAAAAGCACAAGAATCGGCAACAGGCCATGGGCCTATTTCTTCAGTGCCGACATTTCTATTCTATCACCTATGCCCCTAAACATTTAACTTTTCAGGCAACTCTACCCTGAATCATGTTTGCCGACGTGAACAAATTTGAATGTGTCGGTGAATCAAGAATCATCTATAATAAAGACTGGATGAACTGCTTTATTGCATAAATTGTTCTTGGCTACATTTTTTAATCAAATGGGTTTATTTTAAGCGCATTTTCTCATTTATGGAGAAAAAAGCGCTATTGTGCTCGTCTGTCCGTCCGTGACTTCACGATTTCGTCGACGAGAAAATGCGCTCTCTGTCACTCACTGCAGTGAGTACATTTTTTTAAAGATGAGTTGATATTATACATTCAAGTGAAACGAATCGTAAACCTCATCTGGCGCTATGGGAGTCGCATTGGCAATTTTGGTTCAGGGAAAGTCTCTTTCCTACTTGGATCTTGGAATACAGCGATATACAATGCCAATAGATCCGCATGTTCAATGAATGAAAAAGCAAATTTACATTGTAATGTTATGTGTTTTCCTTCGTATCATATAGAAATGTAAAAAGATTCCGATATTGAATTTTTGCTAACATTTAGTACTTGCAAAGCCGTTTTATACTATGCATTTCAAGTTTATAAGTAAAAAACATTAAAAAGAATTCTCACATATGTGGAAACTTTTTCTGATCTCATACACAAAATTTATTAAACAATTATACTACAAACAAATGACTTTATTTTGTGGGGGAGCTTTGAAATCCTTCACAAGCTTAACCCATTGCTGAGTTAAAACGTTGTAAAAAACGAGAAATGTCATCAATATGGCCAAAAGAAGAGCTTAAACCCCTCTTTGAACTGTCGCTTGGAAGGACTGCAGATGAGAGATTCAACTGGATTCTGGAATACTGGATTCAGTTGCGTGCCGTGACGCAGGAAAGAAGGATGTGTGGTGTAGCTCCCTCGTAGCCTTCGGCCAGCCTTGCGTGCTGGAGTAGACATGGCTTCTCCTTCATGCACCTCTAATACTCTATCCAGTGAAGCGACTTATCATGTTTGTTGTCTCTTATCTAAAGGTACAACCTTAAATCTTCTACGATCTCCGATAACTTACAACCTGATGAACTTTCTGGAGTGGATTTTACCGGAAAAACGCAGTTTCGTTGCACTTTTGCCCACAACTAAAGAGAACGAATTGAAAACTTTATAGCTCCCGTCTAGGAGTTGGCGTTACGAAATCGTGATCTTACACTCTTCTCAGTTGTCTGTTATTGCCTCATGGTGAGTGAGATATGTAATCTCTGCCCTCGCATTTCAGGGAATATGTACTAGCCTTTTTTTAGTCAATTTGAGCTTACATTTCAAAAATAAGATTGCGGTGACCTTGGCAAATTCTATCATTAGAGACCATTCAAAATTTATAAGATACCTGGCCGAAATATTCATCATAATCTCTTTCCTTTCAAGAATTTAACAGAAGACTTCGAGTTGGCTGGAGTTAAGCTAAAAGGTTAATTAAGTCATGGACGACATTTAGATTTAGTTGACTTGAGGTTCTGAGCAGTTTTCTTACTGATTGAGTGAGCAGAGTTAGGTACATGACATTAGGTGTTTACTTACACCTCTTATTACTTCAGTTCTTTCCCTGAAAGCGCGATTGATGTATTTTCTAGAATTTTATACTATTTCTTGTGCTTTCTGACGAACTGTGTTGTTTCTACAGTAATATTACGAATTATAATCCTTACATTGTGTTGTTTATAAGTATATCATTTAATGAATATAGGTACCTAAGAACTATTTAACTCGATACCTGAAAAAATGTATTATTTCATCTATTTTTTTTATGGTTGTACTAATTTAAGTGTAGGTATCCCTTTCGCATGAGATGTTTGGTTATCATACTCTGACATCTTGTAATCTGAGTTAGGTATATACGGTGTCACGTATACATCGTATAATCTCCTCACCACATTATTCTTCCACTCATTTCACCCAAACTCTCACTAAACTCTTTTTCTCCTCCTCCCCTTTGGCCTTTCCCCCGGCGGGCAGCCGGGGCACTGCACTGCGGCATCACATCTCATCCACTCCCCCCTGACTCTTTTTCGTCTAACCTCCTCCCTAATATTGCCGCTCTCTTCCCCTCCCCCTGACTCTTTTCCGTGTATCTTCCTCCCTAATTTTGCTGTTTTCTTCCCTTCTTCCCTGACTCTTTTCCGTCTAACCTCCTCCCTAATATTGCCGCTCTCTTCCCCTCCTCCTGACTCTTTTCCGTCTAACCTACTCCCTAATATTGCCGCTCTCTTCCCCTCCTCCTGATTCTTTTCCGTCTAAACTCCTTTCTAATATTTACACTCTTTTCCCCTCCCCCTGACTTTTCCTCCTAACTTCCTCTCTAATTTTGCTGTTCTCTCTTCCCCTCCCCCTGACTCTTTTTCCGTGTAAACTCCTTTCTAATATTAACACTCTCACTCCCCGTGACTCGTCCGCCTAACCTTCTTCCTAATATCGTCACTCTCTTCCAGTCCTAAATCTTCTCCATAATCTCCTCTCTAATATTGCCAATTTCTTCCACTCACCGTGACTCTTTTCCTTCTAACCTACTTTACATTGCCTTTCTCTACCTACCACTTTCACTGACTCTTCCTTTTTACCTCCGCCCTCACCCAGTAATGCTGCTTTCTTTACCGTGCACGACGTCTTTCCCCCAACATTGCTGCTTTCTTTACCGTGCACGACAGCTTTCCCCCAACATTGCTGCTTTCTTTACCGTGCACGACATCTTTCCCCCAACATTGCTGCTGTCTCCACCGGACTAGACCAGTCCTTACCTCTCCGCTTTATTGCTGCTCTATTTACCGTAAGACTAAACCACATATTAACATAACATAACATAACATAGTGATGTCGGCGCTGAAGTGTAGGCCTGATGTGGCCTGTCGCCGATTCTTTTCCTTTTCGTGCCTTGTTCATAGATCTAAACTCGTGTCATTTGACCGGATCTTTTCATGACTGACGATAGTTTGAAGTAGCTACTAGACTTCCACCAGGTTCGATATGGTGCTAGGCATTTCAAATCTGAACATATATTTTTCCATAGCCTTATCTAGTCTGTTCTTGAACGCGTTCATACTTGGAGCGCCAACGATGTCATCGGGGAGGCTGTTCCACATGTCGGTGATTCGAAGCGAGAAGAAATTTTGTCGCGTGGAGAAGTTGCAGCGCAATTTTTTTTAATTATTAATTGTTTCTCCCTGAACATTTCTAATAACAATTCCTCCGAGTCGTACACCATCTGCTCTCCTCCTCTTCGCCAATTTTACCGCTCTTGTTTTGTGGAAGGCAAAGCCCAGATATAAAATTTATTTCAATACTGTAATATTAGACTCAGAGCCCGTAGATTACCGCGGTCTTGCGGTTGAGAAGCAGATTTCGCAAGCCAGAGCGCAGCATGGCATTAATGTTGTATCAAAACTATCAACATTTTGCATGTACACAAATCAGTGCATGTTTATATAATGAGCATGCATTAACGCATATGTGCCTATTTCTCTGATTATTTCGGATGACAAGAACAATCCATGAGCTTTACGTCACCAACTTCACATTTCATACTCAACTCTTGTATTTTTATATGTATAGCTTCTATACGCTAGCAGCTCATTTATGTACAGCTGCTGTGCGCTAGCAGCTCTTTATGTACAGCTGCTGTACGCTAGCAGCTCTTTATGTACAGCTGCTGTACGCTAGCAGCTCTTTATGTACAGCTGCTGTTCGCTAGCAGCTCTTTATGTACAGCTGCTGTACTCTAGCAGCTCTTTATGTACAGCTGCTGTCCGCTAGCAGCTCTTTATGTACNACGGCGCTCTGTGCAGCGGTGCCGGTACGGCGCTCTGTGCAGCGGTGCCGGTACGGCGCTCTGTGCAGCGGTGCCGGTACGGCGCTCTGTGCAGCGGTGCCGGTACGGCGCTCTGTGCAGCGGTGCCGGTACGGCGCTCTGTGCAGCGGTGCCGGTACGGCGCTCTGTGCAGCGGTGCCGGTACGGCGCTCTGTGCAGCGGTGCCGGTACGGCGCTCTGTGCAGCGGTGCCGGTACGGCGCTCTGTGCAGCGGTGCCGGTACGGCGCTCTGTGCAGCGGTGCCGGTACGGCGCTCTGTGCAGCGGTGCCGGTACGGCGCTCTGTGCAGCGGTGCCGGTACGGCGCTCTGTGCAGCGGTGCCGGTACGGCGCTCTGTGCAGCGGTGCCGGTACGGCGCTCTGTGCAGCGGTGCCGGTACGGCGCTCTGTGCAGCGGTGCCGGTACGGCGCTCTGTGCAGCGGTGCCGGTACGGCGCTCTGTGCAGCGGTGCCGGTACGGCGCTCTGTGCAGCGGTGCCGGTACGGCGCTCTGTGCAGCGGTGCCGGTACGGCGCTCTGTGCAGCGGTGCCGGTACGGCGCTCTGTGCAGCGGTGCCGGTACGGCGCTCTGGGCAGCGGTGCCGGTACGGCGCTCTGTGCAGCGGTGCCGGTACGGCGCTCTGTGCAGCGGTACCGGTACGGCGCTCTGTGTAGCGGTACCGGTACCGCGCTCTCTTTGCAACGATACCGGTACGGCGCTCTGGGCAGCGGTGCCGGTACGGCGCTCTGGGCAGCGGTGCCGGTACGGCGCTCTGGGCAGCGGTACCGGTACGGCGCTCTGTGCAGCGATGCCGGTACCGGGCTCTGTGCAGCGGTGCCGGTACGGCGCTCTGTGCAGCGGTGCCGGTACGGCGCTCTGGGCAGAGTCCTTGGTATGAAGCTCTAAATTACATGCTTTATAACTGAATTTTAACTCTACAAATTTTCAGTGATATTTATAAGGGGAATAGGTGGATTTTTTTCGATGCAATGACAAAGTAATTTTATTGTGGTTTTTGGTTAAGGAAACTATGTTGGTATTTTTTTCAGTGCTATATCGAAATAATTTTGCTGTGGTTTGTAGGTAATGGTTGGGACCCGTCGCTCAGCGCTGGTGCGTGGCAGTGTTTTCCTCAACATCGTCTTTGCGTTGTACGTGTTGCTACATCTTTCGCCTCCCCGTGGCAACAGCGTCTCTCCTCCCCACGGACCACATGACAACTTGACTCAGCAAGGGGAAGCTGGGGAATACTCTCCTGATTCAGACTTGGATGGACCCCTGCAATGGGCGTCTGTACAAGAGCGAGCACATCCTGACCTTCATCTCTGCAGTACACCGCAACTCTTGCCCCGAGCTTCGTTTCATGGAAACCATTGGGTTCTCTTCAACCACTTAACTGCCATTGAACAACCTGCGTGTAACGCTTCCGTCACGTATACCACACACGCAGATTACACGTACCTGCACAACCTGTCCCCCCTGGTGGAAAGATGGCGGGGACCGATCAGTGTTGCGGTGTTCGCTCCAGGGGAGGATTTTAACGCCACGCTCAATACGATTGCGTTCCTAAGAGCATGCAGACCTCTTGTTGCTCAGTTCACTACATTCCATATTTTTTTCCCCGTAGACCATCTTCCGTCTTCTATCCCTAAAATAGAAGACGTTTTGGTTCCTTCTTGCTCACTTCCCCCGCCGTCCACGAATGGTCCAACATATAAAAGTAGCCACAACCTCACGTATCCAGTCAACGTCGCTCGTAACGTCGCACGCATAGCCGCTGCGACGTACTTCGTGCTAGCTAGTGACGTCGAACTCTACCCTTCGTTGAACTTCATCTCTCGTTTCCTGGCTTTGATGTCAACTCGAGACGCATCTCGCGAGACCAAACCTCACCGACGAGTCTACGTCTTGCCAATCTTTGAGGTGAAGTCTGGCATACGTCCACCGGCCACAAAGACCAGCTTGGTGCGACTGCTAAGACGGGGAGCTGCAATCCCCTTCCATAAATTTGTGTGTCCTCAATGCCATTTAGTGCCTGGTCTTAGGGCTTGGGCCGAGTCTGGTTTAGGGGAAACTTTAACCGTCACGACAGTGGCTAAAAGACATGCGCCCTACACTCGCTGGGAGCCTATTTACGTCGGAACTAATCTCGAGCCGCTCTACGAGGAGAGGTTGTCTTGGGAAGGACGATCCGATAAAATGACTCAGGTCAGTTATTGTTCTACGTGCTAGTAAATAGAGGGGTCACCCCTAGTAATAAAGTAGTTTTAGTTAGGCGATATTGTGTGATACATAAGGTGTTACAGATGTACATAACGTGTTGCCGATGCACATAACGCCTAACCGATGCACATAAAGTGTTACAGATGTAGATAACGTGTTGCAGATGTAGATAACGTGTTGCAGATGTACATAACGTGTTGCCGATGCACATAACGCCTAACCGATACACATAACGCCTAACCGATGCACATAAAGTGTTACAGATGTACATAACATGTTGCAGATGTACATTATGTGCGTACTGGACTACGAGTTCCACGTGCTGGACAACGCGTTCCTGGTGCACCGGCCCGGCATCAAAAGGCTGCGCAAAGACCGGCGCCGCGACGAACAAACCGCCGCGCAGAACGCGCTTCTGTCCAACACAATCACTCCTGAACTGCAGCTTATATACGGCACCCGACCTCACTGCGTCCTATAGGGGTGAGTACTGCGTCCTATAGGGGTGAGTACTGCGTCCTATAGGGGTGAGTACTGCGTCCTATAGGGGTGAGTACTGCGTCCTATAGGGGTGNTCAACACCCAGCGTCCAGCAGCTGTCATATAGCTGCATGTTCTCCTTCAACACCCAGCGTCCAGCAGCTGTCATATAGCTGCATGTTCTCCTTCAACACCCAGCGTCCAGCAGCTGTCATATAGCTGCATGTTCTCCTTCAACACCCAGCGTCCAGCAGCTGTCATATAGCTGCATGTTCTCCTTCAACACCCAGCGTCCAGCAGCTGTCATATAGCTGCATGTTCTCCTTCAACACCCAGCGTCCAGCAGCTGTCATATAGCTGCATGTTCTCCTTCAACACCCAGCGTCCAGCAGCTGTCATATAGCTGCATGTTCTCCTTCAACACCCAGCGTCCAGCAGCTGTCATATAGCTGCATGTTCTCCTTCAACACCCAGCGTCCAGCAGCTGTCATATAGCTGCATGTTCTCCTTCAACACCCAGCGTCCAGCAGCTGTCATATAGCTGCATGTTCTCCTTCAACACCCAGCGTCCAGCAGCTGTCATATAGCTGCATGTTCTTTTTCAATGCTTAACGTCCAGCAGCTCGTTAAGCAGCTCGTTAACTGACCGTCTTATAGCTGTTACACTATTTCTCCATCACGTTTTTTTCCAGCCACAGTGATATACGGCTTTTAGATTACACTGTCAAATTGTTTTCCAGCATCACTGTTTTTCAGTCTCACGGTGACGCTGTTCCATGGTATACTTTTAATGCCCTCAATGAGTTGCCAGTTCCTAAAAAGTTCCATGCTTCCATCGAGTCTGCGGGACAATATTCAAATTATCGTTGAAGACTTGGGCTGTTACCATGTAGAACTAGTATAAGGTTGACCCATGAGAAGCTTTTTTTTACGGATGGAGTTCGTTGTTCGCCTGTGACGTCACTGATCTCAGTGACGTCACAGGCATTAACCAATCACCGAAATGCGATCAAACCAGTCAACCAATCCGTCATGGGAATGACGGGATTGTTAACGTTTCTCGATCTCAGTGACGTAACAAGAAAGCTGAACTGAAAGACGGAAATCTTCGTGGGTCAACCTTATATAGTTCAACCATGAGCCGTTGTAACGTCTAATTGTTATTACTTTAAGCGTTATTAATGTCGTTTCAGCACCCGAATGTTCAGGCTGTCTGATTACTCAGTTTAGTGAGGAGCGTAATTTCTGGTTGTGAAACCAGATGTTGACTTGTATGTATAAGACGCTCTCTGAATTTGAGTGTCTGTTCAGACACTTATGTATAAGTTGTTCACATATAACTGAAAGTCCCTAATGAGATAAGTATCAATATAACACGTATTGATGATATCTGATCTGATTGCTCACATTAAGTTATATTTAAATTAAGATCAACTCTTGGACCACCCCTACGGTTATTAATTGTATTCTATTAACTTTGTCTTGTAATCGTATGATAATTATCATTGAACCACGAGTGACAGGACCAACCATGTCTCCATATGATAAGACTTGTTATTGTTGCTTCTGTAATCTTATTCAAATAGATATACCGGTGACGCAGCCTGTTCTCGTCGAGTTTTGTTTTAGTCATCGAGTGTCGACACATCTTGTCGCGCCACTCCTATATCGTCCTATAGAATAGAAATGTCGGCACTGAAGAAATAGGCCCATGGCCTGTTGCTGATTTTTGTACTTTTCGTGACTTGATTCACAAGAGATCCGGCCTTTGGAACCCGATCTTTCCATTACTGACGATCCTTATGCTGAATCCGACGACAAAAATGTCAGTTATGCTGTCTCTTGTTTAGTGATGGCGGGCGACCACGCGGCAGTCGTTCACGCAAAAAAAAAAAATAATAATAACTACGGTGAATCTCTATGGCTACCAGTACTATTTAGAATTTAATTTTAGCACGACAATTCGCTAGTTCGTGGAACTTAGAGCAACGCGCGAACGCCTCGTATTTCAATGCTAACAGGGAACAAACGTACAGTCGCCGCGGTCCGATCGACTGTTGTTTTCGCTGCTCGAGCGAAAGCCGGAAACTGTTGTCACGCCGAGGTTTTTATAGCTTTAAACGTGTAGAGGTGAAAATATAGCGCAAATGTTGCATTATATCTCATAAATCGATGAGCAGAATAATTATTATTAATCTTCAGCGCAACGGATTATTTTATAAGCTCTCGAAGCCCCGACACATTTTTAGAAAAAGCGGGCGAACCGCCTGTGCATTTTGCTTTAGTTACTCCTGCTCTGCCGTACTAGCAGCAAGCCACTTGCCTAACATCCGCTCTAGGCAGCTTCTTCCTTGTTTTGCACTGTACTTTGTTTCGTGGTGATGGTATACCCTCTACTGCCTGACACGAGTAACCGGAGCAATATTGTCACCCAAGTCTACCCAAAAAGGATACGTTCTAGTGAGCGCAAAATGACTTGCACTGATGGTTGCCGCCACGTACGACAACTTTAAAATGTTCTCTGTTGCGTACAAACGTCCTCAGGTTGCTTCACTCAATAGTTTACGTATAATTTAAGCTGAAAGTTGTGTTCCCGGAGAGTGACATACGGCGGTAAAGGAATGATTTTTCTTCGTGGTGGAGATAGTAGAAGAATGGATGTTGTGCTGTTGTTTATGGACGTCCAAGTGAAGGCTTTCTAGTTGGAAACTGTCAAGTTTATCCATCTATGCTTAAAGATATAGAGTGTCCGTATGTGTGCATGGATGTGCCAGAGGGGGCAGAGAAATGTGTTTTATTAATAATCATTTTGTTGAAATTTATTAATGAAATTAAGTAATCGGTGCAAATTCTGTTGTATTATGAAAAAAAATCAAGTCATCCCCTAAACTCCGTAGATAACATCCAGTCTCGCGCAGTGAATATTGCAGTCTAATGATGCATAGTATTTTCGCAAACCTTCTGGCAGCTGCTATAAACTATAAAGATAATAAAGAGCATATTCTCGGGTCTTCCCTTAGTTTCTAGTCTAATGATAGACAGATCGTGCTAGAATAATTGACAATAGTTTCAAGATGTTCTAATGCTTAATGCTAACAATTTCATTACTGTAGACTTATAGAAGAGGCACGGAATGGATTAATTATCGGTACAACTTGTAAAGTTGATTGACGTGTACAGCGAGGAAATATATTGTTAATAAGTACGCGGAAGAACAACTTCGAAGGAGCTTCGCCGTTAGCTAACCATGCAGAAACAATTTATATCTCAGAGCGTTCTCACTCTCACAGCACAATTGTGTCGAAATCTGGACCTTGATAGACATATTCAAATACTTTGTTCAAATAGAAGTAGTATTCCGAATTATAAGCTGACTGTAACGCAATTTGGACGAAAAATTCTGCGCAATTTCATAAAAATGAGACTGCTGTAAAACGGAGCTCTTCTCAATAGCCGACGCCATTTCAATACAGACGTAATTAAGTTCATGTGCAAAGCAATTGTTGTTGATATACTTCTGACTTATAAAGAGATGAATTCAATTGCTGTTGAATTGAATTGATGTTTGCTTGAATATTTGTTTAATTGCATTGTTGGATTGAATTGTTGTTGTTGAATTGAATTGTTGGAAGGATTTCTGTTGGTCTCTTTCGTAATTCTCAAAATTACCGGAAAACCAAATATAATAGAAAAAAACAGCTTTAATTATGTAAAAATTATTAGATAGTTCGTACGTCTTGTTTTGGTGTACTATATTATCTTAAATTTGTTGACGCTGAACCAAATCTGATTATATATGCTTGACCTGCTACCAGAGACGATCTAGTTTTTTTACATATGAAGACTATATTAATGGTCTTGTTTCATTTTTCTCTATTCCTCCTACTTTATTAAAAGAAGGTCTTGTTTTAATTTATGCTAAATCATTCATGTACCTGTTTCCATATTCATGCATTTTTCGTTTACTGTTATTTTCGAGGACTCGTCAGTTGACGAATTCATGTCAACGACATTAATTAATTTACTTGAAAAATTTTCAGTGGCCGATGAGTATTTTTCAGTTGGCCACCGATGACGCGACTTCTATATTCTACTGAGTATCGCGGGAACCATGTAACTGATTGATTGCTGGTAGTGCTGTATACATGTGTTTATTCAAACTTTGGTTCAAGATTGCAAACATTACAGTGGGATATTAGTTGAGGTTATAAATATATTGCGCTTTAGAGTAATATATTTATATTGCGTTAAAGTAAAGAGCACTAATGATCGGGTATCTTACCTTATGCACTCTGGTTTATCCACCATCCGTCATTATGCGCGTGACAGTTAACCTGCTCAGTACTCACTAGACAATAGACATGTCATGTGGAGTGGACATGGTGCACTAGCAAGGCTAACTCAAATATTTTGAAACCCCATAAACATTGGATTATTGTTGCACTATTGCCGTGTTTATAGGCTTGTAATTCAAACTCAAACGAGTTCGAATTACCTTCAAGCAAGCTAAGAAGAATAATATGTTCTGACATGACCCGAAATGCGTGTCAAGTGAAACTATCTGAAGCTTCAACGAAGCCATGCGATTCACATACTTCGCAAAGTTTGTGAATGCATGAAATATATAAAATATATTCCTAGCTACATCCTACAATACATGTAATAAGGGGCCAAGAATATCGTCCTCGTGTCTGTTCGTGTCCTGTAGTCATAAGAATTGCAAGAAATCTATGGCTGTCGCCAGGAATAACCTACCCTTACAAAATTTAGAGTCGCCCCAGCTTCTGGTAATCCGAATCAGAAGCTGCCGCGTCCGTAAATTTTCACTGGGAAGAACTCCTATACTGGTAATCCGAATCAGAAGCTGCCGCGTCTGTAAATTTTCACTGGGAAGAACTCCTATCCTAACAAAATTTAGAGTCGCCCCAGCTTCTGGTAATCTGAATGAGAAGCTGCCGCGTACGTAAATTTTTACTGCGTAGTCTCTGTAGTAACCTATGACTCGGTCGTGAATAAATTTCTAGATTTGCGAGAACTTTTGGGTTGAATTTGAGGAGTTATGAATACTAATTCTATTTTACAAACGGCTGAATTGATGCTCGTGGAATTATAAGATTTTTTTTATCGCTTTAAAGTGAATGAAGTTCTTGCAAACCAGAGAAAATGAGAGTTATTTTGTTACTATAACTGTTAAGAATTGAGCTGCACTTGAATACCGTTCAGAAACAGATGTATGGTCAGGATACGAAGTTTGAGAAGCTAAACTAATGTACATCCGCCGCCGATCGAATTGTTTGCCGAGGGACCGAAGCAAACTAACTCGAAGTAATTTTTAATTTTTCAAAGGTTTAAATGAGGATTCAACTCAATGCTCCAAAGTCATACAGTTCGTGTAGTCAACAACAAAGATCATTCCTTATTTGACGTATTTAAAAATAATAATTTAAATGTTCGTGGCGATTTACGGACCAATCTGTGTTGAAGTCTAGTCAGCGTTCTTCTAACAACTTATTGTAGCAACTATACCGCAGACATCCTGCCTAATTTTAATTCATGTTTCAAGCACGGCACTAATCAATCTTCGATGCAAGATTCTGATCCAAAATATTTTTCGCTAATTCTGTGTAACCGCGCGCCCGTGAACTTTGTAACAAACCAGTCAATCATAACGGCTTTTTTGCGACGTAAGAATTTAAATGTTGGGATTTACTTCGTAGCTTTAAAGAGCTTTTGCATGAACCGTTCGAAATGCATAGAATGAAATCGTAGACATACATAGTACATGTTAGCATATGAAGTTACGCTTTCTATAGTGCATAATCAACTGCGTAGGATATTAGTTATTACGATATTAGGCAGCGTATCTTATGCTATAGTGATAATATCTTTCGCGTAGAACTCAGGCTTCCAGCAAATATACTATTAATTAGAGTTAAATAAGGCATCGCTGCTTGGTATAATGCCTAATCTAACTAACTAATAATAACTGTTCGTAACTACCGCATTGCAATCATGTCTTCATGGGCCATCTTTAATCAGTTTTTATGTATACCGTGAAAGCAATAGGCAAATAATTGATGATACAATTGAGTATCTCATCAATACGTTTATCGTATTTTATGCCTCTGAATAGCTTATATCTGAAACATTTATTGAATTTGTATGTTGCGTATAGCAAACACTCGATATGTTTGACACATTCCTGCTTGCGCAAGAGTCTTATCTTGAAGCGGTGTTGTGGAGTGCGCATAACCTTCTTATCATCATCAACCATTCGTTTTTGATCATAATTACTTTAACATCTCATGAAGAACCTATTTTGTGACTCATCTTGGAAGTGTCACTCGTCATGCAGCTTATCTTGAGTCACAAAGGAGCCGAGTGTTACAAGTTAATGGAACTAGCCTTGGAACTAGCCTCGATCTGCTGACAAGCAGATGGTTTTGATAATACGCTAAGTCTTGCGTACAAAAGTTTTGATAATATCAAAATTAGGATGTACTTACGTAGCACGTAACTTTTTTGTCGTAAGTACAAAAAGTTACGAAGTTTTCATAATCCGGCCCCAAGACTGATGACGATTGGCTTGCACACAAAATCAGAAAATCAAAAGGTTATGGAGACAACTGGTGATGAGTAAGGCTTTCATGGTAGTAATGTTATGTTATTATGATTAGGTTGATGATGATTATCATGTGATGATGTGGCGGGTTCAACGTGGCGTTGATTCAGCTTGAAAAAGTCCATGATGATCTAATTGATAATAGCTGCAATTAACGAGTTTTCACCTTTGGCTGATTGTTTAACGTTGATTTTAATTTTACTTTTGTGTATATAATAACCTTCATTGAAGGTAATAATTGAAGAACTATAGACTGTGCATATAAATTTCAATATGCGCATTGGCTAATAAGGCGAATTCAAGATAACAATTAAGTTAAGTCTGCAACGCGATATTTGTTTTAATTGCCTACGGCACATAATCAGAACAATCAACGACGATTTAAAGTTCTCAAGTCCTACGGTGGCCATCAGTTCTAGCGATGATTAAATTCTACCATGGTTGTTAGTTTTGTGGTTAGCTTCACCGACGATCCCAATTCTCCTGTGATCGTTTTGACAAAGATTTAAGTTCTATGACGGTCGTAAGTTCCGCAGACGATGCAATCTCGAGTATGATTGTTAATTCTGACGATGATTGTAATTTATACGACTATTATTGAGGTTCTGCACCAGCCTCAAACAGGTCATTAATTTCAAAACCAGGTTCGCGTTGAAGGCCCGGTCTGCGGCATCAGTTCTTTTGACTGGGGGCGAACGGTTGTTCGCGGCAACGAGCACCGATAAGCTATCAATCGTCCTCTAGAATAATGTAGTCAACAAAATAGGACCAATAGCAATAAGGGATTGCTACAATAATCTATGCACAATCGTTATTATTCTCCATTTAATGTTCATTGTCTGCTTCCACATAGATAATGCCATCATGCTTATTGTTATTCACACGTGTACGGTGGAAGGAGAGAGTGAGAGCCTTGTTGATGATTTTTCGTATCATTTTCTAATTGTAACAAAATTAAAATGGATCATCCGAAACTTTATTGATAAACCGGATGCAAATTCATTTAGAATTATTCTTCCAAACAAACGAAATTATTCGCCATTAAGGAAAAAAACAAGTAAATATTAAAGCTAACTACCCCACACCACTCAAGATTTCTACCGTAAATAAGATGAATTAGACACCTCCAATTAGTCTTACCATAATTGTTATTAATTAGCTCGTTATGTATAATAAAAGTATGAAGCAGAACAGCCGTGTTCTGCTCGAACTGAAAAATTACAATTCCACGTCTCAATTCCACAATTAAAACAACTTCAAGGACAGGTTAATTTACTAACAAAACTAACGGTCATCGTGAGTTTTAAAGTGCTCCTAAGAAGGCATGCGTCTCAGCTGCTGGAAGGTTTCACTAAAATATCGATGAAAATTGGTTTAAGCTCCAGCCTTCGTAATATAATCTGAGACTTAAGTTTTTAAGTGTTGACAAGGTCGCCAGTCGATTTACCAATGAATTCTGTCTGCCTTTCACAGTCGTAAAGTTTATTGTAATGATTGTCAAACAACTGGAAGACCACCATACCTAAAACGGAACGGGATGTGACTTATGAATTCAGTTCGGACGAACTTGTTCGGTGGTGCAAATCGTGCACTCTGTTATTCATGTCTCTTTTTGGCTTATCGATCATCTGTGGACTTCTTATCTAGATTGTGCGCGACAACATCTTCGGAAGCAGACTCCAAATGCACCTGCGATCTTATACAAGAAGAAAATTTCCTTTATGTTCTAATTTTGCTGAAAAAGTTAATTTTTGTTATTAAATATTAATTAATGTTTGTCATTTTGTATGGATAGCGACGAATCATTCGGAGACATCGAGTGCATGATTTGCATCAAGGGAGTCTCTTTGAACGCCAATGGAAATTAGTGATATTGTAAGCAATAATTGAGAACAGCGCTTGCACTGAATAAATAGTTTGTTAAACAATGCATTTTATTTATCATACATAATCAACTTAACGCCATGCTACAGTGTTGTAGCAATAATTTGTCAAAAATCTACCTAACTTCTCCGTTCTTCTTAATCTAACTTCTCTTGCGTAATTTGGAGGACGCGAATTAGAATGGTACCCATGCTTCCATGAATTTGAATCGAAATCTCGGTCATTCAACGCTTCGCTCGTATTCGTATTGATACCCTCAGGTAACGTTTACATTTTTGGAATTGTAAAAATAGAAAATTAGAATTCACTCATCATGCTTAACCTCTTCGATGCCAATAAGCCAGAAAAAGAGGCCCTGCCTGAAAGTTGTATTTCACATTGTTATTATATTATCGCCCTGGAGTCGGCCGGCTTTATTGGAAGTAATATAACGAAATTATCCAGCAATTGTGCATACATACTGTATGTGTACATGCAGCGGTTACGAATCGAAGGACGTCATGGACTGATAGCCCGACTGAGCGGCTGCGGCTCGGGTCTATGCGGGCTGTCAGACAACACAGCGTCATTCACCACAGCTGCTGCAGCTGCAGCAGGCAGCAGTGAGCAGCTGACAAAGTCAGTGTCTGCTCAGCTGTTGTTAGGGTAGGTGTGTCTCTGGTTGTGGTGGCAGCAAGTGGTTGGAATTTCGAAGTGATTTAGAAGAAACCATTTTCATGAGATTTTTATTGAACAAAACTCATCTCAGTATTTTTATTATAGCAATGTCTTCCTAAAACGTATTCTAATTGACCTTGATATACTATTAAGAGTTTTTGGCAGAAGTGATTGATGAATAAAATTAGGTGTGTGAACTGCGCCTGCCTTGTTAGGTTAGACTTGAGTAAGCTGAGCAGGAACAGTCAGGCTGGTGTTAGCTGCTGCGTCATGAGAAGTATTGAAAACGTTTATGAAGGATAAATTTTCACTCCCATAGTTATCGTTGTCAATTAGACAACTTGCAGCTCACTGTGAACTCTTTGTTGTTTATGATTCTCTACGTATGGATATCCTTTAAATGGACCATTTATTTCATTAATTCATGTTTTAAAAGCTTAGCTTAGCGTTGGCGTTGGCTTGACTATACTATAGTCAATATGTAGTACTAATACTGTAATCAATACTGGAATAATAATCATTCGCCCACAAATTCATTAAATATATTCATAGATAAAGTAAGGATATTTATAATTATCCAAGAAAGCACTCGGCAAAGATTGATGAGAATATATATCGTAATTGACTCATTGTTTTGCCTCAGAGCTATTACTCCTATCAGCCATGCCGTTGTGGCTTCTCGTGCGACGCGTTGAGTTTGCGTGTGGTATGACGACTCGACTTCAAGGCTTGCAACAACACCCAAGTCACACTTGAAAACTCTTTAGATATTTCAGACATTCATGAGCAATAAACGACCGTCTTGGTAATGATTTTGCTTCATTTTTAAGGTAATTAAATATGGTCTAAATATTTAAAGTTTAGGTTACCAAACAGTCTGTGAGTTGATAGAAAATATGAAATTTGACTGCTCGAGTCCTTGTATAAATAATGTCACCGTTGGCACGTCAGGGAGACGGTGAATGGCTGTCCAATTGTGGTGATGCTATGCAGCAGCCACTTGTGTTCCGTGATCCTTTTGACCAGCAGACAGAGAAGATTAAGTGCGTCCTGATCGGTGATGGTGCTGTGGGAAAAACCTCGCTTATTGTATCTTACACGACTAACGGCTACCCCACGGAGTATGTACCCACTGCCTTCGACAACTACAGTGGTGAGTGGTGGCCTTGTGGAGGCATGAGCTTTTAGGGTTTGAAGAATTTGAATAATTAATTTATACACCTTGAAGAATATGATATTTCTTTCACGAATCATGGCTAGGAGCCCAAGGCTAAATTAAGCAAGATATTCGTAGAATTTGTTAGTGCGCCGATTAAAGAGATTTAAAATCTTTATCGCTCTGAAAACTTAGGTAGCTACTGGTATTATTTGCTAGTATTTTTACAGGCTGCACTTTCAATCTTCAAGTTTTTTCGTAATTTCAAATTTACCTTTGCTGCAATCGATTGGTCAATTTACGTGGTAAAATTCAAGAGTTTTGAAAGCACCGATGAAATGATATATTGTTTCATGTGTATGTCACGAACCAATTCAGTGTCGTGGCGTGATAATAATTAGTAAATTAAGACGACCTTCTCTTTCTTATTATCTTCTTTCAGTTTTTTATTATGCAGGGCGTGAGCTGTTGAAGTTAACAATGGATAAAATTCATTATAAAATCATGATCTAATATATACGATATCAAGATTCAGTAAGATACCTAGATCAAATACATTGTAAAAATCAAAACAATGTTTAACATTTAAAACTGTTAGGTGTCAATATTGCATATTTAGAGACGATTTGCGACCATAAGCACGTACCATATGTATATGTGTAAGTTCTTATTCACTGCAACCCAAGGCTATGCTGAGATACGATTCATACCGTTAAAAGAATTCCGTGCATTTTGATTCATGTAAATGTACCCGGCTGCGGTGTTACGTAGTGGGAGTAGAAGCTACTTTTACAGTAACATGTCTGATATTGAACGTTTCCTACGTGTGCAGTTGCTGAATACAATTGATGGACGTATGTTTATTACAGTGGTATGGTGAATGTGATTCACTGTTGTATGTTTATTACAGTGGTTGTATGGTGAATGCAATTGACCGTTGTATGTTTATTACAGTGGTTGTATGGTGAATGCAATTGACGAACGTATGTTTATTACCTACAGTTGTTGTATAGTGAATACAATTGACTGTTGTATGTTTATTACAGTGGTTGTATGGTGAATACAATTGACTGTTGTATGTTTATTACAGTGGTTGTAACGGTGGACTCTCGCCCTATACGATTACAGCTCTGCGACACAGCTGGACAGGTGGGTGGTATTAATAATATATTATATATATATATATATATATTAATAATAAGAGTAATATTCCTTACCTGCTTATATATTGTCAAAACATTTTAGGGTTGTATGCTCTTTTATGCTAAATAAACCGTAACTGAAAATTGCATAAGCAGGACTAAACAAAAAGCTTAATTTACACAGAGAACCGCTTTACACGATTGAATTTTATGTGTTCACTCTAACCGAGCTTTCTTGTCTACTAACGGATCACTTGAAGGGATCTATCAATTTTACTTTCAATCTCTCATAACTAAGACCATTAGCACACAAAGAGCATACAATAATTGCATGTACACGAGTGGTTATCACTATTGTCGGTGTATATATTATTATAAGTTATATTTAGATTACCTAGTGAAACCAATTATATGTAGGCAGCGCAAGAGCTGCATGTAATAAACACGAGATAAATGAACTTATACCCGAATTATAATGTGCACTTTTTCTTCAGTCGCTTGTGGAGACTAAATTGCGTTACTTCCTGCTTTGACCTCTCTTTTTAGCGCATTTTCTCATTTGTGGAAAAAATGCACTAATGTGCTCGCCATGTCCGTCTGTCTGTCCGTCCGTCCGTGACCTCAAGTTTTCGTCGACGTGAAAATGCGCTCTCTGTCACTCACTGCAGTGAGTACTGAGTTATATTTTTTCGGTCACAACCTGGCATGTTCATTCGTTTAATTTAACAACCTGGCATGTTACTGTCATGTAGTGTTCTTTCCTGAATAATGATATTCGTATCTTGTTCGGAAATTAAATTGTGCTTTCATCGCTGTAATTAAATTGATCATTTTTAAGGCTTTATTACCTGATCTCTGTCATGAATGAATATTACTGAAAACTACTCATATAGTATGAAAGATTCTCAAGCCTGTTGAATATTTTCGTGACTCGCCCCTGAAAGCAGATCTTCATTCTTGATAACTTCGATTGACGATGCTGGTCACGATGAAATGTATGCGTAGTGGTCACCGATGAAGTAAATATCTCTAGTGACGATGTAGCACGCATCGTTGCCACCGATGCAGCACATGACGCTAGTGACGATGTAGCAGGCATCGTTGCCACCGATGCAGCACATGACGCTAGTGACGATGTAGCAGACATCGTTGCCACCGATGCAGCACATGACGCTAGTGACGATGTAGCAGGCATCGTTGCCACCGATGCAGTCCGTATCCTCAGTCGTAGTATTACCTACCGCCGACATCATTCAGTTCGCCGTCAGTAAGTCGAGGCAGTAAACAAACGATGACGCCTCAGGGGGAGCTGGTCTCATGCCAAGACGCTCATCTGCCAAGTTGACTGCATTATGTGAATTGTCGCGTCTTGCATCATGTACATTGAGATAATTTTTTGTGCTCGATTCATCTTCTTTCCGTGTGAATTGAATTGGATGAATGAATTTGTTTTCGGTCCAAATTAACTGCATTTTTTAATGATCAGCCAGATCTCAAGTTATGTTATGAACAATAGATCTAATTTATAATAATATCCGACCAGCTTAATTCGTAATATAAAAAAAAATGACTTAATGTCGATTGAGATGGCGCTGTCCAGGAAGAGGATCTATTCGATTAATTAAGATTGTATGCAGGAGGAAAACTTGTAAATTGTTGAATATTATTGAATTAAATTGAAAATAATTTGCAGTGTATATGGCTTGTCGAGCACAACTGCACAAGTATAGGCATAGCATTATTCATTTCATATAAAAAGGAAAGGTCATATAATATAAAAGGGAACCATTAATGATGAAGCAAGGTAAAGTTAAGCCAAGCAAAAGATGATGCCAGGGTATTACGATGCTCGCCTGTTCAGCGTAAGAGAACGTGAACGATGAAATTATTAACCAGTTTATCGTGGAAGTTTAAGCTAACGGGATGTGAAGAACAAGTTTATTTAAAAAAGTCGCAAGTATTACATTACAAGCAACTTAAATTGCACTTCGTTTTTGCCTCTTTTACATGCAACGTGAGCGGGTCCCAGTCATTCGTCCGCGTTCCAAGACTGATTTCATAGCCTGAGGATCGTTAATTAACACAGATTCCCTTCCCTATTCACAGGTTAACAAAGTCAATAGAAAGATCCCCTGCAGCCATCTTCTGTGGGGCTGCAAGATAGTCGAATTGCGAGGTGTAAATTTGCGACATAAATTAATGGCCGCATGCGAAAACCGTTACGAGGGCGATGGAGTTGATTATTTAAACCAGTGGTTCCCAAACTTTTTCAGGCTGGCGCTCCCTTTGGCTCCCCAGTGAATCCTTAGCCCCACCCCCCGACAGATACATATAAAAACAAAAACAAACGCCTCCTTCTTAATATTTAGTATGCTGCAATTTTAAAAGTGAAAGGTTAAACACAAATGTGTATTTCACAAATAGAACCCCATTTCGTAAACCAATATATATTTTTACAGTTTTAACTGTTTGAGCACTAGAAATTCAAGACGGCTCGGACAAATTTACGGCCGGACTCGTGGCCGGTCTCACGGCCAATCTCCAAATTCAGTGGCCAAGGAATATCTCCCAAACTAATGAACGCAGCTCGATAAAACTTGGAACACGTATTCATTAGGAACTAACGGTGATGATTAGCTCGGGAAAAAATATTTAAATTCCACCTTCATTAGGGAGTTATATGGCGATACGGGCCGAAATTCGCAGTGATCAAAGAATTTCTTCCAAACTACTGAACAGATATTAACGAAATTTTGGATATAAATTCCTAACTCACAAACGGTGATTTCTAGCTCGTGAAAATTTATTCGAGTCGGAGTCATGTTCTGCACGTCTTGTGTACAAATCGTCAAACGTACGAACTTCGACTTCGCGGACTTCCGCCCCTCTACTGCCCCTTTCTTCCTCACCGCCCCCCCTGATCTTTCCACCGCACCCAGGGGGGCGATATCGCCCACTTTGGGAGCCACTGATTTAAACCTACGACTTTTACAAATTTTTATAACTCCTGATACACTGTCATAAAGTTACAGTTGCCTCATACTCAACAGCACTGATTTTAACTGAAATTTTAGTCTAACAATTGAAATATATCTGCTACCGATGTTCTTTTCATGATTTTAGTTCGCTATGATACTCCTGCGTCATTCCAGTTGTGGTTTGTATGTCATGTAATGTATGATAACGACAAAGAATTACGATGGTAGCATGGCTATACTGTCTATTGTAAGCTAATCCCACCCAGTATATAAGGAACGTCAGTAAGGAAGCGCTGATGTGAGTGCTGTCGGGCGCATGAATGAGTTGCATTTCATTAATATATAACATGTACTAGCGAGCTTAAATCTATGCTCGTACGCGCGTACCGAGTAATATTTATTCGAGACTTGATTCCAAGTCGTGTGCCCGCATAATTTTTAGTAAAATCATTTTATTGCAGTATCAGCATGTTGAAAAATCGGCATAAGATAATTTCACATTCTCTATATTTCAAAGATACGCACGCAAAATGTTGTCTAGCAATTTCACTGTATAAAATGGTCAAATTTACTGATATCTTATTCAACAATAATGTTCTTCAAGGAAACTCTTCTATTCGGATACCAGTGGTTGTTTATAATGACGCATGATGCACATGCTTCTTAACCTGAAGTACTTGAATTCCAGCCACTTACATTTCCACATTGTAAGCCATGGTTTATAAAGTCTGGCGTCGTCGTGCCGGTATCGCAGGCAGGAACCCCTGGAATTTCCTATTGGGGGCGAAATTGCTGCGGCTCCCTTTTAGGTTTTGTCTGTCAGCCATTGAACTCTTTACACGGGAATTAGTGCACTGTACTGTAAACCTATAGCGATAGCGTGCTTTAAGTTCGAGAATACCTAGCCTGGCCAGATTCCTAGCTAATTTTAGTTGCGGAGTTGTTGGGGAGTTATTTTTTCAACTATTTTTTTTTTCAACTATCCACAGTACCATGAAGAAAGAATGAAAGATGAAGAACTGTTCAGTTTAATAAGTTATTTCGCAAATTGCACAGAATAATCCCATATTTTGTGAACCGCACATAAGAATTACGGTGATTCTTGATTTTGATTTGATTTTTTCATGATTTTGAATCGCACTGATGAATCACAAATCACGTGAGAACTTCTATGACTCCAGCCGACGAGAAGCGACGATCGAGTCTGGAGCATGACGAACAGCATGACGAACAGCATGACGAACAGCATGACGAACAGCATGACGAACAGCATGACGAACAGCATGACGAACAGCATGACGAACAGCTCTGACGTGAGTCTCACACGTCACTGTGACTGACGTGAGTCTCACACGTCACTGTAACTGAAGCGAGTTTCACATGTCTGTTAAATATAGACGATGTTCCTATGCGAGATACGTTTTTTTCAAAATGTTTAGGAAGAGACCATTTGGCTTTCAATATGAAACGCTTGTTTCATCGGGATTTCACTGTCAATCAGAAATTTGCCTAAATTGGTCAATTTTAAAAATGTAAAAATTGCTAATTTCTGCAAAGAATTGTCTTATGAATTTTATTCTCGAAACTTCAAAACTTTAAGCTATAGTTAAATAACTAATTAATCTTGACAGTAAGTAAATAAATAATTAATCAAGACATAGTTTAGTTGATACCTACATTACTCGTATGTCGCGTGTGTTAACGAACTTAAATAATCGATTTTACTATAAGCTCTTATATCTCCTCACAAGCTAAAAACTGTCCAAAATGAACGAAGAATTAGTAGACATAATGTTCCATCCTAGATTTTATTTATTTATTAATACTAATTTGATTTATTTAATTCTATTTAAATTAGTGGCAAGCGCCACTTCAAAAGCTGGATATAATTTTGAATAATTAATGGCAATGTGAATGTAAGAAATTAAAGCTTAAATAACTCTTAGACTAGAGTAGTTAATTAATACATTACTCGTATGTCGCGTGTGTTAACGAACTTAAATAATCGATTTTACTATAAGCTCTTGTATCTTCTATTGAGACAAAAACAGTTCCAAAAAAGAACGAAGAATTAGTAGACATAATGTTCCATCTTAAATTTTATTTATTATATCTAAATGACTTCCAGCCGCCACTTCAAGAGCTGTATATAATTTTAAATTATTAATGGCAATGGGAATGAGAAAATTTAAGGCTTAAATAACTCTTAGACTAGATGTATATAATTTTAAATTATTAGTGGCAATGGGGATGTGAAAATTTAAAGCTTAAATAACTCTTAAACTAGATGTATATAATTTTAAATTATTCATAGCAATAGGAATTAGAGAATTTAAAGCTTAAATAACTCTTAGACTAGATGTATATAATTTTAAATTATTCATAGCAATAGGAATTAGAGAATTTAAAGCTTAAATAACTCTTAGACTAGAGTGTTTGACACCCTAAGTTGTATTGTTTGAGAGCTGCGGTTGCCCCGACTGAGTGTAGCGCTTCGTTTGTCGCGCGAAGGTCACGCGAGCGCCGCGATGCGGAGGCGGTGTCTAGTCTATACCAGAACATATCTATAACATATCGTATTTTTCTTATTAAAATTAAGAATATTAAGAAAAGAACATATCGTATTTTTCTTATTATTATTATTCATTTTTAAACACTCAATGGAGTGGGTGATAAAGTTATCAAAGGCTGGATCTTGATTTTCGTCTATTAATGCCTTATTATTATTGTCTTCTGATGACTAAAAATTCTCAATTTTATATAAGAGAATTTATACTCTCAAGTTCGCATTATAATCCATGAAATATCGTAGAATATTCACTTGCTAAGAAACAAAAAAGAAGATATTCAATTCAAGCGAGTCCATGGTTTTAGTTTGTGTTGTGGGATTGCCGTGAGAATTTGTGCGTACCTACACATCTTACAAAATATCCGAAGATCATGGCTCTAATCCTTCCCGACTATGATTAGAACTGTTATCATAAGGAAAATAATAACTAATGTTCATGTCAGGAAGAAATAATGAAGACTGTTTTCACAAGGAAGAATAATAATTAATGTTCTTATCAAGAAGAAATAAAAATAATGTTATCATAATGAACTTAAAGGAAGTATAATAACTAATGTTCTTATCAAGAAGAAATAACAAAGAATGTTATCATAAGGAAGAATAATAACTAATGTTCTTATCAAGAAAAAATACTAAAGATTGTTCTCATGAGAAAGAATGAACAAAAATGGTAATAAATAAAGGCGAGGAACAATAATAAAGAATGTTGCAGTATCCCTAAAAGGAATACCGCTCCTAACTTGGTCTTGTGGTCCGCCTCCTGCTCGTGGGCTGCGTTTGGTGTAGCAGAGCTGTACTCGTCGCCCTCTCTCATGCTACATTTGTTTGTTCCTTTTGTTTGGTTTAGTTTTTATTTATTCACAGCCTAACTTTAGTTTTAGGTTTCTCTTAACATAACATAACATAGTGATGTCGGCGCGTATGTGTAGGCCTGATGTGGCCTGTCGCCGAATCTTGAATTTTTCGTGCCTTGTTCACAGAAGATTTAAAATCGTGTCATTTGACCGGATCTTTTCATGACTAACGATAGTTTGAAATAGCTACTAGACTTCCACCAGGTACGATATGGTGCTAGGCATTTCAAGTCTGAATTTTTCCATAGTCTAGTCTGTTCTTGAACGCGTTTATACTTGAAGCGCCAACTCTTTCCCTACTTGCCTTTATTATTTTCTTTATTTACCTACCTAACTTTAGTTTTAGGCTTCTCTTTCCCTACTTGCCTTTATTTTTATTACCTACCGGCATCTCACAGACTTTCTTACTTAATAACGCTTCTATTTGCCTAACAGCTTCTCGTTATGCTCGCTAGCGTCTTTTTTAACCATCAGCCTCTTAGTTAATAAACTTAACTGACATTCTTTGATTAGCCGGCTCTCTTTATCTGCTATTTGCTAACATCGGGCTCTCTTTATCTGCTCTTTACTAATACTATACTCTCTTAAATCGCCTCAATGTAACCACTACTAAATTAAACCCCTTGTACAGGACGACTTTGACTCGCTACGTCCGCTATGCTACCCCGGCAGCGACGTGTTCCTAGTTTGCTTCAGCGTCTTTATCTATACTCCCTTTATCTGCTCTTTACTAACACTATACTCTCTTAAATCGCCTCAATGTAACCACTACTAATTAAACCCCTTGTACAGGACGACTTTGACTCGCTGCGTCCGCTATGCTACCCCGGCAGCGACGTGTTCCTAGTGTGCTTCAGCGTCTTTATCTATACTCTCTTTATCTGCTCTTTACTAACACTATACTCTCTTAAATCACCTCAATGTTACAACCACTACTAAATTAAACCCCTTGTACAGGACGACTTTGACTCGCTGCGTCCGCTATGCTACCCCGGCAGCGACGTGTTCCTAGTGTGCTTCAGCGTCGTGTCGCCCACATCGTTCCTCAACGTCAAGGAGAAATGGCTGCCCGAACTGCAGCGACACTGGCCCAGCGCTCCCGTCTTGCTCGTCGGCACACAGAGTGATCTCCGTACTGACGTTAAGGTTGATTAATTATTTAATTCATTGTTGATTAATTAAGTCATTCAATGATCCTCATTAATTCATTGTTGATTAATTAATTGATTCAATGATCCTTATTAATTCATTGTTGATTATATAATCGTTTGAACTTCGATACACTTCTGAGTAATTTAAGGTTTTAAGTTTTTAATACCTTATCTAATACGCAATTTTTTTCTAGTCATAACTCTCAAATTGCTGAATAAAGTCTTGCTATTGGTAAATTTCTGAGAATAACTCATTCTCTTGACTCATCTTCCGTAAGCATAAGCTCGTACGTGCTTATAATGATGATGGCATTCACCATCGATGGTGTCACACGCTAGCCGTGCTTGGATTTCTCATTGCAAGAATAAAATAAGAATTCTCAATAATGATTGAAAATTCTGCCTTTGCACCTCTACAGTTCTTGCTCCTGCGACAAGCCAACAATCGCTGCTATCACCTATGTTGCCTGAGAAGCTTCTTCTTAGCTTATATTAATTAGGAAGCTTTGTGTCGTTTTAAAAATTAAGATGTTCTATTATTGTGCCTTTTGTACAGCTTTGTTAATAACGAATAACGAACATAAAACACTCATCATTTGTTCATCCTACTTCCCCTCTGATCAAACCTCTTTCTCCCATGGGAACCATTCGCACTCAGCGTTCATGTCATTACACAAAATAGTACACCTACAATTCTGCCCCTATCATACATACCTACTTTTCATCCTTGAACATTGCTTCCACTAACTTGAGTAGATAGAACTGGCAGTGATATTGATCTGTAGGGGTGGACATGGCAGCAAGTTAATTATGCAGTTATGATGTGTTAATCCTACACGATATTATCACAGGATTTTTGTCATTCTATGGCCTGTTGAAGAGGAACTGCGGTTGAAATGCATAGCATTAAATGTTGTATATTCCTATTTTAATTGTGCTTATTATATGACCCAGAACATGTTAAGGGTACAGTTTAACCGATAATCTCTTTCTTAGAACATTACATTGCATTAGAAATATTATATTGAAATGAAATTTGCACAATAAAAAAAATTCTCACAGAATAAAGAAAAGACACGTCTTGAATTCTTTTAGCACAAATGGTGCCACATGCTCCCATAGGTAGCCTAGCAACATCAGCGTTGAAGAACGAGCCCAGTTAGCTTGTCGTCGATTCTTGTAATGTTATTAACTTGAATATCTGAAGACTGGCCTTTTGACTAGATGTATCCAAAACCGACGTTGAAGCTAAACATCCGCCAATTAGTGAAGCACTTGTATATTGTTGATAATGATAAATACCAAATATTAATGGCGTTCCATGCCCCCAGGTGCTCATCGAGCTGGCCCAGGACCAGGAGCAGCCAGTGTCAGAAGCGGCGGCACGGAAGCTCGCCCGTCACATCGGCGCGTACGGCTACGTTGAGTCCTCGGCGCTGACGCAGCGAAATCTCAAAGAAGTATTCGACCAAGCCCTCATGGCTGCCCTAGATGCCAAGAATAACATAAATTTGCTCAATAACGGAAGATTAATCCATAATAACCGTGACAGTTTCAGGAACCACGTCCGGAGAAAAAAACCCTCTGCTAACTTGTGTGTCGGGGGCGATGGCGATAGTGACAGCGTGTCAGGAGATGACGGGAAACTTGGGTGGAAAAAACTCTGTTGCATTGTATGAGTTATGTCACAAGTTTATGGTTATTATTAAAAATGAGGCATTTTTCTATGGCTCGGTAACTCATCTGAGGTTCTCTCTTCAGGGTTTTAGAAGATACTCATAATTTATTATAAGGTACAAAAATTTCGGGTATCTTTGACCATCAGTAGCCATTTTTCAATAAAAATTGTATATTCAATAAACAAATGAAAACCAATTTTGCGAGAAAAATAGCAGTCTTATTTTATACTTTGCAATTCATACATTTGGAGATTTATTTGTGTAACTAGCTTTTTCTTAAATCATTGAAGGTCAGGAAATCTTTTTGCTGAACTGTGTAACTAGTAAACGCCTAGCTAAGATGGAAATTTTTGATTTTAGGTTTTTTTTTACGTAGGAACAATTACGATATTTTGTCATAGTAACATGGAGCGTTTATGACGTCCAATATATTAGGACTTGTAAATAATTTAGAGCTTAACGCCACATGAATGTGGTTATGGATTCAATCCACTGCCTTGTTAGCAATGCCTTGATTAAGGATAATAGTTTATTTAAAGAATTAGGTTCCCAAACTTTCATTTAGGTGTACTTCATGTACATTGTCATCATCCTTCGAAGTGATTTGTAGTTATGCCCTCTAGATAGAAATCCCTGTACCAGATAAAGATCAATTGATTTCAATACGTTCGCAAAAACAATTTTTGCATTGCTTTCAGGATTATTCCAGCTAACGAATGTTCCTATAACATAATACTAAAACATACAGCGAATACCGTATGGTTTTGAGCCTTCTACCAATAAGAGACCAGGCTTCTTAGATCGCAAGTTCACAAGGAATTTAAAAGCAAATTCACCATATCGATATTGAAAACGTTTCGGAGTCCATCTCCAGCTCTGATGATGAAGCTGGACTCTGAAATGTATTCAGTATCGATACCGTGAATTTGCTTGGCGTTTTCTTCGGTTCTAAATTCCTTGATACCAGGCTTCAACTGGTAAATAGCTTATGTAACCTACGCATGACCTGATGTTGTCCAATCACTGATATAATTGTGAAATAAAACCCGGTAATAGAGCCCCAATCACCATTCCGTTACTTGTAAAAGATGCCATGTGTTTAGTGATATTCTAGATAACTTTTGAGCTAGAGTTGAGGTTTCGAAGAAGTTGACGTCCTGACCCGTGTATATTTTTTGATCTTCGTGGTATGCCTTTTATTCACTAAGCATAGAAATGAGACGCTCAAGTGAATTCAAAACGAAAAACTTAATATAATCTTTTACATATTTACTGAACACATTTCTTAGTTGAATTATTATTGAAGTTATTTTTAAAAAATGTGTAAGTAGAGATAGGATTTGAGTTTATTTCCTATAACTATTTTTGTCATTGTGCGCATACGAGATAGCAGTATTGCATATTCACTCTCACCTGGAATTATTATTATGATTATATAATATATCATGAGCTCAACATAAAATTTTATAGCTAATAGTGAAGGATGTTGACTAGATTCTTAAATTTTTACTGTACAAGATGCTGTTACCAATTTCATTTTATACGCGTTTAAAATGTAGATTTTCTCTCGAAATTTTATTTGACGCACGGGACCTGTTCTGCGAACTCGTTCTACGTTAAATGAAACTCATAAATTTCAGTTTTTGATTCATCTACCGATTTTTTCACCATTATCCATGATGGCATTCGGATAAGTTGCAGCCCTTCAGACCGAGTTGACGACATCAGGCGAAGTAACCTATGCCATTTAAGGCTGATCATTCAACCGGGACGTCTGTTCAAACCTATTGTTAATGGAAAATATATTATCAAATAAGTTAGTTCAAACATATGGTTAATGGGAAATATTCGAGTTATTCCCCAAGTACGATTGTAACTTGCTCACATGTGTATATTTTTAACATTTTACATTAACTAATCTGTCTGTTGGCCTAATACCGAACGTTTATTTTTTGTCTAACGCAGGTGTAAATAAAGAATATATCCATTGTACTTTTCAGCCTCCAGAATTAAATATCTGCATTTACGTAGTGAGAATAAAACCAAAAATTCTTCACAGCCAATATATTCGCCTCGGATGCTCCATCTAATCCAATGGAGGGATCAGGAGTTCTCCATCTCGCGATGCCTGTGAAGACAAAATTCATTAACTGACATGGAACAAACACGTTTCCACAAATTACAAACATACTGCTGACCATTAAAATTTAACTCTCTACCGCCGTGTGTCACTCTCCGGGAACATAATTTTCAACTTAAATTATACATAAACTATTGAGTGTAGCAACCTGGGGATATTTGTACGCAACAGAGAACATTTTAAAGTTGTACGTGGCGGCAACCATCAGTGCAAGTCATTTTACGCTCACTAGAACGTATCCTTTTTTAGAAGTAGGCTTGTGACAATATTGCTCCGGTTACTCATGTCAGGCGGTAGAGGGTTAAAACGATAAATAAAAATTGTGCGAAATTTAGAGTAAAAAATAACGCGTAAATTCATGATATAACATTACATAGGCATGTGTGACGGACTCTCCTCATTCTCTTGATTTTGCAGCATTTGTCGAAAAATACGTAAATATTAGGAATACTATACGCATCTTTTTCTGAATCTCTGCAACCACTGTCAATCGATACATTTGAAATGACATCAAAGAATTCATCTGAGCGCATAGCCGAAAAAGATGATAAAATTCTTATAAAATTTGAGATGCACTTATTGTGCCTATAAAGAAGTACTTACATGCGTTTAGCTCCAGAAATGTTAATGTGTTGCATTACAGAAAATGTACGTATCTACCCTGAGCTAGTTTTATAGAACTTGAGGCTGCAAATCAATGCACTTATAGTGGAAATGAAAATCTACTCACTTGCACTTGACACAAAAATAAAAGACAGTTTGTCCTTCATCTGCTGATCTGAGTTGGGCTGTGGTGTACTGCATGCCTCTGTGGCCACACTTGCTGCAGTTACGAGACTGTCAACGGAATGTAATAATGACAATCATTGGAGGTCATGCGTAAATGTATCAGCAAAGCACTCACTTTTTAAATCATCCAGTTGATTTTAGTTCACTTTGAATAAAAAAATTATTGTCTTTCAGCAGATATTCAATTTTAATCAAGTTTTTAACCCACTAAAACTTGGAAGGATTATTTTATACAAAATTGAACATTTATTACCTCATCTGTAGGCCCTCCAGGCCCCTCCTGAGACTGCAACATAGCAGCTTTCTTGGCCTTCTTACTCCCCAAATAGTAGTCCCATGGAGTCAAAATCAATGTGTACTTCTTCACTCTTCCAATAATTGCTGTCAAATAAAAATATACAATGCAAGTTCTCAGGAATGAATATCAAAATGCTCAGATAAAATTCAGATGGTCTGAGACAAACAATGCTTAAATGCATTTAGTTCACAGTTTAGTAAAACAAAATATACATATCAAAATAATATTTAAAGAGATTAGTATCTTACTTCATGTCATTCATTGTAGTACAGTTATTTACCAGCTCTAATATCCAAATCTTACCAGCAGTATCAATAGGATGTTCACAAGCAACACAGTTTTTGGGGAGTTGGGGATTGGTGGTGTTGATGATGGTGCCACAGGATGAGCAAAATTCCCAATCATTTACCACACTATCTGAGTCATCAGTGGTGCTGAAAGCATCTCCCTTTGATGCCATTTTCATTCTTTTAGAATTAATATAAGTATATTTATAATGAATTCAGGTAGTAATTAATCTATGAAGGTTTCTATTAAGAAAGTAACAAAATTTAGAAGTAATTTAATATTATGTTTAAAGTTTATTTAGCATTTGCATAAAAAGATAGAGAGGTAATGTAGTAAAATTAGTTTAATTTTGAGAATGTTCTAGTTATCCTGAAGAATATAAATATATATAAGATTACATCTGAAATTTAAAAAACTACAGTATGAATGTGCAAGGTACCGGTAGTATCAATTAGAATTTTGTATCCAACATTGGGAGTAAAGCTCTTGCTGTGGCTTAAATAGTAGATAAGTTCCATCCCTACATTAGGAAGACCTTTATAGATCATGATGAACCCCAGCCACCATCCACAGTAAGTATAGGAATTTTGTGCATACCCTGCTTGGGTGAATAGTACCTAGTGGCAAAGCAGAGAGTTTTTTTAGACTCTCCCTCAAGTTCATTTTTGAGTCCTATATGTAGACCAGTAAAGTATCCTGGATTAATACATAAGAAATTGGTTTAAGTTGTGAGTAAATGAGGAAATTAAAAATGAACTGATTCCAAAAAATCCGTGGTTAGTCACTATGCTTGGTTGAGCTAACACTCCAATAGTGAGAAACTTGAATTTTCCTAATTATTATTAAAATCTTGTATGCTCAGGTAATCATTTTCAAATTTGGAATCTAGCAGTCTATTTGTGCACTTCTGTTAACAATTAGATACCTATAACAATTGTGGTTACAACAATAATTTTATGTTTTTAAGCACATTTTCTCATTTCTGAAAAAAAGTCACTATTGTGCTTGTCATGTCCACCCATCCATCCATCTGTGACTCACGCTCACGGACAGATGCTGAGAAAATGCGCTGTCACTCACTGCAGTGAGTACTGATCTAATTTTTTTCTTATAAATTGTAGGCAAAAATATTCCAATTCCTTATTTGTATGGAAGAAATTAGCCACAATGTGAAACTAAAAATGGGTGAAATTTAAGGCACAGCCACATTTATTTTATTAAAGGAGGGGTTCTGCCCAATATCCAATGCAGAATGGCATCCTATGACTCTAGACTGTGAAGCAGTAGAGAGTAGTAGCACTGCAGCAGTGAGCCAGTGACCAGTGATGCTGGTGAGGAATTTATTTATTATTAAGGACTGACCATCAGGAAGGAATTCTAAAAATGATGGTTCATGTATATTACTTTCAGTCTATGTAGGCCAGTATTTTGAGCTTAAATTCAAGTTTGAAAATTGAAAGGCTGTGTTTATTAATTTGAGAAAAAGTCATACTAGCACCTTCAATGCCATGTGATATAATCTTTTGAAAGTTCAAATAGATATTAAAAACTTTAATTAGACTGATAAGATGTATTAGTTTATTAACAATAATTGAAGACAATGAACTAAGCTTAGATAAAATAGTAACATCTCAAGACTCAAGCTACAGGGCAGAATTCAATGACACGCAAAATGTGCACACTTCAGAGATCATTTAGGGACATAAATGATGTACATACACTCACAAGTCACAACAAAAGAATGCATCTCACTGATTGGTCTAGACTACGGTTGGCGGTTGCCGGTGCTTAATGGCATTTCAGTCAGCAGTAGCCAAGTGAGACAGTAGTGAATGAGCCTGACAGGGCTCATTTTTATTACCGTAACTGTAACATAGGGTAACTTAGACTCCTGGAGTAACTTGTACCACTTTTAGTTTTTTAACAAAACACCCATAACTCCAAAACTATTTGACATAGAAAAATTTTGTCAATGGGCATTAAAGGCCTAATACTGAGGCTACGTAACACAATAGAAAGATAAAAAAATTATGCATATCTAATAGGTTAAAAAATGAAAAATGTGACCCACGAAAAAGAGCTATTATTTAAAGCCTGTCATAGAACCCCCTCCAATTGCTTTATTTTTTGGTAAAATAACTCCAGGTTTTGGTGCATTGTAGTAGAACTCTCCTAGTTACATACGTATGCAAATGACAAATTCGAGGAAAGTGTCATAGTTTGCAAATGGGGGGCACTGCCCCTAAATGGGGGAACTAACACCACCTAATGTCAGCCCTGAAGGGGTAACATAGACCAGCTTGGAAATTAATTTAAAATTACCATATATAACATATTTCATGTTTGATACACCTATTAATGTTTTTTCTTTATGTTGCAGACTCTACTGAGTCTTATATATGGTAATTTTAACTCAATTTCCAAGCCGGTCAATATTACCCCTTCACGGCTAACATTAGGTGGTCTAAGTTCCCCCATTCGGGGGTGGCACCCCCCATTTGCAAACTATGACACTTTCCTCAAATTTGTCATTTGCATATTCATATGTAACTAGAAGAGTTCTACTACAATGCACCAAAACCTGGAGTTATTTGGAGTTATTTTTACCAAAAAATATAATTGGTTTTACTACCCAGTCTAAGATAGGGTAAACGCAGTAAATTCCGACACATTAAGGACGCATCATGAAATGAAAAACTCTAAAAAAAATGTATGCGTTACTTAAGTTCTGTTTGCTTTACGTGACTCTCAAAACACCGCACGACGCACCAGCAACAATGAAATGTTACAAAATGTTGCCATATTTATTTAAAAGCCTTTAGAATGCAAACCTATCAAATCCCTATATTTCGACACTGTGTGTGACTATATACACGTATTCCGACCGCGCTTCAAACTGTACTAATACGTAATTCCAACATCCACATGTTCAAATTCCTATCGCTATGTGAGCTGTATTGGAATACGACACGGCTCTGAATTAGAACACTATTGAATATTGAGCACTACTAATTAGGCTTTTAATGAACAGTTATTAAGCTTTTAATTAGGAAAATTTTAATTTTTGCACACAGCTTGGAACAAACTGTGTGGGTCCAATTCAAGTTGTGTCAGAATTATTTTTTATGTGTCTAAATCCATTTCTCAACTTAACCATCTAATAATTTATTTACCACTTGAAATCAGCAAATACAACTTTACAAGTATACTTAAAGGATTCCTAATATATTCACAGACGTATTAAAAAGTCTCAAACCATAATATTCTTTCTACATAAACAGTTTATCACTATGTGGTAGAGCAAGGTCAACTGTCAAATTTGACACATTTTTCGATGATCTCACTGGGTAGCGTGCATCGTCTCCCTTTGGATCTCAATATTTTCCCACTAGATGGCCAAGACCTAGTGTTTTGGCATTAGTTCGACGCGCAAATGTATGACGTCACCATTCCAACCATCAACGAACGCATGGAACTAAAACAAAGCTTAATATAAAGGAAAAACTAGAGACGTGACGGAATTACCCACAATGACAGAATATACCGCGTTTACCCTACTTTTCATCTTAAAAACGATTTTTTCTAACAAGTCTTACAATGATCTCACACTCTCGTACATAAAAAAGTGATTTGGTCATTTCAAAGTCTCCATTCAGAGGTCACAGTCAGTGAGTGACTGAGTGCATAGACTTTTTAGACAATTCTTTGTCCATAAATTATATCAAAGAAATTACCTATTGTAAAACTTAAATACACAGTTATATACTGGTAAAGACTCAGGGTCAAGGCTAGAGACAATATTTATACCTACTTATCCTTAGGAGGCTAGGACTAGGAGCCACAACTAGGTACTAGGTACCCCTAGCCTGCCCTAGGCTCCTAGACATTAGTAGACAACTACCGGTGTCCAGTAGAGCTTTAGCCTTTAGGTAAAAAAAAAATGTCTATATAATTGGAAACAAAGGTTCATGTTTGACAGTTTGAGCATCAGGCAGGACTCACTACCTATTCACTAAGTTGGCTCTTGTCTGTTGTAAAGGCAGAGCAGAGATTTTCCAGAATTCTGTTCATTTTTGACTCCCTAATCTAGTTCAAAATTCAATTAATATCTAAATGAATATGCTGGACTATCCATGATACTTCGTTAGTCTACTTTCTACACTCTACTCACTACATTACCACCTAATCAGGCTGGACTGATCTTGAATATATGAACTCTGATAGCTACTAGGCTAGGCTATCATTCCTACCATCAATGATAGGTACTCGAGTCTTCACTGAGCAGATTCAGCACCAAGTGCACTTCTTTCGCCGCTAAAAACTGCATAATACTAAATATTAGTCAGCACTATGATTTATAGAGTTCAATAACCGCATAACTACGATGCTGCTTTAATTGGGTATTATTGCCTTTAATTGCGCCAGAAATACGCCCAGGTTCGTTATTAAAATAGATCTTTTTTATTGAAGGCCGGCGACTTAAGTGCAGTTTTGAAGTTATTGCCATTGACGGTACAATTAAACCTTCAACCTTGCGGCATCCAAAAGGCAACTGTCAACTTTCCCTCAGCATTAACGATAAAAGAATAAGCTGACGATACTAATGAATGGATTCAATGAATTATTATGAAGTGACTTCGAATGCAGAGTTGACAAAATGCGGTTTAATTCAATAATCTAAGTCATTTTACGTTCTTCCACCAACGTCCACCAAGAAACAATCAGAAGAAAATCATCTCTCCCAGCCTGTTTGGCTGAAATGGCAACAAAAATACTAGAGCTCCCAGACTCGTTGTCGCACATTCCAGCAAAATTAAATTAATAATGATCAACATGAAGGAAATAAAGAAACCTAGATAAGCTGGCGGTTAACTTTTTTTATCTAAGCCTACATTTACTTACGACAAAAGCAAGCAACTATGAAGGAAACTTTAACAACAAAAAATATATATGTTACATCGGTATTTATTAAAATCTGCCTATCACCGACTAATCAGCAGGTCCTATAGCATCCTTGACTAATTGCGTCGCCGCGGGGGCGACATACAAAAATAGAATTTGACTGTGAAGCAAGTTATAAACGTAATTTCAATAATTGTGGGCGCAACCGTATCGCAATCACTGAATACACGAAAATTTCCGAGCCGTAACTAGACTATTAGCAGCCAACGCTATACTCTCAAGCGATTTGTGTCGATGAAGTGACAGTGATGCGGGAAAAATTTCGCCAAGTCCAAGTTCTATTTATATTTCTTTTGGAGGTAGAGTGGCAATTAGCCGCTTTACTTAAATATTTTACTATACGCTTGCATAAACTGGCGCTGAAATGTAGAGGCTTAACTTAATTATCGGTTACAAATGGCGACCTTGCCTCTG